GTTGGCATAGCGCACTACAGCCCAGAACTCCTGGACTAAGTGATCCTCTAGCCTCGGCCTCCTGAGTAGCTGGGACTACAGGCACGTGCCACTGTGCCCAGCGAAAGGGAAAATATTATAGAAGGAAATAGGTGAATGAGGAAAAGGGGAAAATAAGCTACTAATCCAGATTTGTTTTTTAGGAAATGAGTGTAAGTGTGTTTTCCTAATTTTAAACAAATTTTCTTAAGGGAGACTCTACTTGTAAATGAGAGAATCAGAGCTGAGAATAGATCAGAACAGGGATGTCTGAAGAAAAAATTTTTTTTAAAAAGAGAGAGAATGGAAGAGAAAAAGTATTAAGAATCCTCCTACCCCTTTACCTCACAATTTTACCTATAGGATTTTAGGAGAAGAAATATTGTGATTTGTGATACGAGTTTTAAGAAAAGGAATACATTAAGCTTCCTGATTGAATTAATCAAATATGATCTAGAACAATGTGTCTGGATTTCTAACTCCAGTTATTTCAACTTCCATGTTAGGAGTTCTGGCTTCTTGATGTGCGTTGAAGACTCTTGTACCTTGCAGTCTTTGTTACTGTGTTTTTCAGTGTGTAGGTCAGGTAGGGTTCAGTGATAATTGCCATTCTTCCAGAATCAGGGACCTCGATTGCCAATAGATAATATGTTTGCTAAGTTGTACCCTAATAATTAGCAGTGGCACCCCTCTAGTAATTCCTGCAAATAATCTGTACGTCATTCTCTTTTAAGAAACACTAACATTTTTTTTTTGTGAGGTTGAAGCTGTAGACCTAGTAGTTAATCCTTGCTTTGAGTGGGTAGCTGAGAGAACTGTCTTCCTTTCTGAGTAGTTTCTGCTGTTCATTGAATCTAGATGGTAGCGTTTCATTGTTCCAGTTTAGCTGTTCATTACCCTGTTCATGTCAGTGAGTGTATAAATGGGTGCTCAGTACCATTTATATGTATTTCTTATACTTTTTTTAGTGTAATCATAATTAGGCTTTTACTTGGTAATAGAGCAATAGCATTATCTTTTATTCTAGTCTTCTGATTTATTGCACATTAATGAAGACATGCTTTTATTAAATTGCTTCCATTATTTCCATGACATCAGATACCTGTAGCTCTTTTCTTTGCCCTATTATCAGCAAGGTCATATTTTGTGGGTGTGTTTCTTCTAGTTTATTTTACCACATATTCTTATAGGCTACTTGCAAAATAGTATGTGAATTTCATTTCTTTTCATTTTCTATTCCAGTTTTTTTCCCCACTTATTTACTGCCATATTAATAAATATGTTAATTTTTTCTCTTTCTTTCTTATAAGTGGTTTTGCAGCCTGGCCCTTTAACTACCTCTTTTGCTTCTGTGATCACATTTCTTATCACTTCTATTGACCCATTACACCTTCTTTACCATTCATCCTTACACTGGCAGCCCTGCCTTTGATTTCCCTTTATTTTTTTTTTGCTGTTTAAATTGAGCTCACAACAGCTTCTATTTGTTCATCTGTTCTTTGAAGGTTCTGTTCATCTCTAGATGAGTAAGAGGATACAGTCCTTAAGGACCACACTGCCTTGTGGGGAGACTGATACATATATGCTATTTGTAACTATATTATAGCACTCATTATATTGCATACTCTTTATGTATGTGTTTCCTCTACTTGATTGTGAGCCTTAAGTGCTTAATGAATGTTCATTGAATGGAATGAATCATGTATGATATATGTGTGGATGTATATATAATGTTAAGAACTATGAAAAATGAACAGAGGCCAGGCATGGTAGCTCATGCCTATAATCCCAGTACATTGGGAGGCCAAGTCCGGAGGATTGCTTGAGGCCAGGATTTTGTGAACAGCCTGGGCAACAAGAGAGATCTGTCTAAAAAAAAAAAAAAAAGATAAATTAGTTGAACATGGTGACGCATGCCTATAGTCCTAGCAACACAGGAGGCTGAGGCAGGTGGATCGCTTGAGCCCAAGAGTTTCAGACTGTAGTGAACATGATTGCACCACTGTACTCCAGTCTGGGTGACAGAGCAAGACCCTGTCTCTTAAAAAAAAAAAAAAAAAAGAAAAGAAAAAAAGAAAGAGAATACTAGAGGAAATAGATGAAGTACTAATTGAAGTACTAATTCTGTTCTGTTGGTGGCTCACACCTATAATCCCAGCACTTTGGGAGGCTGAGGCGGGTGGATCATGAGGTCAACAGATCAAGACCATCCTGGTCAACAAGGTGAAACCCCATCTCTACTAAAAATACAAACATTAGCTGGGCATGGTGGTGCATACCTGTAGTCCCAGCTACTTGGGAAGCTGAGGCAGGAGAATTGCTTGAACCCAGAAGGCGGAGGTTGCGGTGAGATCACGCCATTGCACTCCAGTCTGGGTAACAACAGCGAACCTCCGTCTCAAAAAAAAAAAAAGAGTCAATTTGGGAAAGATTTATAGGAGATGACATTAGAGTTTGGCTTTGAAGGGCGTTCTTGCCAGAGAAAATTTAGGAAAAGACAACGTGGAGAAAATGAAAATTCCTGGATATTCAGAGAATGTACTCTAGATATACCTATTTGATAGAAAAGTAATTATACAGTTTTGCTTAAAAAAAAAGTAAAAAGGTGAGACTGTAAATTAATGTTGTGAAGGTCTCCAAGTGTCCATCATACTAAGGAGTTTGGAGCTCTAGCTCATAAATGATAGTCATTGAAGAGTTATAAAAGCAGAATTGCTAGGTCGTGTTTTAAAAAGATAACTTTGACTGCAGTATGGAGAATGGGTTTAGGAGCAGGATAATTTAGGAAGTTTTTACCATAAGTTAAGCTAAAGATGATGCTTTGAACAGACAAGGGGAAGAAAGAAATAAATTAGGCATCTAAAAAAATTTTGTTTTACAAACAGCTTTATTTATGAGGCATATTTTACATATCTTAATAGAGAAACAACTTAAGGTATAAATGATATGGTAACTAAGTATATACTGATTCAGTCTTGTAACATTTTATTGTTTGGTTCTGGGTTTCTGTTTCTTTTTGGTTTAATCTTGGTATGTGTATGTTTCCAGGAATTTATCTGTTTCCTCTGGGTTTTTAATGTATTGGTGTATAATTGTTCATAATAGTCTCAAATGATCTTTTGCATTTTCTATGGTGTTGTGAAGTCTCCTTATGGTTTTATTTGTCTTATTTTCTTAGTCTAGTTAATTAATGGTTTGTCAATTTTATCTTTTATAAAAACTGACGTTTTGTTTCATTGATCTTTTCTATTGTTATCTTTGTCTCAATTTCATTGATTTCTGATCTGATCTTTATTATTAGCCTTCTACTAATTTTGGGCTTGGTTTGTTCTTGCTTTTCTATTTTCTTGAGGTGCATCATTAGGTTGCTCATTTGAAATCTTTCAAGTCACATATTGTCATTTTCACCACATGTGACATTAGTTTAAAATAAGTCTGTAAATCCAACCTTACTTAATGGGAGAAGAATTAATTTCTACATTTTGGAGAAAGGAGTATCAAAGAAATTTTGGATACTTTTTTAAAACCACCACAAATGTCCAGCAGTTAAGTAAAGTAGGGCACAAAAATGGAAGTTACAGTGATGATAGTAATAAAATTATTTATTAATAGTTGTATTAAATTTGGGGAGTAAGAATGAGTTTTTCTTCTTATATTTATCAAACTTTATGTGTTGTTACATGATTTTTATGGGACTAGTTTCCCTCTATTCATAGGAAAATATAGTATGGCTTATCACTAAGCGGTATAACCATAGGCAGATCATGATCTTTTCCTTTGAGTTGTGATATAATTTTTTTCCTTTCTTTTGTATTGTAAAATATACGTAACATAAAATTTACCATTACAACCATTTTTTAGGTGTACGGTTCAATGGTGTTAAATACTTTCATACTGTTGTTCAGCCATCACCACCATCCATTTCCAGACTTCTTTTCATTTTGCAAAACTGAAACCCATTAAACAATAAGTCCCCATTCATCTCTTTCCCCAGCCCCTGGCAACCACCATTCTACTTTCCGTCTCTATGATTTCGACTATTCTGACTGTCTTATATAAGTGGAATCATACAGTATTTGTCCTTTTGTGATTGACTTATTTCACTTAGTATAATATCCTCAAGATTCTTTCATGTTGTAGCATATATCAGATTTCCTTCCTTTTAAGGCTGAATAATCTATTATATATATTAATGTCATTTTGTTTATTCATTCATCTGTTGATAGACACTTGGGCTGCTTCCACGTTAGCTACTATGAATAATGCTGCTTTGAACACGGTTATACAAATAGTTCTTTGAGCCTCCACCAGTTTTTTTGTTATATACTGTGTTAGTTTGTTCTCATGCTGCTATAAATTACCCAAAACTGGGTAATTTATAAAGAAAAGATGTTTAATTGATTCACAGCTTTGCATGGCTGGGGAGGCCTCAGGAAACTTACTATCGTGGCAAAAGGCATCTCTTCACAGGGTGGCAGGAGAGAAAATGAGTGCAAGCAGGGGAAATGCCAGATGCTTATAAAACCATCAGATCTCATGAGACTCACTATCATGAGAACAGCATAGGGGAAACTGCTTCCATTATCCAATTACTTACACCTGGTCCTGCCCTTGACACTTGGGGATTATGGGGATTACAATTCAGGGTGAGATTTGGATGGGGACACGGAACCAAACCATATCATATATCTAGAAGTGGAATTGCTGGATCTTATGGTAATTCAAGTTTTACTTTTTTGAGGAACTGCCACGCTGTTTTCCGTAGTGACTGTACCATTATGCATTCCTACCAATGGCACACGTGGGTTTTAGTTTTGCAAATCTTTGCCAGCACTTACTACTTTGTGTGTTTTTGATAGTAGCCTATCCTATTTACATCCTGATGGGTGTGAAGTATTCATGATATTATTTTAATGATTTATTTTTCTAAGGAAAAGTAATATTATAAGATTGATGTTCAGTGAATACTGATGTGATTGCAGGTAAATTGGCAGGATGAGGAGCAGCAAATCAAAAGAGGTGCCTTTACCAAATCCAAGGAACTCTCAAAGCAAGAATGCTGTTCAAGGTATGATTTTGTTTTTTTAAACTGAACTTAATATTTGTTTAGGTCATGTGTTTTGATTTATAAAAAATGGATAAATAATTTAAAAATTCTCTTATATTTTAAATATACAAGGCACCTCATGTTAAAAGGTAAACTGTTTACCGTCCTATGGTAAACTGTTTTGTAAAGCAGGAATCCTTTTTTAAAATGAACCAGTACATGTAAAATTTTTCAGAAATTCTGGCTTAATGTCAATAATAGCCCCATTATAGTTATAGACTTACAGGGGTACAGATAATAATAGTAACATTCTCACTGAATTCTTTTTAAAATAATGCATTATAGGTAATTTTTTTTGTGGGGGGAGATTGACAAACTAGAGTATATGTGGAGGAAGATTATTAGGTTTGTGAGAGATCTAGAAATTAAGTCATATGAACAGTATTTGGAGGAAGTGGAAATATTTATCCTGGAGAAGGATGACTTATGGAAAATACAGAACCTTAAACTATTTCAAGGGTTGTTATCTGAAACACTGAATGGATTTTACCTATGTTTTTTTACAGGTAGATCAAAATCTGGAGTAGCTTTCTAATCATTTTTACATTGTATTATAAAATACAGTATAATATAACATTTTATATTTGTTTAGCTCATTGGGGTAAACTGAGGATGCTGCTTATTTTTGGAGCTGTGTGATACAGGTGTGAGTGAAAATGTCTTAAGGGCTAATGGTAGCAGTGTCTGTTTAACTTTAAACCATATGTTGGGAAAGTTGACTTAATAATCTTACAGATAAAAACTCACTTTGACTCAATATAATAAAGCATTTGCTGAGGAATTGTTCTGCCTAATAAGTTAGTTTTCAGACTTTTGAGTGCATTTGGGAGCTTATTAAAATTCAGATTCAGGGGATTAATTCACAGCTTCTGGTTGATTGATATAGTAAATATTATTTTTTTCCCAGCAGATATAACCACATCGTGGGATGCACTTTCTCAAACCAAGGCTGCTGTAAGTAGTTTTAGCTTCCATTTATTTATTTCTGGATTAAAATCTATTTCCTGTTATGATTGAATAGATTAACATTTTTTCCTTACTGTTTTTTAAAATTTACTTTTTTATTTTTATTTTTCATTATAGAGATGGGGTCTCACTATGTTGCTCAGGCTGGTCTTGAACTCCTGGGTTCAAGAGGTCCTCTCTCTATATGTGTATGCACTATATATTATAAAATGAACATAAATGACAACTATTAAATAGTAAAGTAAATACTAATAGTAAATTTAATAGTAAATACTTTACTATTAAATAGTAAAGTAATAAACAAGATACTACTTTAGGAATTAGGAGCACAAGCACCATGGCATATAAAATATTAAAATTGTCTGGGTGCTGTGGCTCACACCTGTCATACTAGCACTTTGGGAGGTTAAGGCGGGTAGATAACTTGATTGTAGGAATTTAAGATTAACCTGGGCAACATGGCAAAGCCCTGTCTCTACAAAAAAAGGCAAAAATTAGCCAGGCCAGGTGGTGTGCACCCGTAGTTCCTGCTACTTAGGAGGCTGAGGCAGGATGATTGCTTGAGCCCCAGAAGGTCGAGGCTTTGAGGTTGCAGTGACCATTGATCATGCCATTGGACTTTAGCCTGAATGACAGAGTGAGACTCTGTCTCAGTAATAATAATAATTTGTACTGTTTACCCACCTTTAATAAATTTGTTCATTTGGTATGTGGAAAAGATAATTTAGGCTCAATGTGGTGGTACATCCTGTAATACCAGCACTTTGGGTGGCCAAGATTCTGAGCCCAGGAGTTCAAGACCAGCCTGTACAACATGGCAAAACCCCTCTACAAAAAGTATTTAAAAACTCTACAAAAGTATAAAAATTAGCTGGGTGCGGTGGTATGCGTCTATGGTCCCAGCTACTCAGGAGGCTGAGGTGTGATGATCACCTGAGCCTGGGAGGTTGAGGCTGCAGTGAGATGTGATCAAACCACTGCATTCTAGACTGGGTGACGCAGTGAGAGCCTGTCTCAGGAAAAAATAAAAAAGAAAGAAAGAAAATTTAAAGCAGAGGATGAAGGTGGGGCTTTGTCTATGTAGAAGGCTCATTGTCAGGAAGGAAATGAAGAAAATTTACTTCTTGAATGGACTGTGAGTTATTCTTCCTTTCCAATTTGGATGCCCTTTATTTTTTTCTCTTGTCTAATTGCTCTAGATAGGACTTCCAGTACTATGTTGAATAACAGTGTTGAAAGAGTTACTTCTTGTTTGTGGCAATAAGAGGGTTTTTTTTCTCCTACTACCAAAGGAGAATGACTGGGCAACCTGTTCCCATTTGTGTTCTGGCCCATCTTGTCTAGAGTTTAGGAATCCAAATTTGGCAGGTGATGCATACTCCATTCAAAGGGAAACTTTTTTCTTTTTCATTTGCTTTCTGGGCAAATTACTCCCCTAATATGCCCTTTTTTTGTTTTCTATACCACCTGATTTTGAACCACCTATTTTTTTTTTACTAAGTATTTAGTGGTATTTTCTGTCCTCTGTTCTTTAGAACTGGTTTGAAAATAAATCTGGGAAAAGTGTTATAACCTAGATTTGGCCCCAGTGCAGAGTCACATTTTGGCCCTATGAATATGGCAATATATATTCTCTCTTCTACCTGAGCATTATATATTCTATAATGTAGAAATAGTTTTTGTTCCCCAATTAAATTTAATACTAAATTAATGTAGAATTAAACTGTTAATAGTTGTTTTTCAAAACCATTTGTTGTTTTTAAAGAACTTTAAGGGTGATAAAGGAAAACAAACAAACATACAAAAAACCTTAAGAAAGATAAATCAAAACTTTATACAAAGTGTCTCTGTGATGGGTTTAATGATTTTAACTTTATTTTGTATGTTTTTTCTGTTTTTCTAGTTTTCTCTAGTAAGCATGTAATACTTTACTATTTAGGAGAAAATGCTTTTTAGTCATTGAGAACATTGGTAGTTATAACTAAAAGTTGACCTGTGTTGCAGTGTATATGAAACCTGAATTCTATCGTGAATTTTGTCTTTATTGTGAAACTTATTTTATAGACGTAAAACTGTAAAACACTGTGGCTGTTGAGTACCTATAGTCCTAAATTTTGGTCAAGGTAAATAATTCTTTCTTATTTTTGCATGTAAAATGCACAGGATATATTGCATAATGGTATGTCACATATAAAGTTAGATAATTGGCCGGGTGTAGTGGCTCACACCTGTAATCCCAGCACTTTGGGAGGCTGAGGCCGGTAGATCACCTGAGGTTAGGAGTTCCAGACCAGCCTGGCCAACATGGCAAAACCCCGTCTCTACTAAAAATACAAAAATTAGCTGGGCATGGTGGTGCACGCCTGTAATCCCAGCTACTAGGGAGGCTGAGGGAGAATCTCTTGAACCTGTGAGGTGGAGGTTGCAGTGACCTGAGATCGCACCACTGCACTCCAGCCTGCACGATGGAGTGAGACCATCTAAAAAAAAAAAAAAAAAAAGTGAGATAATTTACCACTTTAAAAATACTCAACAATTAGAAAAATAAGTCAGCATGTCAAATGGAAACTCTTTGATACTCTTCAGAATCTTATTGATTTTCATGCCTAAATTTGGGCAGCATTGTGTCAGATGTAGCTAAAATAAAAAAAATGATGAAAAACAAATATTAAAAGAAAGCATTCCTGAGTTTTTTCTACTTTGGAAAAAGGTATTGGGCAATATACTTTTAAATAACCATGTAAATTGATGGTAGCCGGATTATTTACAGAATTAACTTATGTCTTATAATGGTGTTTAAACTTTAGCTGAGACACATTGAAAACAAATTAGAAGTAGCCCCTACAAGTACAGCTGTATGTGATTCTGTCATGGATACCAAGAAGTCTTCTACAAGTGCCACCCGAAAAATAAGTAGAAAAGGTATGTATGAAGTTACTTCCAAACCTATATATTAAATGTAAATTTTCAAAAAACAGAGACAGCTAGGACTATAGGTGTGTGCCACCACACCTGGCTAATCTTTTTTTATTTTTTGTAGAGACGACATCTCTCTATGCTGCCCAGGCTTGTCTTGAACTTCTGGCCTTAAGTAATCCTCCCATCTTGGCCTCCTAACGTGCTGTGATTATAGGCGTAGCTACCACACTCAGCCTTAAATATAAGTTGTTGATTTAGTAGTTTTGTTTCAGTTTAATTTCTTCTTATAGTCTCATGTTGCTTGCTTTTTTGTCAGAGACATTGACATTTAATTTTTTTCCCATTGATACTGAGTAGCTATGAAGCAGCCTCATACTCAGTTACTGTAGATGCTGTTTTCACCATCTTTTGATCAGGGATTTTACCACTATTGCATCATCCTTGACAGTGAGTTTTCATTTGTTTCTAGCAATGAGAATTTAATTTTGAGGTTATATATATCTGATTTTTTTTTTTTTTTGTAATTCACAGATATATAGCGCTTTGGAAATGAAATTTAGTTGACTTAATAAGATGTATTTTTTCATTGGGATTTAATATAATAATGGAGTATCTTTCATATGGTGACTGTTATAAACTGATACAATGCTAATATTTTCTTTGGTTACCTTTTGCTTTTGATTCTGTGGTTTCATTTTTTTCCCCACCTTTTTTGCAATGGAGTCTCACTCTGTCACCCAGGCTGGAGTACAGGGGTATGATCTTGGCTCACTGCAACCTCTGCCTCCCAAGTTCAAGTGATTCTCCTGCCTCAGCCTCCTGAGTAGCTGGGATTACAGGTGCACATCACCATGCCCAGCTAATTTTTGTATTTTCAGTAGAGATGGGGTTTCACCATGTTGATTAGGCTGGTCTCAATCTCTTGACCTTGTGGATCTGCCCACCTCAGCCTCCCAAAGTGTTGGGATTACAGGTGTAAGCCACTGTGCCCGGCCATTCTGTGGTTTCTTAATTGGTGGGTGAAAACCTGCAGGTCAGTACTGTCTACCTAAACTGTGAAAGAGTTATATATATATATATTTTTTTTTTTAACCTGGAAGTTTGTTAGGTTATATCTCATACTTCTCTTTTAAGTGAATGAGAGCCATTGACAAAAATAAATTTTATATTGTTTGCTCAGAATACAATCTTTCTCTGTCAATGCAGCTACTTTAATAATTTAACCTGAATGTTTTTCATCTACTTATGTAATATCCAACTAGAGATACTAGAGCTATAATATCCAACTATTAGAAATAATAGATACCTAAATTATTTTTTTAAAGATGCTAGCTAAATTCAGAGGCAGTTGTATTTTATATCATGTTCTCACAGATTTCCTTTTCCTTCAGATGGTAGATACCTGGATGATTCTTGGGTTAATGCTCCAACTTCCAAATCCTCTAAATCACGAAAAGAGAAATCTCGTAGTCCTCTCAGAGCTACCACCCTGGAGAGTAATGTGAAGAAAAATAATCGTGTGGAATTTCGTGAACCTTTGGTTTCTTATAGGTTAGTATTGAAGAAAAAAAAAGTATCAAATAGGTTTAACCTGTAATATTTACAGTAAGAGTATACTTTATTTTCTGAGTTTTTTTAGCTCTCTGGTTGTAAAATTGTATAATACTCTAATTACCTTTTAATTCTCCACAAAAGATAGTGCAAACGTGAAATACTGACTGCGGTAGTCTCTTTGATAGATAAATATTTGAGGGGGAAGAAATAGTAATAGTTGCCCCAGTCCACCTTTATTATAAATATGTTTCCTAGAAACAAATTATTCCATCTCTGGAAGTGTGGCTTTTTTGCTTCTTCTTAATCTCTCAGATCATTTATTTTCTTTAATGAACTTTATATTGCTTACTTTTTTGTTTTTTGGGGGGTAGCATTAATTAGTCACATAAAATTTCTGTCTTTTTGAGAATGTGAATTGATTTATTATTTTGTTGCCAGTGGCTTTGAGTAACTTAGTTGTTAAAATTGATGTATGAATTTTGATAGTATAGATAATATAAAATGCTTTGCATTTGTTCTTAGTATGGCAAATATCAATAAGTAATAAACACCAGGTCTGTTTTTTTTTGTTTCATTTGTAAGCATTTTTTGTGTTTAAAACACAAATCACGAAGTTTCATGAAGAACTTGGTAGTTCTAGGTATATGTTTGTACTCTTAAATTTTATGTAACTTGGGAGATGGAGGTGGATTATAAGTTCAATTTTTAATATGTTGCATTTGATGCAATTTTTAATTATCTAGGTGAAAATACTAGGCATTAAAAATTTGGGTAAGAATGTATGTGGGATGGCCAGGGCTGAGAATATAAATCTGGGAGGTATCAGTAGTATTGAAGCACTAGAAGTGCTGGTAAAAATATAGAAAGAAAGGCAGGGGTATAATCTGGGTAAAGTTTAGAGTTTTAAAAAATGGAGAAGGGAAAAGTTTGAAGAAGAATAATCGAAGTTCAGAATCTCTAATCACACAGATATCAAGCAACTTGCCTGAAGACATAATTTTACCAGAATTGAGACTGAGTTGCTGACTTCATATTTATGTTGTGTTCTTCCTGCAAATAATACTACTTTATATTTAAAAGTGTGTAAATTATGGTTTGGTTTTTTTTTTTTTTTTGAGACGGAGTTTCGCTCTTGTTACCCAGGCTGGTGCGATCTCGGCTCACCGCAACCTCCGCCTCCTGGGATCAAGCAATTCTCCTGCCTCAGCCTCCCGAGTAGCTGGGACTACAGGCACGCGCCACCATGCCCAGCTAATGTTTGTATTTTTAGTAGAGATGGGGTTTCACCTTGTTGACCAGGATGGTCTTGATCTGTTGACCTCATGATCCACCTGCCTCAGCCTCCCAAAGTGCTGGGATTATAGGCGTGAGCCACCAGTAAAATAGAGTTAGTACTTCAATTAGTACTTCATCTATTTCCTCTAGTATTCTCACATCGTGTGCTCAATAGCCACATGTGGCTAGTGGCTACTGTTTCAGACATTCAGGTCCAGCCTGTTGTTTTATCTGGTTTTATAATTTTCTTGAGTTTTTTTTCCATGATTCATGTGCTCTTCTCATTGCTGAAACTTCTGTCTTTGTTAGCCTTCCTTTTCATAAACTGCTTTCTTAAAATAAGGCTTGGCCAGGCACAGTGGCTCTCACCTGTAATCCCAGCACCTGAGGTCAGGAGTTCAAGACCAGCCTGGCCAACCAACATAGTGAAACTCTGTCTTTATTAAAAACAGAAAAATTAGCCAGGCATGGTGGCATGCCCCTGTATTCCCAGCTACTCAGGAGGGTAAGGTAGGAGAATTGCTTGAATCTGGGAGGCAGAGGTTGCGGTTAGCCAAGATTGTGCCACTGCACTCCAGCTTGGGTGTTAGAGTGAGACTCCTTCTCATAAACAAATAAATGAAATTAAAATAAGGCTTTTTGGAATGACATGTAAAATAAAAATAGTCTCTGGAAGAGGATTTTTGCTAGTGTTTTCTGTGAGCAATGAATATTGACATGTGAGAGGTACTTTGGCTTTGCCCAGTCTTCTTTACTTACTCTTGATTTTCTAGATATGCTTTATAAAGTTTGAAGCTGCCAAAAAGTACTCTGTGGTTAAGAGATTTAACATTACTAACAACATTTATTTGGAGGAAAATATTTATTGTACTTCCACTTTTATTCTACCCCCAGTCAATTCATTAATTCGGTTCATTCTTTAGAATTGACATATATGAAATGCCAGTATTTGAGAACTTTTTTTCTTGGTAAGATTTTATAGAGTAGCAAATAACATATTTTATTGACAGTTGTCAACTGGATAGCCAAATTCAGATTATAATCCTTTTTTTCTGGAGTTCTTAGGAAATCTCTCTACATATCTTTTGCATATTTCTTATGTTATAATATGCAGGTTGTTATTTAGCTTATTTACCATTTTACTTGATAGAGGGGACATTGAGTATTGAGTCTTAATATTGCTAATGGTTTTTTTGCGATCTTTAACTGGAATTTCTAGGTTTTTAATTTCTAGGTCTGTAATGCTAGCTGAGAGTTCTCATTCAATTTGTATGACTGGTTTCAATTTGACTAGTTTTTGTACTTTTATGAAAAGCTTTTTTAAAAATTTAGCTTTAAAACTGACAAGTATAAACTATATATGTGTAGTGTACAACATGATGTTTTGATATATGTATACATTGCGGAATGGCTAAATCAAGTTATTTAACATGTATTACCTCGCACACTTACTTTTTTGTGGTGAGAACACTTAAAATCTACTTTTAGCAATTTTCAAATATACAATATATTATTAGTTATAGTTATAGAACTTATTTTTTATTGTAGGGAAGTCCATGGTGCACCTTCCAATTTGAGTTCCAGCCATCTGGAGTCAAAGCATGTATATTGTGTAGATGTTAATGAAGAAAAGACTGAGATTGGGAACTGGATGAATGGCAATGGAGAACGGAATATACATAGCTGTGATTTTGAGAGCTCCCAATCATCTGCCATTAATGATACTTTTGTTAGGTTTTTAAATGATCGACCAGCAATTGATGCATTGCAAAATTCTGAATGTTTGATTAGGATGGGAGCTTCTACAAGAACTGAGGAAGAAATGCCTAGCAGAACAAAAGAAGGTGAGAACAATTTGAAGCTTTCTGTGAATAACATGGCCCATGACACTGATCCAAAAGTGTTACGACTAACTGACTCTTCTCCATCCTCTACTAGTACTTCTAATTCCCAAAGATTAGATATTTTAAAGCGGCGACAGCATGATGTCAAACTGGAAAAACTTAAGGAACGGATTAGAAAACAATGGGAACACTCAGAAGAAACAAATGGCCGAGGCCAAAGGCTGGGTCATATTGACCATCCGGTAATGGTTGTTAATGTTGATAACTCAGTTACAGCAAAAGTCAGAAAAGTGGCAACAGCACCACCTGCTCCAGCATATAAAGGTTTGTAATCAGTTTTTATGTCTTCTTTTCCCAGCTTCCTTGTTCTTCTTTCTCCTAGCATGTATTTGAATAGAGAGGATTATCTTTGGAACAGGATGTTATTCTCAAATCAACTGCGTAAGAAATTATTTTAACATACATGTTAAAAAATGCAGATTCCTAGAGCCAAAAAATTCCAACTCTGGACCCAACCCCTAGTCCTAAGTCAGATTTTCTGGGACTGGGTCCAGAATTGGATTTTTTAATGAGTCCTTCAGGGGATTCTTGTAGTTTGAGAACCACTAGTGGACACTTACTAAGTTATACAAATAATAATTCATCCTGTTTTCAGGGAACTGAAAGAATACTGCCCTTATCATGTGCTACCATTGTATTTGGATTGTTATTAGGAATTATTTCAAAAGTAATATTTGAAAGATAATTCCATTTCCAATGAATATTTGAGTACAGAGTATCTTGACACTGACATTGATCCTGTTGATACTTTAACCTTCAAATTTTAACATGAACGATTTACTGCCTCCATATTTAAGAAAACAATATTTAAATCACATTTATGCCAACATTGGTAGATTTTCATTAGAAAGTACTCTTTAGAGCTTTTTTTTAAAAAGCCAACTCAAGTTTTTATATATGGTTGTTTTAAGGAGTTTCTGTTTTTCTGTTTTTATTTTGATGTTCCGGAAATTATTTTCACAGGGTCATCCATGTAAAGTTTTTAATGAAAGGTTGATTTCTTGATTAGTTTAATTTATGTTAGATTTTCTTATTTAAACTTCTGCCAGAGTAGCCCTTTTTGTGTGCATGGGGCGGGTATGTTTTCCAATTTTAGTTTTTGTATATATGCTTAGGCAGATCAAAATATTATAATGATGTTTCTTGTATTAATTTATTTTTCTTAAAGATGTAGTCTCGCTCTGTCATCCAGGTTGGAGTGCAATGGCATGATCTTGGCTCACTACAACCTCATCTCCTAGATTCAAGCAATTATCTTGCCTCAGCCTTCTGAGTAGCTGGGATTACAGACACCCACCTCCATGCCCAGCTAATAGTTGTGTTTTTAGTAGAGACAGGGTTTTACCGTGTTGGCAGCCTGATCTCGAACTCCTGACCTTAGGTGATCCATCCACCTTGGCCTCCCAAAGTGCTGGGATTTATAGGTGTGAATCTTCACGCCTGGCCTGTTTTTTCTCTTAAAGTAACTAACAATCTAAGGCACTTTTTTTTTTACTGTAATCAGTTTTGTTTTGTATTTCTCTATCGACTCGAAGTTTTCTCTGACAAGTTTTGCAGTTTTTTGTGGTCCTAAGGCAACTTTAATCATGTTTTTCTGGAACACATCCACTGCATACAGATTTAGCAATTATTTGTTTTGTTTTGTATTGTTTACTATGTTTTGCTGGTGATCCTCATTGTGAATTAGATAAAAATGATGATTTACATTTCATTCTAGCTAATTTGTGAGAAAATTGTGACCAAATCACTTTAAAATACTGAAGAATTGCTGTTGTCCAATATTATGATTAATCATTTTTTATTAATTATAAAATATAGTAGTGATTACCCAACTCCTTGCTATACTTAATGTCAGAACCATTAAGTACAGATTACACATTTAAGCTTTGTTTTTAATTGCAAGCCAAAGTTCTGACATACCAACGATTATTCTACTAAGAAAAAGTTAAAATGGTCAATTTGAATTCATATTTTGTAATAATTTACAAAAACCTGAAAGTTAAAAATAATTCTATAGAATGAGAGTATTCTAACTATAACTTTCTTTGAGTTGACAACTGGATTTCCCATAGTCCTTTTATGATTTTTTTAATGTGCTAGTTTTTATATTAAAATATTTTATAAATAGAACTTTTGGAGGGGTTACTTTAAAAAAGGTAGCAAATATTTGAGAACTCATTATAGAATATGGCTTGCAATGTCCTAAGCAATGGATTTTTTTTTCCAACAATAAAAAACTGTTTTTCCACCGGGTGTGGTGGCTCATGAATGTAATCCCAGCACTTTGGTAGGCCAAGGCAGGCGGATCATGAGGTCAGGAGTTCAAGACCAGCCTGGCCAACATGGTGAATCCCCATCTCAAAAAAGTTAGCTGGGCATGATGGCACATGCCCATAATCTCAGCTACTCTGGAGGCTGAGGCACAAGAATCACTTGAACCCGGGAGGTGGAGGTTTCAGTGAGATGAGATGGCGCCACTGCACTCTAGCCTGGATGACAGAGGGAGACTCCTGCCCCTGCCAAAAAAAAAAGGAAAAAAAAAACTTTTGCTGCCAACTTTTTGGTAATGTAAATTAAAAGCAAATTAAAATACTATAAAGTGACATTTTAACTTCATTTGTTTAAAGACATAATAAATTCATTTTGTTCACAGTCCAAAAGATGAAAAGAGTGTACCTTGAAAAGTTCTGCCACTCTTGTGCTTTCTGGAGGTTACTTGTGTTAACAATTTGTGTATCCTTTCAGAGATAATTTCTGCAAGCACAAGCAAATAGGAGTATGTGTGTATTGTGTGTATGCGTATTTATTTTCTTCTTTTTATATAGTTATTAGCATAGTAAACTCATTTTGCACCTTGTTTTTTTATTTTTTAAAGAAACACATGTGTTCTATGATTCTGCTTTTAAAATTTGAAATGGTGAACATGGGTGGTATTTATGTGATTCTTTCTTGTACTATATTTAGTTGTTTGCCTATCTTTTTCTTCCTGGTGTAAATGCCTGTGAATATAAAGAGCCTAGCATGGTCATGCTTATTTTATCTCAGAGCCTAGTACAGTGTCATGGACATAAATAGGTACACAGTAAATTTTTTATTTTATTAAGTAAATGTAACCGTTAAGAAGAAGAGTGGACAAAGAAATGGAAATAAAGACTTGGGGACAGAAAGAGAAACGGATGTGGCTAGTGAAATCTTAAAATTAACATATAAGATGCAAATACAAAGAAAGACTCCCACAGAGATATATGTTTCCTAAAGAGGAGAGTCTCCTTTAGGAAAGTTAGAGGGTTAAATGTTAAAGAGTTAAAAGACGGTTAAAAGTTAGAGGGTTAAATGTTGAGTAGTGGTATTAGGTGATGGTGAAAGTTGAGAAAGACAGAAATAGATTTGCATAGAACTGTCACACTTTTTTTTTTTAAGTTTTTGCAGTCTATTAATGCTCATGAAAAATCTGCAGTCATCACAGATAAAGTCATTGCAGAATCTTTCCTCCTGTTTTTAGCCTTTGCATTCCGTCTGACTTTCTTCATTCTGTTCTTGTGTTCCTTTTACTGTTTCCTTAAGGTCTTTTTTTCTCTCACACAGGCCATTTCTTAAAAGTCTGTGTTTGGTCTCATTTTTCATTGCATAATCCAAGGAATCTTAAATCATGCTGAAGCCATTTGTCTTGTCACCAGCAGAATGGGTTCTGAATCCAAATACAAAAATGACATTGGTGTGGTTTTGTACATTTGGTCTAGTTTTTCCCAAATTTCTGTCTTTGGTACTGTTACCTCTGCAGGGTAAAGCACATCTATGACTGTTTGTGCTCCCTGAAGTAGATGATTGGTCATGAACTTCTAGTACAAATAGTTATTGTATCATTCATGATGGCGGTCAGTCCTCAGGCAGCCAGGCAGAATTGCCACATCTTTTTAATGACAAGCTATATTTTGCAATAAACTGAACTTTTTTCCTTACGTAGATATAGACCTAGTGGTGCGTTCCTTGCCACAGATGTTGTGTGAAATTAAACTTATGCTATTGTACCTAATAGCTGAATAGATTATTTACTATTAGACATGTAATTAATTTAGCAGTACATTTTCTCTTATACCTGTAAAGTACTACTACCAGTTTTTTACCCCAGCCTATTCTTTACATTGACTTAATTGTACAATTATTTATTGGTTGCTAATTCTTTGGTAAGTTGAGCCCATTTTAAGGTATAAATCTTTATACGACTTTGGTTATCATCTTTATTATTATTTTATTGTTTTTGACAAAACAAAGTTCAGTGTATTTCTTAAATAATAGTGATAATTTGTTTTATTTTGTTTTTTGAGACAGAGTCTTACTCTGTCTCCTAGGCTGGAGTGCAGTGGTGCAATCTCAGCTCACTGAAACCTCCACCTCCTGGGTTCAAGTGATTGCCATGCCTCAGCCTCCAGAGTAGATGGGATTACAGGCACATACCACCATGCCTAATTTTTATATTTTTGGTAGAGATAGGGTTTCACCATGTTGGCCAGGCTGGTCTCAAACTCCTGGGCTCAAATCCACCTACCTGAGCCTCCCAAAGTGCTGGGATTACAGATGTAAGCCACCGTGCCCGGTTAGAGTAGGGATAAATTTGAAGTGGAAAACCAAATAGTAATTCCTAGGAAATCCCATGTGTGTCATGTTTCTTGAGATATTGAAAAAAATATGTTTGAAAGACCTATTTTCCACACTTTGGACACAATTTGCCCATATAAACGTCACCTTGCCCATTCGTTCAGTCATAGGCAAAAACCCATAAATGGTAGCAATTATAATGCCTGTCTTCAATGACAAGAAGAGTAAATAGTATTGTCTCTCCCTTAATCTGGAGAAGGGTAGTTCATCCTTTGAAATTCATGATTTATGATAGGTATTCTTTTATCATTTAATTTACTGCTTTTCCACTTTTAGTCTTTTCGAATGAATGTATATTGCTTTATTTCACTAATGCTTACGTTTCCCAAACAGTATGTATTAACATACTCTGTGGTAACTAATTATGCATTCTCATTTTTTTCTTTTTTTTTTGTTCTTTCATTTTACTCATTACTAAGTATCACAGAGTATACATTCCTCTTTTAAAAACTTATAAAAGCTGCTCAACATCAATAGTTATTAGAGGAATATGAATCAAAACCACAATGCGATACTACTTTATGCCCACTGGGGTGGTTATACAATAAGTACTGGCAAGGATGTGGAGAAATTAGGACCCTGATACATTGCTGGTGAGAATGTAAAATGGTACAGCTGCTTTAGAAAACAGTTTGGTAGACTAGGTGCAGTGGCTCATGCCTGTAATTTCAGCATTTTGGGAGACCAAGGTGGGTGGATCACTTAAGGTTAGGAGTTTGAGACCAGCCTGGCCAACATGGTGAAACTCCGTCTCTAATAAAAATACAAAAAAATTATCTGAGAGGCCGGGCACGGTGGCTCAAGCCTGTAATCCCAGCACTTTGGGAGGCCGAGACGGGTGGATCATGAAGTCGAGAGATCGAGACCATCCTGGTCAACATGGTGAAACCCCGTCTCTACTAAAAATACAAAAAATTAGCTGGGCATGGTGGCGCATGCCTGTAATCCCAGCTACTTGGGAGGCTGAGGCAGGAGAATTGCCTGAACCCAGGAGGCGGAGGTTGCGGTGAGCCGAGATCACGCCTCAAAAAAACAAAATTGAAACAAGAGTGAAACTCCATCTCAAAAAAAAGAAATTACCTGAGAATGGTGGTGTATTCCTGTAGTCCCAGCTACTCAGGAAGCTGAGGCAGGAAAATCGCTTGAATCCAGGAGGCAGAGGTTACAATGAGCCAATATTGTGCCAGCCGTTGTACTCCAGCCTGGGTGACACTGTCTCAAAAAATAAAATAAAATGAAATAAGATAGATAAGGTAAAATAAGTAAAATACAATTTGATAGTTCCTCAATAAGTTAAACACAGAGTTACTGTATGACCCAGAAATTCTACGTCTAGATATGATACCCAAGGGAATTTAAAACGTCTGCACAAAAACTTACACAAGAATGTTTATAGCAGCACTTTTAATAATAGCCAAAAAGTAGAAAAAACCCAAATGTCTATTGGCTGATGAATGGATAAAGTATTGGTATATTCATACAATGGAATATCACTTGGCAATAAAAAGGAATAAAGCCCTGATACATGTTACATGATGGGTGAACCTTGAAAACATTATGCAAAGTCAGATAAAAGTAAGTCATAGAAGACCACATGTTATATGATTTGGTTTATATGAAAGGTCCAGAACAGGTAAATTCATAAAGATAGAAAGTAGATTAGTAGTTTCCAGGGGAGGAGGGGATCATATGACGCGTGACTGCTAATAGGTATAGGGTTTCTTTCAGGGTTTCAATAATGACAATAGTTGTGCAGTTTTGTGAATATCCTGTAAACCACTGAATTGTACACTTAAAAGAGTTAATTTTATGTTTGTCAATTATATATCACTTTAAAAAGTATAACAAAACTTATAAAGCAACTTTGATAAGAATGTCCTATATTACTGATGTTAGGTTTCAACCCTTCAGAGACCAAGATTCGAACACCTGACGGGAAAGTGTGGCAGGAGGCTGAGTTTCAAAACATGAGTAGAGAACTGTATCGAGATTTAGCACTTCACTTTTCAGGTGAGAATAGAGCTTTCTTTTGTTTCGAGTATTTTGCCATACATGCTGTGCAATTTATAATATTTACACATAAAATTGTCACCAAACTAACAATATTTTCTTTCTCTAATTGCCTGGTATACTGAAGCTGTGGTGGTTTGAGGCATAAGGCTCTCTTAGCCTCTAGGCTCAGCTCCAGGTTTAAAATTAGCCTACATGATTAATGAGACAGAAACCAGGCTATTTTTAAACTGAGAGACTTTCAGAATTGAGACTGCTTGATTTGAAGGAAACATAGCAAAATTTAGTTGAAGTTTACTTCTGCTTAGGTGTCTGAGATCTTTGAAGTAGTAAGCAATTTGGCAGGCAGCAGATCAGATAGTTTTAGGAGAGCGAGATACAAAAAAAATAAGTATTATAGGAAGGGATTAAGTTAGGAATTAGAAATAAGAGGAACCCATGGAAGACTGGAAGAAGATGATAGGAAGGTCATACTAATAATAGTACTACCTACCGAATAGTATGAGCTTGGGCAAGATGCTGAGTGGTCTTTTGTAATTTTTTTTTTTGAGATGGAGTCTCACTCTGTTGCCAGACTGGAGTGCAGTGGCATGATCTGGTCTCACTGCAATCTCTGCCTCCCAAGGTCAAGCAATTGCCCTGCCTCAGCCTCCCAAATACCTGGGACTACAGGCATGCACCACCACACCCAGCTCTGTTTTTGTATTTTTTAGCAGAGACAGAGTTTCACCATGTTGGCCTAGGTGGTCGAGATATCCTGACCTTGTTACCTGCCTGCCTCAGCCTCCCAAAGTGCTGGGATTACAGGCGTGAGCCTCCATGCCCAACCGGTCTTTTGTAGTTCTTACAGTTGAAGAAATGGAGGTTCAAAGAATAATTTTCTTAGGGTTGGATAGAGTAGTTGTGAATTGAAGCCAAGATTCAAAACTAACTCTGTCTGATTCTAAAATGTGAGGTTTTTGTAGTAAGCCCTCATAAAGCTTCTGGTAATACATTTCTGTGGCATTAAGTGTCCAGTCCAGTTTTCTTGCTATTATTATATAACACTCTGTTCAGAAATTTTTTTCTCATGTGGAAAGGAAGAATAATGTAATTGTTAAGGGCAGAGATTTTGGAATCAGCTTTCAAGGGTCCCAGTTCTGGCTCTGCCACTTATTAGCTGAGTATATTAGCTGTGTTACATAACTTCTCTTTCTTGGTTTTCTCATCTGTGAAATAGGAATAGTAACAATATACCTGATAGGATAGTATCATTATAGACTAGTAGAATATGTCAAAAGACTTTTGTATTCTGTCTTCTCTTTTGTTATGGTAGATGAACTATGATGTTCCTAGCTAAGACTAACCCATCTACTTGTCTTTTCGATTCCATTTGATCTTGCATATTTAAGAACGTTACTTCAGCCTTATTTCCTTTTTTCTTTTTTTTTTTTTTTTTTTTTTTGAGACGGAGTTTCGCTGTTGCTACCCAGGCTGGAGTGCAATGGCGCGATCTCGGCTCACCGCAATCTCCGCCTCCTGGGTTCAGGCAATTCTCCTGCCTCAGCCTCCCGAGCAGCTGGGATTACAGGCACGCACCACCGTGCCCAGCTAATTTTTTGTGATTTTAGTAGAGATGGGGTTTCACCATGTTGACCAAGATGGTCTAGATCTGTTGACGTCGTGATCCACCCGCCTTGGCCTCCCAAAGTGCTGGGATTACAGGCTTGAGCCACCGCGCCCGGCCTATTTCCTTTTTTTCTTTGCATCATCAAGTTTTCCCTCCACCAGATCATGGTCATCAACATACCATGTGATAGCATGCTGTTATATCGGCCACTATAAAAGAACCCCTCTTTTGGCCTTACTTTTCTCCAGCTGCTGCCCTGTTTCTTTCTTGTCTTCAGCAAAACCACAAAAATTTGCTTTATGCTCATTGTCTCCAATTTGTCTTCTCTCTTTTTCTTAAATTCTTTCTATAGGTGTTTGTCCCTGTTTGTCAAGATCATTGGCTGGGTACTGTGGCTCACGCCTGTAATCCCAGCACTTTGGGAGGCTGAGGCAGGTAGATCACAAAGTTAGGAGATTAAGACCATCCTGGCCAATACAATGAAATCCTGTCTCTACTAAAAATACAAAAATTAGCTGGGTGGAATGGCGTGTACTTGTAATACTTGGGAGGCTGAGGCAGGAGAATTGCTTGAACCAGGGAATCTGAGGTTGCAGGGAAACAAGATTGTGCCACTGCACTCCAGCCTGGTGGTGACAGAGTGAGACTCTATCTCGAAAGAAAAAAAGATCATCAATGACTTCCAAATTGCTAAATGCAATATTTAATACTAATTTGTTATCTTGATCTCTCAGCAGCATGATCGATCACTTCTTTGAAACTGTTCACTTGACATCTAGAATACTATAAGTATCTGGTTTTCCTCATAAGTCTATTCTTTTTCAGTTGTTTTTTTCCTAATCATCAGGATGCCCCGGCCTCAGTCCTCAGTGCTTGGGCAGGCAGTTGGCTGGCTTGCTTTCTTTCTCCTCTCTCTCTTAAAAACAATTTTTTTTTTCTTACCTTACCCCTTCCTTTTCTTCCCTTTCTTTCATTTTCTCTCTTTAGTCCCCCTCCTACTCTTTCTTTCTTTCTTTCCTTCCTTCTTTCTTTCCTTCCTTCCTTCCTTCCTTCCTTCCTTCCTTCCTTCCTTCCTTCCTTCCTTCCTTCCTTCCTTCCTTCTTTCTTTCTTTCTTTCTTTCTTTCTTTCTTTCTTTCTTTCTTTCCTTATCTATATGCATACAAGGCAGATTTATCTAGTCTCATGGCTTTAAATGTTCTCTGTTGCTAATGATTCCCACAATAATGTCTTTAGCCCACACTTTCCCTCTGAACTCACTTATATGCAGCTGCTACTTCCGTATCTCTCCTTGATTGTATAATAGATCTCTCAACCTTAATATATCCAAAATGGAACTAACTAAATAGATGTGGTCATGTTATACCCCTTAAACCTGCTACTCTAGTAGTGTCTCCATGTTAGTTAATTCTTTCCCTGTACTTGTTCCAAATCTTGTCACTCTTGAATATCACACCCCCATCTCATATTTTGTATCTAATATTGTCTGAAATATACTTAGAATATAGTCACTTTCACCACCTCTCTCACCTCTACCTAGATCAAAGCCACCATCAGTTTCTTACCTGGATTACTCTGGTAGTCTCCTCTCTGGTCTCCCTCTAATGAGTCTCTCTTCTAATGAGTCTGTTGTCATCACAGCTTGCTAAAATTTAGATCGTGTTGCTCCTTTGTTTATAATCTCTCAACAACCTTCCATCTCACTCTTGCGTAAAACCTGAAATTCTTACAATGGCCTACATAGCCCTACATGATCTAGCCCTTAGTTATGTTCTGACCCTAGTTCCTACTATTCTCCCTTACACTGACCTGCTTCCTTTTTTTTTTTTAGGTACTAGGTATGCTCCTGCTTTAAGGCCTTTTACTTATACTTACTTCCACTCTGTCCAAAATGCAGAACTCCACATATATTTTAAGCCACATTTATTCTGATCTGTAATTGAGGCTAATTTTTGAAACTTAACGTGTAATCAGTGTATTTCTGCAAGTTCGATTTTTAAAAAAGTAGTGAGTAATAATGTATATATAAAATACCTTTGTATGTTTCACTAGCATTATCATAAAGAGACCCTAATTTAATAATATTGAGTATCTTGTAAAGTTTTTATATAGAAATTTCTAAATGAGATAGGAATCTGTGAGAATGCTCACCTCTGAGATTCTATAAAATGCAGTGATCCTGATTTGGAAAGCATTTGTGAAACTAGGTGAATTTCTCAAGAGTCTCCTAGAAGAATAAATAAATAACAAAGAATTGGAACCCAGCAGTCGAGTAGTGGTAATCTTTAGATTTTTCCACATCCTTTTTTCCATAAAAGGAGTTGATGTTGGTATTATACAGGCCATAGAAATAGCCTCAGTGTAGGTTTCTTTTTCCTTACCTGCAGCATATACTTTATACTGATTTTTCCTGTGGTGGGGGGAGGATAAGTGAGTGAGAATCGTTGTTATATTTGCTGTAAATGTTTCTGCATTTCAGATGATATTTCTATAAAGGAGAAACCTGCCGGAAAAAGTAAAGAGAAGAAAGTAGTCAAGCCAGTACGAAAAGTCCAAAAAGTAGCACAGTTATCAGGTACAGAATGCAAAACAGGTTAGTTTTCTCAATAACATGTCCATCCCTTTTTAAAAAAAAATTTTTTTGTAATTATACTTTAAGTTCTGGGATACATGTGCAGAACGTGCAGGTTTGTTGCATAGATATACACATGCCATGGTGGTTTGCTGCACCCATGAACCCGTCATCTACATTTAGTATTTCTCCTAATGCTATCCCTCCTCTGGCCCCCATCCCCCAACGGGCCCCGGTGTGTGATGTTCCCCTCCCTGTGTCCATTTTTCTCATTGTTCAACTCCCACTTCTGGTGAGAACATGTGATGTTTGGTTTTCTGTTCCTGTCTTAGTTTGCTGAGAATGATGGTTTCCAGCTTCATCCATGTCCCTGCAAAGGACATAAACTCATCATTTTATATGGCTGCATAGTATTTCATGGTATATATGTGCTACGTTTTCTTTATCCAGTCTGTCATTAATGGGCATTTGGGTTGCTTCCAAGTCTTGCTATTGTGAATAGTGCTGCAATAAATATACATGTGCATGTGTCTTTATAGTAGAATGATTTATAATCCTTTGGGTACATACCCAGTATGGGATTGCTGGATCAAATGTCATTTCTTGTTCTAGATCTTTGAGGAATTGCCGCACTGTCTTCCACAATGGTTGAACTAATTTACACTCCCACCAACAGTGTAGAGAAGCATTTCTTTTTCTCCACATCCTCTCCAGCATCTGTTGTTTCCTGACTTTTTAATGATCGCCATTCTAACTGGCATGAGATGGTATCTCATTGTGGTTTTGATTTGCATTTCTCTAATGACCAGTGATGATGAGCTTTTTTTCGTATGTTTATTGGCTGCATAAATGTCTTCTTTTGAGAAGTGTCTGTTCATATTCTTTGCCCACTTTTTGATGGAGTTGTTTTTTTTTCTTGTAAATTTGTTTAAGTTCCTTGTAGATTCTGGATATTAGCCCTTTGTCAGATGGATAGATTTCAAAGATTTTCTCCCATTCTGTAGGTTGCCTGTTCACTCTGATGATAGTTTATTTTGCTCTGCAGAAGCTCCTTAGTTGAGTTAGATCCCATTTGTCAACTGTGGTTTTTGTTGCCATTGCTTTTGGTGTTTTAATCATGAAGTCTTTGTTCATACCTATGTCCTGAATGGTGTTGCTTAGGTTTTCTTCTAGGGTTTTTATGGTTTTAGGAATTACATTTAAGTCTTTAATCCATCCTTGTATAAAGTTACATACTACTGTTAGCAAATGTTCTCATTGTTTGGCACATGTAAAAATTTAATACATTTATGTATCATTGTGTGTGTGGGTGGGGGTTGTTAAGGTGTAATTGACATAAACTGGACATATTTAGAATGTGTAGTTTGATACATTTTCATAATTTTATACATCCATGAAACCATTTGTTCACCATATGTTCATCAAGATACTGAACACATCTGTCATCCCCTCAATATTTTTCTATGATTATTTTTAATAAGAGTTAACCAGATTAAAGGTAATTTTTATGTGGTGAACTTTTCTATACAAGGGGATTGTTTCTGACTGTCACTAATTCCTTTGACTTATTCTCAAGAGAATAAATTTTGCACGTCAGAACTATGATGTTTCATACTAGTATTGTTCAGGTGGAACTCTGAATAGCTCAGGAATGGACAAAAGAATTCTCTAGTTCCATGACATTTTGGCCCTCATCCAAAGTGCCCCGATTTATAACTAGCTTTGTTCCTTTAGTAAATGAGCTAATTTTAGTGTTCCTTGGTTTTCCCATATGTAGAAAGGGAAAGCAGTATTATTTATCCCACAGGGTTGTTGTGAAAACTAGGAGTTAATACCCAAAAGCACTCATTATAATGCCTGGCATATGATAAGCACTCTACTGTTAGTATGATTCTGTTAATAATAGTAATTATTATTTCTGGCTATATTGAAACTGGCTATTTGGAATGTCATATTCATCTCAGTAATTTGGGCCAAGAGAATGGAGAAAGTTGGGACCTGTCACTTTTGGTCTGGAGACATTCTAAATTAATTAATTCATTATACAAATATTAATATTTTTGAGTATTTGTTATGTGAGGCACTGTGCTGTACTAAACTTAGACAATATATTGATAAGCAAGATGCATCTAGCCCCTGCCTTCATGGAGCTTATAGTCTTGTCAGGAAATAGTAGATATGTTATTACAATAAAGTATGATGAGTGCTGCGGTAAGAGGTGACAAGGTGTTATGAGAACATCAGGGCAAAACTGATGGGGTACTGGTTTTTGATCAGACATCTATTTTTCTAGTCAAACAATCAGTAGAATGGCAGGTAATACATTTTGTGACACTCATTGTTAACTTTAGGTGTCAGAGTGACAGTGGCTATATACAGATAAAAAAATAAAATGTTATAATAAAGTTATCTGAGCATTAACAAATACATTTTATTTATTTATTTTTGAGACAGAGTCTTGCTCTGTCACCCAAGCTGGTGTACAGTGGCATAATCTTGGCTCACTACAACCTCTGCCTTTTAGGTTCAAGTGATTCTTGTGTCTCAGCTTCCCAGGTAGCTGGGATTACAGGCATGTGTCACCATGCCCAGCTAAGTTTTGTGTTTTTAGTAGAGACAGAGTTTTGCCATGTTGGCCAGGCTGGTCTTGAACTCCTGGCCTCAAGCAATCCACCTGCCTTAGCCTCCCAAAGTGCTGGAATTATAGGTGTGAGCCACCATGCCTAGCCAATAATTACATTTTTAAAAAGTATTAGGTTTCATGTGGCATTATTAACATTATGTAATACTGTTGCCAGAGGCATAGTTTGAAATGAAGCACAGGGACCACTAATACTTATGAATGCTAATATTGGATTGTATTCATCCAGTTTTGTGGTAGGCTAATTCTCATGTATGTACTGTGACAGTGAGCTAGAGAGTCATTAAATGTGCTAATGCGGTATTAATAGTTTATGTAGTGAAAATCCTGTTTTTTTTTTAACCAATGACTCTGTAACTGTTCCAGAAAGTTAGCATTTAGAAATAACCACTCAGCATATTCAGATGCCAACATGTATAAATAACTACCCAGTGTATTCATGGTTGCTTGTTTTTGATTCAGAAAATCAGGCTGAAATTAAAGAGAAGTCTGTTTTCTCATTTTACGTAAGAACATAAAGTTTCTTATAAATAGATTGAGCAACGTACTTAAAACCCTTTAAATATTTTAGATAGACTGTATAAGGTAATAATAAGGTGCAAAAACATTTATAAAGTAAACAGCACACATTATAACACACCTTTTTATAATTGATGTTTTTACTAAAATGATGCTTCTGTTTAAACTTGTAAATTAAAGCCCTTTTTAAGGAAATTCTAAATGGAATGTCTTTTATTATAACGACAATAAAATAGCATCACAGACAGCTGGAAAAATAGAAGAAAACAGATAAACCCACTTTCCAGACTTCAATAAAGAAACTAGTATTATTTTCTATGTTTCCTTATATTCATTTTAAAATCATAATAGTATGTGATGGTAATCACTGTATATATACTTTTTTTGTATATGTAGAATTTCATATTTTTTGTTAACATCTTTTCACAAGAACATTTCTATTGTTTCTTATGAAAATTGTCATTTTTAATGGTCATACAATATTCTAGTAGAAACAGTAACTGTTCACATTCTTCAGTATTTAGTTACTTCTGATACTATAAAAACGATAGTCAACATTTTCATTTATTTTTTTCTTTTAGGTTATTTATATTGTATAAATTTCTGTTTATTGGATTATTGATCAAGGGGAATGAATACTGTTGGGGTCCCTGGACATGTAATCCCATGTTTGCCTTTTTTTTTTTTTTTAAAGAAACTATGCCCAATTATATTTCAGCAAGTAATATATAAGCAGAATGATTTTATTATAATTTTACCAGCATCGACTATTAATGTAAAAATGTTTAAAATAATTTAACTAGGCTTGAAGTGCTACTGCATTATTTTCATTGTCATTCTATTTATTCCTTCCTTTATTTTCTTTCTTTTTTTGTGTTCTGTTCCTTTATTTTCTTTTCTCGTTTAATTTCCTTTCTTCCTTCCCTCCCTCCCTCCCTCCCTCCCTCCCTCCCTCCCTCCCTCCCTTCCTTCCTTCCTTCCTTCCTTTCTTTCCTTCTTTCCCTTCTTTCCTTTCTTTTCTATTTCACTCAGTTGCCCAGGCTGGAATGCAGCGGCATGATCATAGCTGACTGTATCCTTGAACTCCTAGGTTCAAGTGATCCTCCTACTTCAGCCTCCTGAGTAGCTGGAACTACAAGCATGCGTCACTGTACCCAGCTAATTTTTTTTAATCTTAATTATTTGTAGAGACAGGGTCTTGTTATGTTTCCCAAGCTGAATTCGAACTCCTAACCCAAAGCAGTCCTCCTGCCTCAGCTTCTCAAGGTGCTGGGATTACAGGCATGAGCCACCATGCCCAGCCTCTATTTCTTATATTATTTTGCATTTAAACACTTTTATTCCATGTTTATTTTTTAGTTTCTATTTTGAAAACAGTCTTTTATTTCATTGTTTTTTTTAAGTCACTGTCTATTTTGAGATGATTGCTTAATTTTTAGTTTCTTACAGTCCAAAGCTAGTAGATGAAAATCTTTTTTTTTCTCTTGGTAAACAGCTATATTTATTGAAACACACTTATTTTTTATGAATTTTATGATGAGGGCCATTTAAAATGATTGTACTTTTTAAATGTTACTGTTTTGTACATAGAAAAGTAGTATATACTTTTGGTACATATCTGTAAAATACAATGCCTGTAATCCAAGCACTTTGGAGGCCAAGGCGGGCGGATCACCTGAGGTTGGGAGTTCAAGACCAGCCTGACCAACATGGTGAAACCCCATCTTTAAATAAAATAAAATAAAAAATAAAAGACCTGGTGCTTTCCAGGTTGACAGTTCCTGTAATACTGTCCCCCTTCAAAAGTAATCACTGTTAACTCTGTAATATGTTTCCTCAAAATTTTTTACATGTTTTTTGACTTTTTTTTTCCAGCAAACCAAACACTTGTCTGTTAAGACATATTTTTGTTCTGTCAAATTTGCTGCCTTAGTTCTTTTTTTTTTTTGAAATGGAGTTTTGCTCTGTTGCCCAGGCTAGAATGTGGTGGGATGCAGTCTCGGCTCATTGCAACCTCTGCTTCCTGGGTTCAAGCGATTCTCCTGTCTTAGCCTTCCTAGTAGCTGGGATTACAGGTACCCACCACCACTTCTGGCTAATTTTTTGTAGTTTTAGTACAGTTGGGTTTGGCTACGTTGGCCAGGCTGGTCTTGTGCCTTAGTTGTTAAGGTTTAAGAATCATTATTTGGTACTTAACTTTCAAAGCATTTTACACTTATTTCAGATATGTGGGTAAATCAAGATATAAACAAATGGTTAACTGACTTGGGCACCTTAAGGTTTAAAAATATCATTATATTGTAAATCTTTTGACCTTGGCAGATGAGCATAAGATTAATAATAAAACCTGTGTGGTTGAGTCGATATACTTCTTAGAATTAAAATTTAAGTTTTAAATTCAGTGCAATGTATTTGTTTTAGGTAGTAGTCATCTTATAAGTACATCTTCTTGGCGAGATGGACAAAAATTGGTAAAGAAGATTCTGGGACCTGCACCCAGAATGGAGCAAAAAGAGCGAAGAACAGCATCAAGTGACAGAGGTGGAAGAGAAAGAACTGCTAAATGTGGTAAGTAGCTATAATTAAAATTGTTGAGAAAACAGTTAATTGATATTAAGTACTTAGAGGATGAAAAAGTACTCTTTAAGAATGTGTTAGGATTTTGCTTTATAATTTTGAATGTAGATAAAAAAAGAAAAAATGTTCTATTGGGCTTGTTTGTGGATAATATCTGCATGTAGGTGTTATGTTCATGTTTATGAAGAATTTGGTTTATGCTGTATTAATGACATTTAGCTGTCATTGTGAATATGAAAGCATTATTTTAATGAAATCATATGAGACTTTTAGGGATATTGGAGAGAATCAAGTCCAATCTGGTTCATCCCAACATATTCAAGCAAACATGGAAAACATTCACAAGGTTGAATTTTTTTATTTGACAGATTAGGAAACAGGCTCCAAAAGAGAAGTGATTTTTCCCAAGGTTGTATAGTCAGTGGGGGCTAGATTTGGTGGTGGAACTGTTCGGTTTGACCCTCAAGTTCACTGTTTTTCTCCTATCAAAGTTTCTTGAGTAAGTGCTATTTCAAATAACTGATTACTTTTTCATGAACACTAAATTTTGGAAATGAAATATAAATACTCATATTCCAGTTTTATTTTTCAGCAGCCAAATTTTGTTTCAGTTTAATTTGAACTTCTGGAATGGATTCAGTAAGATGCAGTTGCAACTATTAATTTGGCATATAGAAGTCAATATACACATATATAATTCTTTGTATTTCAGCCTCTTCACTTTTATCTAGCTTGTAAATACCCTCATGTGTATTCTCAGTCTCAAGCCACGTTACCAAATATTTAGATGATAAAATAATTTTTTTCTGTATATTTATGTTTTTTCATCCTTCACGGAAGAGTTGTAGAGGCTTATTCAACAAATATTTACTGAGTGCCCACTATATAGTAGGCACTACTCTAATCTCTAGGGTTTCAGAATAAGCAAAATAGATCAAATTATCTGGCCCTGTAGAAGAAGCATTCTAGTAAAAGGAATCAGTATGTTCTTCATATGTTTCTTGCTAAATTTTGCCTTTTTTCTCTGGAAATAGGGTCAGATACACAAAATTTTAAAAATATTTCAGCATTTGTTTTACAGATGTTTAAAAATGTAAATGCGATCAGATGAGAGACCAGTTTTAATCTTTTCCTCATATCAACAGGAAATGTAAATTAAAGTTTCAGAAATCCTTTGATAAACTTATCTGAACATAGCTCCATTTCATGTAATTATGAAATGGGTTAGTGTTACAGAATTTTCAGAAAAACTGACACTTTGAGTGCCATTATTATTTAGCATATGCAGTCTGGTTTTTGCAGAGCTTCGAAAAATATCTTTTTTAAGATTATTAAGATATTTCCATTTCCTTGCTTCTCATTGGGATGCCTTCCACTAAAAATATTGTTGACTTTTTTTTTTAACAGCCTTTTGAGGGCTTGTGGAAAGAGGGAAATAGTAACATTAAATATGTGTATGAGAGATAAATCAAAATGCTAAATATTCATATCAATTGTAAGAGCTATCTTCTTTTCCCCGAAATATTTAAAAATGTTTAAAAAAAAACCCAAGGAAATATAGTTTTTCAGAAGATTGAGATCCTTCTTTTACTACTAAAAAGGGAGGTTTTCTTTCCTTTTATAATATTCTTCAGAAGACTATAGAATATTTGATTTTGAGTTTAAGATAAAGTAAAATGCTCTAATTTTCTTGTTAATGCAGTTAAATCTTAGGAATGAATATAGAATTTCAATATGTCACTAACAGTTCATACTTTGCAGGGGGTCACATTGGAAGAGCAGAATCTGATCCCAGGTTGGACGTTTTAAATAGACATCTTCAACGAAACTCAGAACGTTCGAGAAGTAAATCTCGGTCTGAAAATAATATAAAGAAACTAGCTTCATCTCTTCCAGATAATAAACAGGAGGAAAATACTGCCTTAAATAAGGACTTTTTACCTGTTGAAATTCGTGGCATTCTTGATGACCTGCAGCTGGATTCTACAGCTCACACTGCAAAGCAAGATTCTGGAGAGGTACAGAATCAGAAGTCATCAGCACCAGTACACGCTCCTAGGAGTCATAGCCCAGTAAAAAGAAAACCTGACAAAATAACAGCTAATGAAGAGCACCCTGTTATTTCCAAAAGGCGCCACTATGACACAGATGAGGTACGACAGTACATTGTTAGGCAGCAGGAGGAAAGGAAGAGAAAGCAAAATGAAGAGAAGAAGGCTCAAAAGGAGGCTACGGAACAGAAAAACAAACGATTACAAGAGCTCTACCGGAAACAGAAAGAAGCCTTTACTAAAGTAAAAAATGTGCCTCCTTCTGAGCCATCAGCAACTAGGCGACTACAGGAAACTTACTCCAAATTGCTACTAGAAAAGACCTTGCTTGAAGAGCCATCTCATCAGCTTGTTACACAGGAAACACAGGTAATAGTAGTGACATATTCAAAGGAGAGTCATTCATGATTAGGAAACACTTATTTGCTGTAGTATTTAAAAATTACTCATCGTTCCTAGTATGCTCAGATAATATTTATAATAATCGTGGCCTTCATGAAATGTATGAAATAGGAAGAGTAATGAATGTGATAAATATGATCGAAAATAAAAGCTGAATTAAGCATTTGCTATAGTGATTGTTACTGATTTCTTTTCCTCTCATCATTGCTATTAGTTACATCCCTGCATAGTTTTTATTGTAGTACTGAGCAAATACAGTTGACCATTTGAACAATGTGGGGGTTGGGGTGCCAATCCCTGTGCAGTTGAAAATCCACATATAACTTTTGATTATCCAAAAACTAAACTACTAATACCCAACTATTGACCGGAAGCCTTACTGATAACATGTTGATTAACACATATTTTATATGTTATCTATATTATACACTGTATTCTTGCAGTGAAATAAGCTAAATAAAATGTTATTAAAAAATCATAAGGAAGAGAAACTGTGTTGACTATTCTTTAAGTGGAAGTGGATCATCAGGGTCTTCATCCTTGTCATCTTCATGTTGAAGAGGAGGAGTTGGTCTTGCTGTCTCAGGGGTGGCAGAGGTGAAAGAGGTAGAGGTGGAAGGGGAGGCAGGAAGTGTGCACCACCATGCCTGGGAAATTGTTTATTTTTTGTAGAGACAGAGTTTCACTCTGCTGCCCACACTGGTCTTGAACACCTGGACTCAAATGATCCTCCCACCTCGGCCTCCCAAAGTGCCTGGCTCCTTGTTGAATTTTAGATGGTGTTTTGCTATTAGTAGTGTTTGTTTTTTAAGACCAAATAAATTTGAATTGGTTTCATTTGAGAAAAAGAACCCTACATTTATGATTTTTGCAAAGCTGAGGTGACTTAATATTTATCTTAGGTACTACCTGAATATATCTTTGTGATAGAACTCATATAAATTTGATGTCCTTTTCTCCTAGGCCAGACCAGGGTATCAGCCATCTGGAGAATCTGACAAAGAAAACAAAGTACAGGAACGTCCCCCAAGTGCATCTTCTAGTAGTGACATGTCTCTTTCAGAACCTCCACAGCCTCTTGCAAGGTAAAAGGGGAAGAATAAAGATGATTAAGATTCTTTCTTTTTATGAAATTTAGTGGAGTGGTCTATGTTCAGTGAATTTTGTTGACTGACCTTTGTGAACAAGAGGGCAGAGAGGTTTATTTAGAAATTGGTTCATATCTTCTGATGGATATTTAAGCATAGTGCACATCTGTACTTACTGTATACCCTAGGCTAATTGTTCAAATTTTACCTGCGCTTTAATGTAAATGTCAGTTTTTTTTTAAGTTGGAAGCACTCTTGCCTTCTGTGAACTAAACAATGAAAGTGTGTTGGATGAATGAATGACAGTGAAATTTTAAGGTGTTTGTGGCTAATAATTTTCAAAAGGGATTTCCATATCCACTGCTATTTAAAATTTCTTCTTATGTCTAAGAACAATTTATCCATCCTACTTTCAAGAGCTATCTTTGGATATGCTTGTGAACATATTAATAAGGACTAGGAAGGTATCTGATTTGATTTCAGATCGTCAACATACTTTACCTTAAATTTTCTTAAGAAATTTTTTTTGTTGTAATATATTGTTTGCAATAAAGCAAACAAAAAAACTATGTGAGTTTGGAAGTAAAGGTGATATTTAGATTACATGGTTATAAATTATACTTTGTAATAACCATTTTGGAAAGGGAAAGATTTTTCAACTCTTTGAGAATGCATAAGTAGAAATCAAAATCACTATCCAATTTTGGGTTAATACACATGGTTCTTTTTTGGGGGTTGGTGGAAGGGTGGGGAAGACAGGGTTTGCCTCTGTTGGCCAGACTAGAGTGCAGTGGCACAATCTTGGTTCATTGCAACCTCCGCCTCCCAGGCGCAAGCGATTCTCCTGCCCCAACCTCCCGAGCAGCTGGGATTACAGGTATGCGCCACTGCTGCCTGGCTAATTTTTGTTTTTTTTTAGTAGAGACTGGGTTTCACCATATTGGCCAGGCTGGTCTTGAACTCCTGACCTCAAGTGATCCACTGCCTTAGCCTCCCAAAGTGCTGGGATTACAGGCGTGAGCCCAGCCCATGTGATCCTTTTTTTTTTCTTTTTCTTTAAAAAAACAATTTTTCTTTTTTCCTAGATGCTCTGAATCAGCAGATCCTTTTTTTTTTTTTCTTTTTTTTTTTTTTTACCCCATGTCCCTAGAATAATACTATCAATAAAAATAGCTAGCCTTTATTAGTGTTTCTTAGTTTCCAGGCAATGATGTAAGTACTCTGCATATATTGTCTTATTTAATCCTTGTAATTCCTTGAGTTAGGCACTGTTATTCCTGTTTTACAGAAGACGTAATTGAGGCCTAGAGAGTTTTCTCAAAGGTTAAATCATTAATGATAGAGATAGGTTTTAATTTAACCAGTGTGACTCTAGAAGCCTGTGCTTTAACTACTCTGCATACTAATTCCCAAAAGTGAAATGTTTCATACAATTCACTTAAGGTTCTAAATACATTTAAAACTTTGTATAAATAAACTTAAAATTTTGTTTTGAGTTTGAATGCTTTTAGTTATTTATTTACTTATTTTTCTAAGTGTCATCTCTGGAGGGGATTGAATGCTTTTAAATAGGTGATACTCTGTAGTTCATCTCAGTCCCATTATTGTTGTTAGATATACCTCCCTATATTAATGTCTCAATTTTTACCTTTCTCTGAATTTTCTTCTAATTCTGAACAAGTTATCTAATATTAAAAGCAAACCAAACACAAACAAATCTAGTATTAGACCACATACTACCTTGTACCAGTTCCTCACTTTTCTTTTAATATCAAACTTCTTTGACTTGTGATGTCTAATTACTGTGTCTACTTTTTTGCTACCCAATTCCTGAGATTCCCCATTCCTGTTAATAGTTGTAGCATAACTATGTTTAAAGCATGTTACTTTTTGCTTAAAATGTTGGCATTTCTTTTCCTTGCACTTCATATCCTATTATTCTGTGTTAGCTACCTGGAAAACTCCAGATTACATATCTGACTTTGAAAACTGAAGATTCAGCTCAACAATCACTTTCTTTGGCTTGCAGAGTTAATTGCTTCCTGATCTATACTCTACTGAACTTTTAAAATCTTTGTTTTAGCATTTGTGGTGTCTTATTTTAGCTGTTTATTAGTCTTTCATCCCTGCTAGATCTTGCGATCCTAAAGTGTAAGGATTATGCCTTTTTAATTTTTTTAAATTTGGAAACAGGGTCTTGCTTTTTCACGCAGGCTGGAGTGCAGTGGCATGATCAGAGCTCACTGCAGCCTCAATGTCTTGAGCTCAAGTGATCCTCCCACCTCAGCCTCCCAGGTAGCTGGGACTCTAGGCATGCATGATCACGCCTGGCTAATTTTTATTTTATTTTTTATTTTTTTTGGAGATGAGGGGCTTGCTTTGTTGCCCAGGCTGGTTTTGAACTTCTGGCCTCAAGTGATTCTTCTGCCTCAGCCTTCCAAGTAGCTAGGATTACAGGTGTGAGCTACTACACCCAACTCAGGATTAAAATTAAAATGGATTAAATTAAATTAAATGGATTAAGTATATTCATTTTTGTCTCCTGTTTCTGTACCATCAAAATAGCACCAGGCATAAAATTGGCATTCTAAATACTTGAATTTAAAGCTCTTGGATTTTTTATTCATCAGTATCTTTTATACTGTAACTTCTTTTGTATTCCCTTTACTACCAGCTTAGTTTAGGCCCCAGTAACCTCACACTTTGCATTTGTAACAGCCTATATTCTAAGGCATAGAATCTGCTCTAGTCTTTCTTCCTTCATTCCATCGACATGCTTTTCAACTTCTTATTTTCCTGGCTACGGTCTTTCAGATGACTTCTTTTAACCCAATTGCAGAACTTTACATTTACCCATAGTAGTCTGGTTTCAGAGTGCAGCCTATAAAAATAATACCGCATCATAATTTGGCCATTTGTTGGGTCAGCTATGCCTCCCAGCTTTCTGTCATCTGCAAGTTTGATAAGCATATCTTTATGTTATCATCCAAATATAATGGGCAAGACCAAGGACAAAGCTTCATGTTGTTCTTCCCCTGCTTTTTTTTTTGATACAGAGTCTTGCTGTGTTGTCCAGATGGAGTGTAGTGGCACTATCTTGGCTCACTGCAAGCTCCACCTCTCGGATTTCAGTGATACTTGTGCCTTAGCCTCCCAAGTAGCTGGAACTACAGGCGCATGCCACCATGCCCAGCTAGTTTTTCTGTATTTGTAGTAGAGATGGGGTTTTGCCATGTTGCCCAGGCTGATCTTAACTCTTGGTCTCAAGTCATCCGCCTGCTTCAGCCTCCCAAAGTGCTGGGATTACAGGTGTCAGCCACAGTTCCTGGCCTGTTCCTCTAAGGGTCTTCTTAACAGTTGACATCATCCTATAATCTCTCTGTAGTATCCTTTCATATAGAGTCTATGGTCTGAAAATATAGGCAAATGTACATAATGTTGTCTAGGACATCTTTATTCTGTTTCTAGACTTAATGGATACCCTACCCTGTATATTTATGTTTATAGTTATGTGTTTGTATATAGTTGTATATTTATATTGTATAGTTGGTATTCATAGTTTTGCATTTAATTGTTTCACACTCATTAATTTTTTTTTTTTTTTGAGACGGAGTTTTGCTCTTGTTACCCAGGCGAGAGTGCAATGGCGCGATCTCGGCTCACCGCAACCTCCGCCTCCTGGGTTCAGGCAATTCTCCTGCCTCAGCCTCCTGAGTAGCTGGTATTACAGGCACGTGCCACCATGCCCAGTTAATTTTTTGTATTTTTAGTAGAGACGGGGTTAATTTTTTACAAGTATCTCCTTATTTAGCATGTATATTGTTAAATATGTGTTCAGCATAAAGTAAATATTTTTTGATTAGAATAATCTGTCATATCTACATTGATATTTAGCAGCATTAAGCATTTCTCTTTTATGTAATGTTATTTTAAAAATTATTATAACTTTATAAATGGTAAGGGTTTTGTTTATAGAATTTTAAAGGTCTTATTGGCTTCTTTTTAATATTTTTTTTTTAAATACAGCATCTTTTTTTCTTTTTTTTGTTTTTATTTTCTGAAAAATATAGCATCTTAGTTGAAAAAAGCAGTTTGCAAAACAGTATAGATGGTAAAATCGCAATTTTTTTGGTACAAACAATACCACAAAAATGTATTTTCAATGTACACATAGTAAAATGTTTGGAAGGATATAATTCTAAATGAAATATTAACAGTGGCTCTTTTTTTTATTGTTTTGCTGAGTGAGCTTTATCTTTTTCATACTTTTTAGTCTGTTATTTTTTTGTTGCAGTGCATACTCATTGCCCTTAATCAGACAAAAACAAAACTTTTTAGAAATGCTGGTTTGGTTAACTAACATAATGTGACTTTAATTTCCAGAAAAGACTTGATGGAACCTACATGGATGCAGCCTGACAGATTGAGCCCTCAAGTTCACCATTCTCAACCACAGCCTTTTGCTGGAACAGCTGGAAGTTTACTCTCCCATCTCTTGAGTCTAGAGCATGTAGGAATTTTGCCTAAGGATTTGGAATCTATTTTACCAACCAGGAAGAATCATAATGTGGCTTCAAGGCCATTAACTTTTACACCTCAACCATATGTGACCTCACCAGCTGCTCATACAGATGCCTTGTTAAAACCTAGTGCCAGCCAATATAAGAGTAAACTGGATCGTATTGAAGCCTTGAAAGCAACAGCTGCTTCTTTGTCCAGCAGAATTGAAAGTGAAGCCAAGAAATTAGCTGGGGCCAACATTAACTATGGGTCAACATGGAACACTGAGTATGATGTGCAGCAAGCACCTCAAGAAGATAGACCCTGGACCAAGGCTATCAGTCCACCTGTGAAAGATGATACTGAAGATATTTTCTCTGCCCGAATTCAGAAGATGCTGGGTACCTGTGTATCTCATGCAACTTTTGATGATGATCTTCCTGGTGTAGGCAATCTTAGTGAATTTAAAAAGCTTCCTGAGATGATAAGACCTCAGAGTGCCATATCAAGCTTCAGAATGAGATCCCCTGGTCCCAAATCAGAAGGGCTGCTGGCACAGTTGTGTAAAAGGCAGACTGACTCTTCTAGCTCTGAAATGCAAGCGTGTTCTCAAGACAAAGCCAAAATGTCTATTGGTTCCAGCATAGATTCAGTCAGTGAAGGTCCTCTGATTAGTGAGGGGAGTCTCTCTGAAGAAGAGGGAGACCGGGATGGACAACCCCTTTTGAAAGTAGCAGAAATTTTAAAAGAAAAAGAATTTTGTGCTGGAGAAAGAAATAGTTGTGAACCCATCAAAGAGTTTCAGAAAGAAGCCGAAAAATTCTTGCCACTTTATGGACACATAGGTGGTACACAAAGCAAAGGGCCATGGGAAGAATTGGCAAAGGGAAGTCCACATAGCGTCATTAATATTTTTACAAAATCCTATCAGTTATATGGAAAAGGTGAGAAAAATAAATATAGCTTGTACTATTTGTAGATTAAGATAAATTATTTTATAATTTCTGTGCAAGATATAGTTTAGTACACATTTTTCATTGAGTGGATATTGGAGACTTATTATTGTCCGTATTAGTCATCTTCTAAATTTCCTGCAAGCCTCAAATAGAGTATTAGTAATTTAATCTTTAAATTTTCATTTTAAAATTGTTATTGTCATAAAATAATAGTTGACTGGTAGTTGTAGAAATTTTATCTAGTTCAAAGAAATTCATAATGTTCAGGATTGGATATATATCAGGTATATACTACATATTCTTTGACCATAGATATATACTTAAATAGAAACTATAGGCCAGGCGACGTGGCTCACACTTGTAATTCCAGGACTTTGGGAGTCCTAGGTGGGCAGATCACTTGAGGTTAGGAGTTTGACACCAGCCTGGCCAACATGGTAAAACCCCACCTCTACTAAAAATACAAAAAAAATTTAGCTTGGTGTGGTTGCATGCACGTGTATTCCCAGCTACTCAGGAGGCTGAGGCATGAGAGTCACTTGAACCTGGGAGTGCCACTGCACTCCAGCATGGGTGACAGAGCAAGACTCAGTCTCAAAAAAACAGAAAGGAACTAAGTATGTTTTTTAACACAGTGGTGATTTGTGAATTCTTGGGAATATGGCAGTCAGGAATTGAGAGGGATAACTAGTAGCATTTCTAATATGAAAACAACTCTATTAATGTTTAAAACTAATTTTAATAGCAATCAGACTTTGAACAATACTGTATATTTGATTCCTAAAATGACTTCTAAAGTTCCCTTCTTATCCCTGAAATCCTGCAACACAGCTTTCCTTTTCTATGATAGACTGACTCAATTCCTTCAAGTCCTTTTCTCTACCCTTCCTGCTGTAAATGGAATCTACTCATTTTATACTAACATTACCTTAGAATTTCCAGATTGGAGATTTCCCCTCTATAATAGTGAATGGATTTCATCTGTTCCTTTTATGCTCAACTGGGTATCACATTGCTTTTTCCTAGAATTCATATTTAGGTATTTCTTAATGGTCTTGTGTAGACCTTCATATGCTATTGCTTTCTCTTCTTTAGCCAAATTTCTATTAGTGGTAATTTTAAATTTCTTTTGATTTGAAAGTTGTTCTTGTTTCTTTTGATAAAATAAAGTGCTTCAGTCAACATACTTATTAATTCTGTTAAATTTTCATTAAGATGTTTTAGTTAAACATATTTAGAGATGGAATGAGAATGAAATGTTGTCTGGAATTTGCTTTAAAATAGACTGGGGGTTGGTTGGTAGATGAAGGTAGTAGGAGGTTTAATTGAAACTAGATTGGTGATATATTTATCATTGTCAAAGCTGTATGATGAATACTTTGGTTTCATTATGCTGGTCTCTTTTTCATGTATCTTTAAAATTTTTCATAATAAAAAGCTTAAAAAAGTACTGTTAGATATAAAGGTAAATAGAAAAGAAGCACTATTAAAGGGAACTAAAATATCCCTAAGCCCATATTGCTAATCTCCATGTATGGGATGCTTTTCTTACAGGTTTTTTATTTTCGTTTTTAACCATGCCTTAATTATTACTTTTGTCAGGGTTTGAAGACAAGTTGGACCGAGGAACATCAATATCACGGCCTTTGAATGCCACCACAACTCCTCTAAGCAATGTTTCATATGAGGATGATTTTGTCTCTTCTCCGGGGAGTGGAACTTTGACAGAAACAAAATCAACTCTTGAACCTCAGTAAGAATATATTGGCAATATGGAATAAACTCTGAAGAGTGAGAAAAATTTACAAATGAGAACTGTGGTCTGATATTAGCCAAGTTTTGCTTGTTTAAAGATACATGTAGAGGCTGCACATTCACAGTGACTATTGAGAGCATGGGCTCTGGATCCAGACTGCCTTTGTTTAAAATCCAGGCTCTCCTGATTATTAGTTGTTTGTGTTTATACACATTACTTAGCCCTCCTATGCCTTAGCTTCCTTCTCTGTAAAATGGGACATTAATAGTACCTGCCTGCCTTGTAGAGTTGTTATGAGTAAGAAATGAAATAGAGAGAGGCTGAGGCATGAAAATCACTTGAACCTGGGAGGCAGCAGTTGTAGTGAGCCGAGATTGCACCACTGCACTCCAGCCTGGGTGACAAGGCTAGACCCCATCTCAAAAAAAGAAAAAAAAGTCATGTACTTTGAACAGGGCCTGGCACATAGTAAGCAAAACATAGGTTATTAAGTCAATCTTTGAATTCCTAGTAGAGTACTGGAGTATTGGGAAACTACTCCATGGTATAATAACATCAAAAACTTAAGAAATGGTTTTCTGTAATAGAATTGAGGAAGATCAGATAGATATATGACTCCATGGTTCCAAGTAATAAGTAATACTTTTGTAATCAAGAAAATATCTAAAATTTTGCAAAGCTTTGAAAAACAATAATTATAATGCTTATAATATCTAATAATTACTGAGCACTTACTGTGTAAGACACTGCAAGGACCCAGGGACTTTACCTATATTAACTCATTTTTATAATAGCCTGATATGGAAAGCATTTTGTTATCATTTCTATTTTAGAGAGCAAACTGAAGCAGAGGTTAAATTACTTGTACATAGTTACATAGTAAGTATATGTAAATTCTCTCCAGACTTTGCTGGAGAGAATTTCTTCCTGTATTTTGTTACCATTTAAATATATCTGTAATTTTTCATGTGCAATATCATCTTTTTCAAACATCACAAATTGTAATTGATGTAAAATTATTAGGTAATCTTATAAAAATCAGTTAAATTTAATTAGATTAATAGGAATAGGTATGAAAATTATATGAGAAAAAGCATAGTTTTAAGTTTTGAGCTCTAAGGAAAATATTAAATTTTTAAATAAAACCTTTCAAGAATTTAATTATGGTGACATTTAATATATCACCAATCTATATGATTTGATGTATTTTCTTTCCAGGAAAGGTAGAACATATTAAGTTATTGTTGTCTGTAAGATTATAAGGGGGAAATAGTTATAATATATAAATTATAAATTTGAAATTGAGGCCATGTTTTCTAGTATTCAACATTATATATTTTTCTCTAAATATTAGTTCTTATTGGTTTCACTTACCTGAGATTTTTCTTAGTAATAAACTGAACCATAGGGAACAATCCAGGCTTACAGTGGTTAAAAAAAAAAGTAAAGATTATATTTCTGTTCTCCTAGTGATTAAACAGATTTTTAAATATCTTTAATTTATCTATGTTGTAAGACTTTTCTTTTTAGAACTACCATTATTTATTCTTTGACAGTAGCACTTTAGGCCCTCAGGAGGACCATTCTAACAGAAAGTCTGCCTATGATCCTTCCTCTGTGGATGTTACCTCCCAGCATTCATCAGGAGCCCAGTCTGCTGCATCATCTTGTTCATCTACTTCTTCTAAAGGAAAGAAAGGAAAAAAGGAAAAGACACAATGTAAGTGGAATCCCACATAGTAACTTTTTCTTTTATCAATGATTTTATAGTAGTAATCTAAAGTTATGATTTGTTCCCATAAGAAGTTAGAGGAATTTCTTATGGTAGTGTAAATATCTTTCATATTTATCATTATAAAAATACCTTTTGATATATAACATTTCGAGTCTTTTCCTTAATACAAAAGGAATACGTTTGCAATGATAAAAATTAGAGATAAACACTTTTCAAAGAAAGACAGATTTCCTTTGATTGATCCTTCAGATTAACTACTATTAACATTTTTGACATATACATAAAATTACACACACACACAATTTTATTTTAAAAACATATGTAAATAATAGTTGCTTTGCAATTTTTTTTTTTTTAAAACTTAATTGTGTATATACATAGTATCAGTATCTCTGATACTGTATCAGAGATACTGACATATACATTAAGTAACAGAATGCTATTCTGATTTTGCTTGTTTTTATGTTTGTTTTTGAGATAGGGTCTCACTCTGTCACCCAGGCTGGAGTACAGTGGTGTGATCACAGCTTATGGCTCACCACAGCCTTAACATCCTGGGCTCCAATGGTCCTTCCACCTCAGCCTCCCAAGTAGCTGGGACTATAGGCACACACCACCCGACCTGGCTAATTTTTCTGGTTTTTTTTTGTAGAGATGGGCTTTTGCCATGTTATCCAGGCTGGTCTTAAACTCCTGGGCTTAAGCATTCCACCTGTTTTAGCCTCCCAGAGTGCTGACATTATAGGTGTGAACCACTGCACCTGGCTTGTTATTTGAATATATTATAATTTATTTAATTATTTCCCCATTGCTGGATATTTAGGTTATTTTCTTTTATTCTTTATTCCATTGTAAGTACTATTGCATTGAATATCCTTGTAAATACATTTTTATGCATTAGTCTGGTTTTTTCCTCTAGGGGAAAATTCTACAGGTGAGATAATGGGACAAATAATATGCCATGTTTAAAATTTGGGTACATTTTGCCAAATAACTTTTAAGAAAGTTAGTGCCAGTTTATACTTCCAATGAGAGTGATAGGAGAAATTATTTTTTAATCATTAATCTAATAAAATGTTTGCAATTTGGAGGTGTTCTGAAAGTCTTTGTAGGATGTTTAGACATCACTTTACCATCTCTTCCTAAACTCTGCATTTTCTTGTGAAAAAAAGTTCAGTGGTATAGACTGTTTCATAAGTGTTCTGAGAATAAAAGAGCTCCATGGTTCCATAAATTTGGAAAAGTCTACAGTGAAACAAGATTCTTTCCTATTGAAGACTCAGCACTTCAATACGCTAGTGCATTACTTATTTTAGGATAAGGATGAGGCTGTGGTATGAAGCATTGTCCAAGTGTTACTTTGACTAGAGAATTGTCAATCACCATTTTATGGCATTAGAATTCAGCTAAACACAGTTTAGGAAATCCTGATCTTGCTCAGTTCCTTTATTGTGCAGTTGTTAGGGTTTGCTAAGTTAGTGTCTCACCTAAGGTCACTAACTTGTTATTGGCAAAGCCTGGATTCTGATTTCTGACTCCCAAATCCAGTCTATCTTCTGCTATCGTATACTGTACAATTTTACAATTTCATAATATAGGCTGGGCATGGTATCTCGCTCCTATAATCCCAGCATTTTGTGAGGCTTAGGTGGGTGGATCATTTGATCCAGGACTTCAGACTCCTGAGGTTCAAGACTAGCCTGGGCAACATGGTGAAACCCTGTCTTTACAAAAAAATAGTAAAATTATCCAGGCATGGTGGCGCAGACCTGTAGCCCCAGCTACTAGAGAGGCTGAAGTGGAAGGATCAGTTGAGCCCCTGAAGTTGAGGCTGCAGTGAGCCATGATCATGCCCACTGCATTCCCAGCCTGGGCAACAGAGCAAGACCTGTCTTAAGAAAAGAAAAAACCATAATATATTGAGTATATATGTATTAACAATATGATTTAATGTAGGTTTAAAAAATTCTCGAAAACAGGTTAGATGAAGTATAGGTAGCATTTTGTGACTTTCAGTTTCCCTAGTCCTCACCTGCAATACCAGAAAAACCCTGATGGATTTCACTTTCCACAGCATCCTCTTAGTTTTTTGTTCATCCCCAAGTTCTAAAATCAGTGATTTTTATTGTGTATACTCCATCTGGTGGTGAAAAAGAGTGTCTGCATGCTCTGTACAAAAATTTACCTAGTGTAGTTGAAAGTAGTTGGTAGATAAAATGGTAATCCTAAGAAAAAATTTTTGCTTTAAGACATGGAATATGGCTTTACTTGGCAATCTTTTAATGCAGGGGCATTTTCTTTCTATATGCGTCCCTTGATTGGAATATAGGTCTTTCTTGCACAAAACATTGTGTTGTCTATAATTTCTAGTTTAAAGTCAAGAAAAAATTTTAAATTGTGTATTTGTTATAAACAATATTAAATGAATAAAGTGTTCTTATTATTAAAGCAGTGCAGCTTTATTGTAGAAAAATTAGTGATAATCAGTATTAACAACTTGCTTCTAGCCTTGGTATCCTAAATAGACTTTGTAGAGTCCTTTCTAATTGATTAATAATATTCTGTTTTAAGCCTACATTTCAGTTGCATTAAGCACATATACACTGTCGTACAACCATCCCCACCACTCAGCTCCAGAAGTTTCTCATCTTCCCACACTGAAGCTCTGTATTCATTCAACATTCCTCCCTTCAGTCCCTGGCACCACCATTCTAACTTTCTCTGTCTATTGATTTCACCAGGAAATTTAACCATTTTGAAGTGTACAGATCATTAGCATTAAGTGCATTCACATTATTTTGTCATCATGACCATTGTCTATTTCCAGAACATTTTCATCATCTCAAATTGCAGCACTATACCCATTCAATAATAACGCTCATTCTCTTCTTCTCCCAGTGCCTACTAACGACTGTTCTGCTTTCTCTCTATGAATTTGCCTATTCTAGATATGTCATGTAAGTGGAATCGTGTTTGTCCTTTTGTGGCTGGCAATTTCACTTAACATAATGTCTTCAAGGTTCATCTGTCCTGTAGCATGTGTCAGAATGTTCTTCCTTTTAAGTCTGAATAATTTTCCCTTGTATGTGTGTATATACGACATTTTGTTTATCTGTTCATCAGTTGTTGGACACTTGGGTTGCTTTCATCTTCTGGTTATTTTGAATAACGCTGCTATGAGTACGAGTGTAAAGGGTAATTTTTTTCACTTTTATATTTTATTTTGATCTTTAATCACATATCTTTAAAATTTAACTTTAAATTTTTTTATATATAAATATTTTAAAATATAGCAATTTTTCTATTAATTTTTCCAAAAAATTTTAGTGTATATATACACATTTGTGTGTATGTATGTATATGTATATATATAAGCATATAATATGTGTATATATATAATATATAAAATGTATATTTTATATTAAAAAATTTTTCGGCCACCATTAAAATTTATATGCAGTTTTGTAATCTGCTTTTTTAAAAAGGTAATAATAGGCCGGGCGCAGTGGCTCACGCCTGTAATCCCAGCACTTTGGGAGGCCAAGGCTGGTGGATCACAAGGTTAAGAGATTGAGACCATCCTGGTCAACATGGTGAAACCCCGTCTCTACTAAAAATACAAAAAATTAGCTGGGCATGGTGGTGCGTGCCTGTAATCCCAGCTACTCAGGAGGCGGAGGCAGGAGAATTGCCTGAACCCAGGAGGCGGAGGTTGCGGTGAGCCAAGATCGCGCCATTGCACTCCAGCCTGGGTAACAAGAGCAAAACTCCGTCTAAAAAAAAAAAAAAAAAAAAAAAAAGGTAATAATAAATATTTTCCTGTGCTGCTGTTTAAACATACAATCAAGATGAATAGTGTACTAGAGTCAGGAGGTCTGAGTATATGTCCTATTTCTGCTGTTACCAGAGCAGAATGCCCTTGTTAAGCGAGTTATTAAGCCCCGTAGATCTCTAGTTACCTCATCAGTAAATTGGGGATATAGTACTTATTTCACAAGATGTTTAAGAGCAATAAGGTACTATATATGAAGTGCATTTTAATTACAGTGTTCTATATAAATGTTCAGGTTACTGTTATCTATGTAATTTAGATAGCTATTCTCTTGTTAGAATTGTAGATTAAATTTCTTTAAGTTGCAAAGTTACACATTGATAACATAAATAATTTTTGTTTCAGTCATCTCCTTAAGATATATTCCTATGAGTAAAATTATTCAGTCAGAGAATATGAATATTTTTATAAATCAGGCTACATAGTTTTTACCATAGAGTTTTTCAGAAGAATCATGTAGTTCAATTAGCAGTTTGTACCATTGTTCTTTCAGCTCTAGATTTTATCCTTAAAAAACTTATTTTTGGTTACTTTTTCATAGGGATAGATTAGTACTTTATTGTTATTTAATATACTTGTCTTTTATTACCAGTTGAGCTAAGCATGATTTGTTAATAGCAAGTGGAATTCATGGAAGAAACTTCACTTTCCTTAAATGGAGACAGAAGGATGAACTGCTTTATTTTAGATATGGAAAACAGATTTTGAATACAGTATAGGTCAAATTTTAAATATCTGGATTATACTTATTATTTTATTGAAATCTATGTATCAGTTATTCTCTCAGTAAATTCTAGTATTGGGAATCAGCTTTATAAGAAATTTATTTTACAGGGTTGGATTCATTCACTGGAAATGTCCAGAACTTACCTCTTGATGAGGAAAAAGTGCAGTCCAGCTCAGAACGTGGCTCCCATCAAGGAAAGAAATCTGGAACCAGTAGCAAACTTTCTGTTAAAGATTTTGAGCCGACTCTTGATACAGATAGCACTTTGGAGGATCTTTCTGGACATTCTGTGAGGTAAAATAATGTATACTTTATACTGTAATTCATATATAAAGTTATAATATCATTTTTAAAAATCCATATGATGAATTTTAGCCCAGCAGTCTCCTTAACTGTATATTTGAGCTACTACACAATTCTATACTTTACAAATAGACTTCATAGCTTTGTTCTGTATTTTAGAATATGGTCATGTATCATCTAGACTGATGAAACCGCTTTCTCAGGAATTCTCTCCCTCTAGCACAACCCAATTTTCTCTGCTGAATGCTGCTGTTACAGTTGTTTTCTTGGCTTAATCTTTTGACTAAGCAGCCCCCTGCATAGGGTGCTTTGCAAGGTCTTAGTTGCCACATAGATGAATTTTAAGTGCCTAACTCTACGAAGTGTTTTCACTGGGCTACCACAAACTGTCTTATTTCTTTTGTATATAAATTTTGATTGTCATCTATTCATTCTTTCAACACAACTACTTAGCATCCTTTTTGTCTTATTGCTTATTTCTTCCTCTGAACTTCTCTGCTCAACTTACTAGACCACTCAAACAGATTTTCAAATCTCACTCTAATATTGATTATGGGGCTTACATACTGTGTTTTTCTCTTTACTTTCTAATATCATAATACTATGCACTTAGTCTGTCGCTTACAAATAGCCTTCAGTTACTGCTAGCTATACGGTTCCTACTCATTTGTCCATGTGACTTTTCATCTGTGCACTGGTTTTGTCTTGGAAATTGAGGCTCTGAAAAGACAGGGATTTATTTTTTTCCTTTCAAAGTAACTTTGTGCTTTTCTTTTCTTTCTTTTTCTTTTTTATTTGAGACGGAGTCTCACTCTGTTGCCCAGGCTGGAGTGCAGTGGCACGATCTTGGCCCTACCTCTGCCTCCCAGGTTCAAGCAATTCACCTGCCTCAGCCTCTTGAGTAGCTGGGATTACAGGTGCCTGCCACCATGCCTGGCTAATTTTTTTTGTTTTTAGTAGAGATAAGGTTTCATCATGTTGGTCAGGCTGGTCTCAAACTCCTGACCTCACGATCCGCCCGCCTCAGCCTCCCAAAGTGCTGGGATTACAGGTGTGAGCCACTGCACCCAGCAACTTTGTGCTTTTTCTAGTACTGTGACAAATAAAGATAACCAATTTTAGTGCTTTCGTGTTACAAATAATATTGCATCATTAATACCATCATTTCTGTATTTAAAACTGAATTTTTTTTTCTTTGTCAGTGATGTTGGAATTTAGAAAACTTTATCTTAAGAGTTACTCTGATGATTTAACTTGACAAAATTTATAAAGTTAAGCATTTCTTAAATAGGATTCATAGCCAAATAAGTTTCATAAATGCTTTATACTACAATCTAGATTCTCCTTTCCTCACCCATTGAGATTCACAGTGGATAAAATAATTTGAGGCTTTGATAAGGAGGAGTCCAGAATTTTTCAGCACTTGTTTAATCTCTTTCTCTCTTTTTTAAAATTTATTTGGCTGTGGTCACTCTTTGTCTCCAAGCTCGCTCGCTCGCTCTCTCTCTCTCTCTCTCTCTCTCTCTCTCTCTCTCTCTTTCTCTTTCTTTCTTTCTTGGAACACTTATTGACATTATTAGAAATATACTTTTAGAAATGCTAGTCTAGCTAAATTTACTCTGCAAAGCAAATGCAAATTCATCTTACAAAACCGTAAGGTGAGGTGCAGAGTACTTGTTTTGTTTGATGTTGTTTTAATTATTTAATGGAAATCTCTTAAAATGATAATTCTTTTTGTATTTTATACATGAAATAAACATTAGAAATACTATGTATCTAAAGTATCAATAGAAAACTAAAGGTCAGATAAACACGTGAGTGCCTCTCAAGACTACTTTTATTCAAATATTTTTATACTGGGTTTAAGAGAAACTTTTACCTTTGAAAGCTATTTCATTATTTTATTAGAAGCTGAAAGCAAACTTGTTTCAGTATATTGGAAATATGCTGAAATGCTTTTTATAGTGCATCGTTGAATAATTTATTCAGTAAATAAATATTCAGTGCAAGGCAGCATGCTTGATGTTATGAGAAATAATACCTTTAATGAGCTTACTTTTTCAAAGAAAGGTTAGAAATGTGCCTTGTATTGAATTAAATGCCTTAAGAGTTGTTACAAACTGTTATGAGATGTTACTTATTAGAAAGTTCAGGGAAGAGATGTAGATATAAAGAAATGAAATATATTAAGTATGTAGAGATGGATAGTGTGAAAATTTTTTCTGTGACTCTTAGATTAACAAGAGGGTATAACAAAAGAATCATTTTTGTCTTTCTTACCCTTTAATATAAAATATTATCTTTCCGAGATGTATTTTAAGACTCATGTATGGCTGTAATTTTATTGCTGTATAGTATCTATTTTAGAAGACTTTGCTTCATGCTCTAATGAGTGAATCATAATAATATGTACTCTGTAGAGGGAAGAGTTGAGTGCTAATTTAATCAATCTGCTCCCTTTCCACTGTGTACCTAGGGCAGGGTTTGTGCCTTGCTTGTTCACCACTGTAAATCAAATCATCAATTAGAGGAATATTCATAGTCATTTATTCAGCGTAGTGACTATATTAATGAATAAATGCCTAAATCACAACTTTTTAAAGCTAATGTTGATAAAGTTCTTTTTTATATTGTTCTTTTAAATTATTTAGCTGGTTTACAAAGTACTTTTCCTTCCTCTAATGTTTTTATGGATCAAAACTTCCAGTGTCTCATCAGATAAGGGAAGATCTCAGAAAACTCCAACTTCTCCCCTGTCACCAAGTTCCCAAAAATCATTGCAGTTTGACCTTCCAGGAACTTCTTCAGAAAGATCTAAGTCCTCAGTAATGCCTCCAACTATAACAGGATTTAAGCCTAATGCAGCTTTCGCTGATTTGAATCTGGCTGCCGGCAAAACGACAGAAAACCTGGCTCCATCACCAGGTAAGTAGATCCATGCAATTGTAATTTTTAGAATAAGATATGAAGTTTTTTCTCTGAAAATTCCTTTTCTTTCAGTTGAGTTAGAGAGAAATATTATTTCAAGTGAATATGATTACTTTTCAAGTATTAAAAACTGTTAAGAAGTTAAATATTAAAAAGCATGAGATTTAGCAGCATTACCTATGAAATAAAAAAAGAACAACAAAAAAAGCGTGAGAGACTCAGCAATGTTGATTTTTTCCCCATCTTGCCAGCATCAGTCAAAACATGTCTGACAAATATGTCCCATATATGCACACCTGTTTATATGTATATGTATGTGTGTATATATACACACGCGTGCATTTGCACAAATAGAAATAAAGTACATTGTACCTGCCTACCTTGTTTTATTGTGCTTGGCTTTATTGAGTTTCGCAGATACTGCAGGGTTTTTTTTGTTTGTTTTACAAATTAAAGGTTCATGGCATTGAACAAGTTCATCAGTGCCATTTTTCCAACAGCATGTGCTCACTTCATATCCCTGTGTTCACATTTTGACAGATCTTTCAATATTTCAAGGTTTTCATTATTACTATATCAGTTGCAGTGATCTATGATTAGCGATCTTTCATGTTCATGTTGTATCAATAATTGCTTTGGGTGCCACCAACCATGTCCGTTTAAGAGGGCAAACTTAATGGATCAATGTGTGTGTTCTGACTGCTCCACCAATTCACTGTTCTCCTCTGCCACTCTCCCTCTGGGCTCCCTGTTCCCTGAGACACAATGATATTGAAATTAGACCAGTTACTAACCCTACAATGATCTCTAAGTGTTCATGTGAAAGGAAGAGTCACTGCTGGGCGCTGTGGCTCACACCTGTAATCACAGCACTTTTGAGGTGGGTGGATCACAAGGTCAGGAGATCAAGACCAGACTGGCCAATATGGTGAAACCTTTTCTCTTCAAAAAATGCAAAAACATTAGCTGGGCATGGTGATGGGTACCTGTAATCCCAGCTACTTGGGAGGCTGAGACAAAGAATTGCTTGAACCTGGGAGGCGGAGGTTGTAGTGAGCCGAGATCATGCCACTGCACTCCAGCCTGGGCGTCAGAGTGAGACTCCATCCCAATTAAAAAAAAAAGAAGAAGAAAGGAAGAGTCACATCTCTCACTTTAAATCAGAAGCTACAAATGAATAAATGATTAAGCTTAGTGAGGAAGGGATGCCAAAAGCCAAGATACGCCAAAAGATAGGCCTCTTGGGCCAGTTAGCCAAGTTGTGAATGCAAAGGAAAAGTTTTTGAAGGAAATGGAGGGTTTATCTCATGAATGATAGGTAAGAAAACAAAATAGCCTTATTGCTGATATGGAGAAAATTTTAGGGACCTAGATAGAAGATCAAGTCAGTGGCAACCTAAAGCCAAAGCTTAATCCAGAGCAAGACCCTAATTCCCTTCAATTCAGTAGCTATCCACATTGAGGTGAGACCTTCCACCAGCAAAGAGATTAGGACTTGCTGAAGGTTCAGAAGATCGTTAGCATTTTTTAGCAATACAGTATTTTTAAATTAAAGTGTGTGTGTGTTTGGTGTGTGTGTGACAAAGCATTTCTCTTGCCTCAGTCTTCCAAGTAGCTGAGACTACAGGTGGGCACCACCATGCCCAGCTAATTGTAGTATTTTTAGTAGAGACAGGGTTTCACCATGTTGGCCAGGATGGACTCTTATCTCTTGACCTCATGATCTGCCTGCCTCAGCCTCCCAGAGTGTGGGATTACAGGTGTGAGCCAGTGCACCTGGCCCAGTATGTACATGTTTTTTAGACATAATGCTATTGCACACTTACTAGACCTCAGTATAGTGCAAATATAACTTTTATATATGTACTGTGAAACCAAAACATTTATGACCTGCTTTATAGATTTATTCCTTTGGACTGGAACTGAACCTGCAGTATCTCCCAGGTATTCCTGTACTAAGTCCCAGTTTTTCCTACAAAGGAAAGCAAACTTGATTTTGGCTCTTTGACAGATTTTAGAAATCTGAGGTGTGATTTCATGTTAATTTTTTCATTTGACCATTGTCATGCCCTCCAGGTTCTAAGCGCTTTTCTCCTGCTGGCCTCCATCATCGCATGGCAGCAGAACTCAGTTATCTGAACGCCATTGAGGAATCCGTGCGCCAACTGTCAGATGTAGAAAGAGTTAGAGGCATTTCACTTGCTCAGCAGGAGAGTGTGTCTCTAGCTCAGATCATAAAGGTATTTTTAGAGTTTTCTTTTTTAGCTTTCTGTGGTTTTTCTTCTTTCTTCGCTATTTAAAATAGTTTTAATGATGACTTAAACTACTGTGCCAAATAGAAAAAAACGGTCTGTCATATAGCACTTATAAATAAATAGTCCTGGGAAAAACTATCAGGATACTAAAAAGATACAGTGTTTGGCAGCAGAACAATAATAAAATCATGCTCTCTCAAATACTTTGTTTTCCATGTTTTCTGCTTTGTTTAATTGATAGTATAAAAATCATCTAGTCAGATATTCTTTATATTTTCTCTTTTCATAGATAAATACTGAGGTTTTTTTTTTAAAGCTTTATTTATACCAAAAAGAAAAGTTTCTGAGATGCAGGTGTTTGATAAAGCCAGGATAATGTGGATTTTTCCTTAGCAAACAAAAATCCAGAGACGGTCTAAGCATTATTCCTTACTGTAGATGCTTTAAAACACAAAACCCTGAGGTATTACTTACATAGTATAAAATACACAGATTTTAAGTGTATAGTTTTGATGAGTTTTGACCAGTGTATTTACCTATATAAGAACTACCCTAACCAAGGTATAGAACCATTACATTATTACCCCAGAAAGTTGACTCATGCCCATTTTCAATTAATCCCCCTTCCCAAAGGCAATTACTATTCTAATTTCTGGCACCATAGTTTATTTTGGCCTGTTCTAGAACTTCGTATAAAACGAAGGGTCCTTTGAACTCTGTGTTTAACTTATTTTATTCAATATCAATTGAAGATTTATCCATGTTGTTTTATCAGTTGTTTGTTTTGTTTTTTGCCGAGTAATCCATTAATATTCACAGATTGTGTATCCATTTTCTTATTGATGTATATTTGGATTATTTCCAGCTTTTGGCTGTTGTAAATATTCCTGCTATGAACATTTTTAAACAACTCTGTGTGTACTACATGTATTTTCATTTTTCTTGTGTAAGTACTTAGTAGTGGTGGAATTGCTTGGGGCAAGTATATGAAACTTTGTAAGAAACTGCCATACAGTTTTCCAAAGTGGTTGTAACATTTTACACTCCTGAAATATATAGAATTCCAGTTGTTTGTATCTCTGCTACCATTTGGTATTATTAATCTTTTATTTCAGTCATTCTATTGAGTGTGAAATAGTATCTCATTGTAGTTGTAATTTGCATTTCTCTCATGACTGATGATACTGATTGTCTTTTTGTGTATTTATTGAGCATTCTTTTATCTTCTTTTGTGAATATCTGTTCAGCTCTTTTACTCCCTTCATGATGGGGTTGTCTTTTTAATTATTGATTTATAGGAGTTCTAAAAACAAGTTGTTTTCCAGTGTATTGGAAATATTGTACTCCAGGTTTTGGCTTATCTTTTCACTTTTTAAACTGTGTCTTTTGAGGAATAGAAGTTTTAAATTTTGACGAAATCCAGTTTTTTGTTTCTCTCCTTTGTGGTAATACCTTTTGTTTTCTAAGAAATCTTTGGGCTGAACGTGATTGCTCACACCTGTTATCCCAGGACTTTTTGGGAGGCCAAGGTGGGCAGTTCACTTAAGCTCAGGAGTTCAAGGTCAGCCTGGGCAACGTGGCGAAATCCCATCTCTACTATAAATACACAAAACTAGCTGTCCATGGTGGTGTATGCCTGTAGTCCCTGCTACTTGGAGGGGCTAAGGTAGAAGAATCACTTGAGTCTGGGAGGTGGAGGTTGCAGTGAGCCAAGATTGTGCCATTGAACTCCAGAGTGAAACCCTGTCTCAGAAAAAGAAAGAAAAAAAGAGAGAGAGAGAGAGAGATCTTTGCCTACCCTAAGATACTAAGATATCTTAACATTTTCTTATTTTTTTCCCAAAAGCTTTATAATTTTAGCTTTCATATTAAGTGTGTAATCTTTCTCAAGTTAATTTTGGGAATTGATGTGAGGAAGAGAGTCAAAGTTTATTTTTCCCTAATATATAAATATTCAACTGTTCCAGGACCAGTTTATTAAAAAGACTTAAACTACCTTAGTGTGTTTATCAATGATTAAGTAAACAATTATGTGTAGACCTATTTCTGGGCTCATTTTCCATTCATCTTTTCATTTATCCTTAATGTCAGTATCATATTGTTTTTATTACTGTGGCTTTTTAGTGAGTCTTGAAATCAAGATACAGTTCCTCACACTTTGTTTCTTTTTTTCGAAGATGGTTTTGGCTATTCTAGGTTGTTTGCTTTTCCATGTAATTTTTAGAATCAGTTTGTCAATTTTTACCCCCCCACCAAAAAAAAAAAAGCCTGGTAGGATTTTAATTAGAATGGTATTAAATCTATAGATAGTCAGTTTGGGGAGAATTCATATCTTAACAGTGTTGCCTTTTCTAATTCGTGAACATGAGATATATTTCTATTTAGATCTTTGAATATTTCTCTCATCAGTATTACAGTTTTCATTGTAGAGGTCTTATACATTTTAAAATTCATTTCTAAATGTTTTATGGTTTTTGATGCTAAATTATTTTTTTTTTCCAGTTTTATTTTCCATTTTTTCTTCCCAAAAGACCTGTCGGACAGTTCTTTGTGTGGGACTGTTCCCATACTTTGCAGAGAGCCCATCATTCCTGTCCCTCTACCACTAAATAACAGTAGTGTTGTCCAGTCATTGTGGCAGCAGTAACTCCCTGGACATATCCAGATGTCGCCTGGTAGAGGGTGGGGGAGGGACTAATGCCAACTTTGTAGAGAATCATTGTATTGAGGAAATGACCCCATTGTAGTGGAGGGCCATCCTGACCTTGAAGTCTGAGTCAGCCCTGAGGTTTTTTGCCATTTTAGAAATACATTACAATTCGGGGTTTCTAGATTTGGGCAGAGCATTACCACAGCCTTACATACAGACTTACCACCATTTTTTGTCTACTTTTGTTTTGTTTTAATTAAAAAAAAATAGAGACAAGGGTCTCACTATGTTGATCAGGCTGGTCTTGAACTCCTGGCCTCAAGCAGTCCTCTCATGGCCTCCCAAAGTGCTGGGATTACAGACATGAGCCACTGCACCCGGCCCTTACCACCTTTTGAAAACTTCTATTATTTAGCACCATTTTAAAGGAGATGAAAATATATATGTTTGTAGATAACATTGCATGGAATAGTGGTAAGAAAGAGTCCTGGTGGCCGGGCGTGGTGGCTCATGCCTGTAATTCCAGCAGTTTGGGAGGCTGAGGCAGGCGGATCAGGAGGTCAAGAGATTGAGACCATCCTGGCCAACATGGTGAAACCCTCGTCTCTACTAGAAAAATACAAAAATTAGCTGGGCTTGGTGGTGTGCGCCTGTAGTCCCAGCTACTCGGGAGGCTGAGGCAGGAGAATTGCTTGAACACAGGAGGTGAAGGTCGCAGTGAGCCAAGGTCACTGTACTCCAGCCTGCAAGACTCTGTCTCAAAAACAAAAACAAAAACAAATAGGCCGGGCGCGGTGGCTCACGCCTATAATCCCAGCACTTTGGGAGGCCGAGGTGGGTGGATCACGAGGTCAAGAGATCAAGAGATCAAGACCCTCCTGGTCAACAAGGTGAAACCCGGCTCTACTAAAAATACAAAAATTAGCTGGGCATGGTGGTGAGCGCCTATAGTCCCAGCCACTCGCGAGGCTGAGGCAGGAGAATTGCTTGAACCCAGAAGGCGGAGGTTGCAGTGAGCCAAGATCGTGCCATTGCACTCCAGTCTGGGTAACAACAGCAAAACTTCGTCTCAAAAAAAAAAAGCGTCCTAGTAACAAGAAAACCTTATATGGGGGCGTCATTTTTTAATGAAACTGCTACTTCAAAGTAAAAATAAAAGAATCATAAAATTTTGAAATGTGAGGCATTACTTTTTTCTTTTACACATAGGACATATTTTTTATCTCTTCAAAAAAGTTGGGTGCTATAGCCTTTGCTTTCTAACCAGCTTTCTGGTATTAATTCTTAGTCCTGTATGCCCTGGAAATTTTTTATATTACTACATTATTTGGCACATGGGAGGTAGTCATAAAATATTTTGAGAAGTGAAAAGTGGCTATTGACTATTCTTTTTACTGTCTTTCCCTTTGGTTCTAATTAGCTGCTTCAAGTGATTTGTATCAGGAAGATAGCATTGTGTGTGTAATAGTCACTGCGTTAAAATAGTTTAGCATCATAGAATCAACATTTGACCATTTCTTTAAGGCACAACAGCAACGCCATGAAAGAGACTTGGCCCTCTTGAAACTGAAGGCTGAACAAGAGGCTCTGGAGAGTCAGAGACAATTAGAAGAAACTCGAAACAAAGCAGCTCAGGTAACTTATTTTGTAGCAGGTTCTTGTTTTTAAAACCTAAATTTGTATCTTAGAAATTACCTTAGCATTCTTTTAATTATATAGGAGAAAAAAATATATATAAATAATAAAGTTTTAGTACTTTTTATGGGATAATTCCATGTCATTCGATTTTTGTTGCCACCTTGTGAAATAAATTGTCAAGACTTATTTCTAGTTTAGGGAAGTGGCAACTGAGGTATATTGTATTTACTTATTCACAAATACAGTAACTTGTGAACAGTGGAGTTAAGACTTAAACCGTGGGCCAGGTGTAGTGGCTCACACCTGTAATCCCAGCACTTTGGGAGGCCAAGGCAGGCAGATCACCTGAGGTTGGGAGTTTAAGATCAGCCTGATGAACATGTAGAAACCCCATCTCTACTAAAAATACAAAAAATTAGCCAGGCATGGTGGTGCATGCCTGTAAACCCAGCTTCTCAGGCAGCTGAGGAAGGAGAATTGCTTGAACCTGGGAGACAGTGGTTGCAGTGAGCCGAGATTGCACCATTGCACTCCAGGCCTGGGCAATGAGAGCAAAACTCTTGTCTAAAAAAAAAAACAAAAAAACTATGAAATCCAGATTGTAATAAAGTGTTTTTTTTTTAACTACAAATGAGGCATTTGATCCATGAAATAAATTTATAAATTAAAATTAATTTGGGTCAAGAGGAGACTAAAACACAACTTCTTTTTTAACCCCGTTTTATGTAAAGGTCCATGCAGAATCATTACAGCAGGTAGTTAAATCACAACGGGAAGTAACTGAAGTCCTACAGGCAGCAACGTGTAAAATAGCAGCTCAGCAGTCAGAGACCGCTCGCCTCACCACAGATGCAGCACGCCAAATATGTGAGGTGGGTGCCCTTGAGAGCCATTATCTTTTTAGTCAATCTGTGTAACTTTGGTCTTACCAGTAATGTGTTTCTAAAATCTTACTAAATGCATACTTGGAATTAGTGACTTTTAGTGGGGGCCATACCTTATTGAAATAAGAGGCACCATTGATTGGAGTGTGTTGTACATGTGAATGTTATAGAGACAGAAAAAAGACAAAGAGCTCTAAATTTCTGCCCTCTGATAAGCTTTTTAGAAACATATCAACTCTATTGATGTGTAATTTATAAACAATAAAATGTACCCATTTTAAGTATGCAGTTGGTGAGTTTTCTTTCTCACTCACACGCACTCACACACACATGTATCTCCTTATAACCATCACTCCTCTCACACACACACGTATTTCCCTATAACCACCGACAGACACACACAAGTTTGTGCGCGCACACACATATCTCCATATAATCATCACCACAATGCAGAACATGTTTCTGTTGCTTCAAAACTTTTCCTCATGTTTCTTTGCAACCAGTCCCTAATCTCAGTCCTGGGGAACTACAGATCTGCTTTGTGTGAAGATGTTTCATTTTTACCCAGAATGATATTAATTATTGCCTTTTCTTTCCTGTAACAGGGGTATAGCCAGAAGTAGTTTTATTGCTGTCTCTGCATAGGATATCACAATTCATAATTGATAGAGTTTCACTTTATTTTAGCAGTTGTCATTTTTTAAACCAAAAGTTAGTACTATTTGTGAAATGACTTAGTTTCTGGAAATCCATGAACCTACTGTATGTTGGGTACTGTGGAGTTGTACATGTAAGTATAAAATTGAATCTTCTTTCTCAAGAAAATTTTAATGTAGACAACATTAACAAAGATATCAAAATACTCTTAGACATTAGAAAAGGAATAGCTCAAAGTAGTGCTTGAATGAATATTGAATGAATACTACCTGCAGCACTTGCAGGGGTGTTAAAGAGTAGGGAAAAAGTACTTCACCTATTGGTCAGCAAAGAGTTAGAAAGGAAGTAGCAATTAAATCGATTCTTGAAGGAAGATTTCGTTTTTGGGTTGTTACTGCTTATCATATGCTTGAAGGTTTTCTGTCTAATTCATAAATTGTTATAGCTAGGTGAAACCTTAGAAATTATATAGTCCACTTCTGTTTTTATAAGATGAAGCTGTTGAGACTAAATGATTTGTCCACAGTAATTCATCTATCAGTGGCATTAAGCCTGCTCTCAAGTCAGTGATCTTTCTTTCCAGGACACTATGCTTCTCAATTCTGTGACCTTATCTTTTTATATATTTGTTTTTCTTGTGTGTGTTCATATTTAGATGGCAGAGTTGACTAGAACTCATATCTCAGATGCTGTCACGGCTTCCGGAGCTCCTCTTGCAGTACTGTATGACCACCAACGGCAACACCTTCCAGACTTCATGAAACAACTGAGGACCAGAACTGAAACAGATAGGTTAATATTCATTCAGTCAGCAAACATATAATGAGTATCTGTTAGGTTAATATTCATTCAGTAGGGCCGGGTGCAGTGGCTCACGCCTGTAATCCCAGAACTTTGGGAGGCCGAGGCTGGTGGATCATGAGGTCAAGCAAGAGATCAAGACCGTCCTGGCCAACATAGTGAAACCCCGTCTCTACTAAAATATAAAAAATTAGCTGGGCATGGTGGCGCATGTCTGTATTCCCAGCTGCTTGGGAGGCTGAGGCAGGAGAATTGCTTGAACCCGGGAGGTAGAGGTTGCAGTGAGCGGAGATCGTGCCACTGCACTCCAGCCTGGCGCCGGGCGACAGAATGAGACTCTCTCAAAAAAAAAAAAAAAAAAAATTCGTTCAGTAAACATGTAAGGAATATTTGTTGTAATAGCACTACTATTGGTTGGGAATAGTTATGGGCATAGTCTAGTAGAGAAGATAAACATTATTCAGATATTCAGTTAAGTAAATGAATACTTATACACTGATTTAAGTGTTATGAAAGGAGCTGGGCGCAGTATCTCACGCCTATAATCCCAGCACTTTGGGAGGCTGAGGCAGGTGGATCACAAGGTCAGGAGATTGAGACCATCCTGGCCAACATGGTGAAACCCCCATCTCTACTAAAAATACAAAAATTAGCTGGTGTGGTGGCGCGTGCCTGTAATCCCAGCTGCTCGGGAGGCTGAGGTAGGAGCATTGTTTGAGAGGTCAAGGCTTCACTGAGCTGTCATCAGGCCACTATACTCCAGCCTGGTGGCAGAGTAAGACCCTGTCTCAACAACAACAAAAAATACTATTTAATGACAGACATCAAAATCCCGTGGCAGCCAGGTGCAGTGGCTCATGCTTGTAATCCTAGCACTTTGGGAGGCTGATGCAGGTGGATCACGAAATCAGGAGTTCAGGATCAGCCTGGCCAAGGTGGTGAAACTCATCTCTACTGAAAATACCAAAAAATTAGGGAGGCGTGGTGGTGTGTGCCTGTAATCCCAAACTACTTGGGAGACTGAGGCAGGAGAATCACTTGAACCCAGGAGTCAGAGGTTGCAGTGAACCAGGGAGTTGGAGGTTGCAATGAGCTGAGATCACGCCACTGTACTCCAGCCTGGTGACAGAGTAAGACTTGGTCTCAAAAAAAAAAGAAAGGAATACATGTCTCAGAGATATGTAACATAGGAATTTTAATAGCCTAGGGGTGCCAGCAGGTCAGAGAAGGCTCTCCTGAGGAAATAAAGCTTGTGGTGAGATCTAATGGATGAGGAGTTAGTAATGTAAAGGACCGTTGTGGCTGGAGGCAGAGAGCAAAGAAAATGGTATGAGATGATGCAGGGATCAGATCATGGTATAGGACCTTGCACACTTAGGATTTTGAAGTTTATTCTAAGAGCAATGAAGCCATTAAAGAGATTATTATTGGCAGGATTGGGTGACATTACCATATTTCAGTGTGTTTTTCTTAATCATATTCGACTGTCTCCAATTCATAGATTTTAAGTCTCTGTTTACATTCATTGACACTAGGAGTGATTTCGTGTTTACTTCCTTAAAAAAACAAGATATTCTAAAATGTGGTGTAAGTTATTTTATAATAACTATTCATTCAACATTTTATCTCATACTACTGTTAAGCAATACTTAAAATCTTTCTGTTATTAGAGACTTTGAATGTTTAATCAGTTTTTAATTTTATTTATAGGAAAAGTCCATCTGTTTCACTCCCTCAGAGTAAAGAAGGAACCCTTGACTCAAAGCATCAGAAGTATTCCCCTTCATATGATAGTTATTCTGAGTCTTCAGGATATAGGAATCATGACAGAAGGTGAAGACAATTTGATTTCTTTGTCAGTACCGTTTAGTAAACTCTGATAAATGGCTTAAACATTGTTTTTCTTTGACTTCTTAATTTTGTTTATTTTATTTATTTATTTATTTTTGAGACAGAGTCCCACACTGTTGCCCAGGCTGGTGTGCAGTGGCGCAATCTTGGCTTGCTGCAACCTCCACCTGCCAGGTTCAAGTGATTCTTCTGCCTTAGCCTCCTGAGTAGCTGGGATTACAGCTTCCCGCCACCATGCCCAACTAATTTTTTTGTGTTTTTATTAGAGACGGAGTTTCACTATGTTGTCCAGGCTGGTCTCAAACTCCTGACCTGATGATCTGCCCGTCTCGGCCTCCTAAAGTGCTGGGATTACAGGTGTGAGCGACCACGACCAGCCTATCTTGTTTATTTAAATAAAACAGGGTATGCTCTTCAAAGTGCTGGCTTCCGTAATTAGCCAATTTACAAAATAGTTGGCCCATGTAATAAGCCATTCAACGCATATAGTATTATCCTTATAGGTAAGAAAACTGAGGCTCATGGAGATGTTAAGAAACCCCTTCAAGGTCACATAAATATTGATACCTTAAAGAATTGCACCTTAATTTATCTGCCTTCAAAGGCTATGTTTATTGCACATTTCCTTGCTACCATTCATATTTCCTGATGTTACTAATTTTTATTGTTATAAAAAATATTGAATAAACCAGGCACAGTGGCTCTCACGCCTGTGATTCCAGCACTTTGGGGGGCTGAGGTAGGTGGATCACCTGAGGTCAGGAGTTTGAGACCAGCTTGGCCAACATGGCAAAGCCCCATCTCTACTAAAAATATAAAAATTAGTGGGGTGTGGTGGTGTGTGCCTATAATCTCAGCTACTCAGGAGGCTGAGGCACGAGAATCTCTTGAACTCAGCAGTTGGCGGCTGCATTGAGCTGAGATTGCACCACTGCACTCCAGCCTGGGCGACAGAATGAGACTCCATCTCAAAAGAAAAAAAAATTGAATAGCTTCTCATTGGTAGTTGTTGTGATATTAATGGCTATAGTTTTCAATTATGGTTCCATCCTCAGATTAGAAGATTTTAGAGGTGACTTTTCAGCATTTTTATAGGTAACATACCGACATTGTCAAGTATAGTAAAACCCCAGTTTAAAAAATTAAATCATGAAACTAAAAGACATGAAACTGTGGGAAAAGTACCAAAGGTACCTATTTTGTCTCTGAAACTATGTGACTTTCATTTACACCTTTACTGACAGTTTCACTGACACTTCATGTAGACCATCATCTGGATTACTATGGTGCACTCCTAATACTTGTCCTCATCCTCTAATCTTTCTACACTCTATTCATTAGCCGCATGGTGACCAGAGTGATTTTTCTAAAATTTCTAGCCCTTTTGGCACCTGTTTGAAATCTTCAGTATTCCCTCAGATTATTCAGACTAAGGTCCAAATTATTTAGCCTAGCATAAAAAGTTCCTTTATAATTGAGCCTTTGGTTCATCTCTAACCCCATTTCTGGGCATTTCCCCTCTTACTATACTCCATTCATTCTAACTAGTTCCAATTCTCTGTAAGAACCATGCTCTCTGTCTTCTGTGCCATTGCCTTTGATCTACGTTTTTTCTAGGCCACCCCCCACCTCATTTCATTTAGTTTACTGTTACTTACCTTTCAAGAATTAGTGTTACCCCTCATCTGCTCAAACTCTCACTTCAGTTGTCCGACAGCACTGTGAGTATAGCTATGACAGTCTTGACTGCGCTTTGTATACATTTCTTTGTTGGTCATTTACAGTCTAGACTAGAAGCTCTTTGAGGGCTTCCTTTTCATCACACCAGAAATAAGCTCAGTAACCATTAGCAGTTGCTCCCTATACCCTCCTCTGACAACCACTGATCTACTTTTTTTCTTTTTTGTTTTTTTGAGACGAAATCTTGCTCTGTTGCCAAGCTGGAGTGCAGTGGCACGATCTTGGCTTACTGCAAAATTCTGACTCCCTGGTTCAAGCGATTTTCCTGCCTCAGCCTCCCACATGCCACCATGCCCAGCTAGTTTTTTTTTTTTTTTTTTGTATTTTTAGTAGAGACAGGGGTTTCACCCATCTCTACTTAAAAATATGTTGGCCAGAATGACTTCAATCTTCTGACCTCATGATTCTCCCACCTCAGCCTCCCAAAGTGCTAGGATTACAGGCGTGAGCCACCACGCCCGGCCTGATCTATTTTCTATCTCCATTCTCTGTGGATTTGCCTGTTCTGGATTTTTTATGTAAATGGCATCATTACAATATGTAGCCCTTTGTGACTGACTTTTTTCACTTAGCATGATGTTTTCAGGTCTCGTGCATGTATAGCATGTATTACTACTTTGTTTATATGGCCAAAAAATATTCCATCTCATGGATATCCCACTTATTATTTATCCTTCATCAGTTGGTGGACATTTGGGTTGTTTCCACTTTTTGACCATTGTAAGTAATGCTGCTGTGAACATTCACATACAAGCTTTTGTGTGGATATGTTTTCATTTCTCTTGAGTATATACTTAGGAATGGAGTTGCTGGGTTATGTATGGTAGCTCTATGTTTAACTTTTTGAAGAAATGCAAAACTGTTTTCCAAAGCAACTGCAGCATGTTATACCATTTTCCCACCACGAGTGTAAATTTTTTCTACAGTCCTCACCAATATTTGTTGTGTTTTTTTGTTATAGCCCTCTTAGTGGGAACCATGCATGCTTGGATGACCAGAACTTAGCAAAGTACCTAGCACATAATAGACAATCTACTATAAGTTTACTGAGTGAATGATTAACACATAACTACTAATTGGCAGAACTGGGATTGAACTCCATGTCCTTCTGACTCATGTTCCCTTCTTGTGTGCTGCATTACATCTTTTACCTTATTGCTTTATTAGAAAATTTATCTTTCAAAAACTTCTTAAACCAAACAATTGCTTTACATTCTGATAAGTACTGTCATAGAAATATATGCACACACACAAAAAACCAGTATGAACACAGGGACAGAAGTGACCAAACCTTCCTTGAGAGTTGGGGTGGGGTCCGTGCAGTCTTCTCAGAATTAACACTTTAACTAAGTCTTGAATTCCATAGGTCGTTAAGCAGACAGGGCAGCAGGGGCATTTTGGAAGAGGAAATAAGCATGTGCAGAGGATCCTAAATATATTAGGAACCTATCACCTGGCTCGTGTAGTAAATGAATAAACCAAGAAATGTAAGAAGGAGAAAGGAAGACACTTGGGGGAATATATGGTTTGTTGGCTGAGGAGTAGCCAAAAACATAAGTTCCCATGGCATTCCTTGAAGCTTAAAATCAGGGGAAGGGCAAAGCAAAGATAGTGATACAAATTTGAGGCTCACTCGAAATGATAGTAGTTGAAGGTGTAGTTAAGATTGCCCAAGGAGAATATGTAGTATAAAAGAGAAAGAGGGCTGGCGCAATGGCTCACATCTATAAGCCCAGCACTTTGGGAGGCTGAGGCAGGTGGATCATCAGAGGTTCGGAGTTTGAAATCAGCCTGGCTAACATGGTGAAACCCTGTCTCTACTAAAAATACAAAAAAAAATTTAGCTGGGTGTGGTGGCACATGCCTGTAATCCCAGCTACTTGGGAGGCGGAGTCAGCAGAATTGTGTAAACGTGGGAAGTGAAGGTTTCAGTGAGCCAAGATATGGCACTGCACTCCATCCTGGGCAACAGAGTGAGACTCCTTCTCAAAACAAACAACCAAAAAATAATAATAGAGTGTGCACGCAAGTGAAGGACCAAAACAAAACCATCAATTTAAGGAAAGACAGAAAAATTTAAAGCAAATGAAAGAAACAAGGAAAGCTTGTTAGGGAGGTGGGAAGAGAAGCAGGTGAGAGTAAAATCATAGGACATAAGAAAGGAGAGCTCTTTTATTTAACATTTAATATTTCAAGCTTACAGAAAAGTAACAAGAATAAATATCTTTCATCCAGATTATCCTAACCTTTTACATTTTATTTAGCAAGTAGAACTTTTATAGAAGGGGAGTTATGGTCAATACCATCTAATGTTGCAGAGTGATAAATTATCGATTGGATTTGGCAATTCAAAGTATAGATAGAGCTTATTCAGAACAGTTTTAGTAGAGCAGTTGGGATGGAAGCAGATTGTGATAAATCATGATGTTAATGAAAAGTGAGGAAGTGGAAACAGTGAGTAGTAGTTCCCTTTCCCAGAAGTTTGATTTTGAAATGAAAGGAAAAAAGGGAGTGATAATCTAATAACATTGCCTATTATGATTATTTAAAAGTGAAATTTTCCTCCCTCCTACTCATCTTTCTCATCTTTTCTAAAATATTTTCAGATTTAGGTTACTTAGCTTTTTCTGTTTTATATTACATCTTGCTTCATTTTTATCTTGATTGTAAAGCACAGTCATTTGGCCAAATAAGTTTCCTTTGAAACTATAATCCTTATTCTGTTAATTTTGTTTTTGTTTCCACGTATCCACAAATAGAAGTAGTAGTGGTAGCAGCCGCCAAGAAAGTCCTTCAGTTCCATCTTGTAAGGAAAATGAGAAGAAACTTAATGGTGAAAAAATGGAGAGTTCCATTGATGAACAGGTTCAGACTGCTGCAGATGATTCTCTACGAAGTGATAGCGTTCCATCTCTTCCTGATGAAAAAGGTAACTTTCTTTGCAAATAAATGTATAATCATTTGTTCAGAAACTGGAGGAAAGATGATCCGTGTTATAAAGTGGCAAATAAGCTGGATGCGGTGGCTCATGCCTGTAATTCCAGCACTTGGGAGGATTGCTTCAGCCCAGGAGTTTGAAACCAGCCAGGAAAACATAAGGAGACCCCTGTCTCTACAAAAAAAATTAAAAATTTACCAGACTTGGTGACACAGCCTATGGTCCTAGTACGTTGGAGGCTGAGATGGGAGGATCACTTGAGCCTAGGAGATCAAGGCTACAGTGAGCTATGACTGGGCCTTAGCATTCCAGCTTGGGTGACAGAGCAAGACCCTGTCTCAAAAAAAAAATTAAATAAGTAAAAAAGTGGCAAACAACTTGACTGAAATGCTGTTTAGTGTTTTGGAATATAGACATTAAAAGTGATGTACTTGGATATTTAGCTGAGGAGATTCCTAACTTTATCTCATTAATATTTACTAAACTTTATCTCATTAATAATACAGTGTTTCTAATTAAAGCACTGATGACAAATTTAATTATTGATAATATTTGTAAGCCTTAGAAGGAAACAGTAACCATGTGTGACTTGTTTGTGCCATATCTCAAGTATTTGTCATGGTGCTTGGCTTCTAATAACAGTGAATAAATAATTGTCAGGTGACTATTTTGAAACATTATAAACAGTGACTTACTTTATTTAACTTCTTTAAACAATATTAAGTTACTTGCCCAGTGCTTCACTTGACTAGCAAAAAAACAACAAAAAAATATCACTTGGATTACTGCTACTTCTGACCATGATGGAACAACAGGGACCAGATTTACTTACCCTCTTTTTCTATTTTTTGTTTTGAGACAGAGTCTTGCTCTGTCATCCGGGCTGGAGTGGAGTGGTGCGATCTTAGCTCACTGCAAACCTCCACAAAGTGATTCTCTGGCCTCAGCCTCCTGAGTAGCTGGGATTACAGGTGTATGCCACCACGCCCAGCTAATTTTTTATTTTTAGTAGAGATGGGGCTTTACCATGTTGATCAGGCTGGTCTCCAACTCTTGACCTCATGATCTGCCCGCTTCGGCCTTCCAAAGTGCTGGGATTACAGGTGTGAGCTATAGCACCCAGCCTACTTACCCTCTTAAAGCAAGTAAAATGTCAGGCAAAACATGAAATAACTATTTTCAAGACAATGGGCATCAGTCAGTGAATTGTGTTGATTCATGAGAGACTAGAAACAAATGAGTGTTACAGTTCTACCAGTTTACTGCCTAGAGAGTTTCCAGACTGCAGAGCATGGAGCCCAGTCATCTTCTTGAGTTGAGGAAATGGAGTTAGGAATCTGAAGAAGCCAAGACAGCTAGAATTCACAGGCAGCTACTATCCAAATAAACTGAACCCTTAAAAAACTCACATGTAGAAGAAAACATAAATCTAGGTGACGTTCAGTTTGATGATGACTTCTTAGATATGTAAGAAGGTATGATCCGAGAAAGAAAAAACTGATGAATTGTGCTTTATCAGAATTTAAAAACTTCTACTCTGTGAAAGACATTGTGAAGGGAATGAAAAGATAAGCCACAGATTGGGAGAAAATATTTGCACGTCATATATTTGATAAAGGATTTATATCTAGAATATATAAAGAACTCTTAAAACTCAGTAATAGAAGGCTGGGTGCAGTGGCTCATGCAGAAAAAAAAACCTTCAGTAATAGGGAAAAACAACTCCATTTTTAAAATGTACTGAAGATCTAAACAGATACTTCATTGAAGCAAATATGCAGATGGCACATAGGCACAGGAAAAGGTCTTCAGCATCATATGTCATTAGAGAAATGAAAATTAAAATCACAGGATACAGTAACACACTTATTAGAATGGCCATTAGAAAAACTGACAATAACAAATTGGTGGCAAGGATGCAGAGCAACAGGAGCTTGCATACATTATTGGTGAGAATGCAAAATTATATGGTCACTGTGGAAGATAGTTTCGTAGCATCTCATAAGACTTAACTGTACAATCCAGCAATCACATGCCTGGGTATTTACCAAGTGATTTGAAAACGTATGTCTACATGAAAACCTATACACTTATATTCATAGCAGCATATTCATAATTGTTAAGAAGTAGAAGCAACCAAGATGTCCTTTATTTGGGGAATGGATAAATGAACTGGTGCATCCGTATAATGAAATACTATTCAGCTATTAAAGGGAATAATCTTTTGGTTCATGCAACTACATGGATGAATTTTAAATGAATTTTACTAAGTGAAAAAGCAGACCCAAAAAGTCTATGTATTATAATATGATTCAGTTTATATGACATTCTATATAAGACACAAGTAAAGAGATGGAAAACAAATGATTTCTAGGCATTAGGGGGAAGAGGAAGTAGTTGACTGCAAAGAAGATGCATGGAGGTATGTTTACTGTTACATGGAGTATTTGATCTGTATGTATGTATGTATGTATGTATGTTCTGTATGATGATATGTATTTGTCCAAACCTTGGAACTGTGTATCACAATGAGTGAATTTTAATATCTGTCAACTAATCATGCATACACATACATTAGTCAGGATGCTGGGAGATCTCAAAATGGATTGTAGCCCATGATAAGTGAATCTAAGTATTACAGATATATGGCATAACAATATTGAAGGGGTTGGGGGAAAAAGAGCTGACCTAAGTAACTTTGGAAAATGATGTCTTGCGTGGAAACTATTAATATAAGCCTAATACAAAAGGAACAGTACATAAACCTATACCCTAGTTGGATATAGGTTTTCACAGGGGTACAGGTTACCAGTTCTTTACATATATATTGGGGTTGAACAAATAAATAAATGAGTGTTGGATGGCGGGAGCCAGGTTTCTCAGTGTTGGAAGGGAAGATACACAAGAAAGGACTAGAATCAACTTTGTTACTGGATCAGAGACCTAAGTATGAATTCATGTTTAGCTGGCTGACTGGATACAAAAGCAATTGTAATTGTGTGTGAGTATGTACACACACATGTATACATGGATTAGTGTACATCCATATATTGCCTAGTTCTGTTCATTGAGCAAGTGCAGAAGTAGTGATATACCCGTAGTAGCAAGGACAACTAGTGCCTACAAATTCATTCATTCATTCTTTTTTTTTTCTTTTAAAGAAATGAGGGTCTTGTACTGTCACCCAGGCTGGTCACCCAGCTCGTGGCCTCAAGGGATCCTTCCACCATGGCATCCCAAAATGCTGGGATTACAGGTGTGAGCCACTGTGCCTGGCCCCTAGACTCTAGTTTCTAAATATCATTATTGAATACAATAAATAAGAGCTCTTTGGAGAAATGGCTGATTCTAGGGCTGTAGGAAAAATACAAGATGAGCCTGGAGTATCTTGTCCCAGAAAGTGAAGAAGTATTCAATAACAAAAAAGATGCAGGGCCATGTCAAAGGCACACAGGAACCAACCTGAAAGAGCTGTCATATTCTAATTAAGCTTGGAATTAATGAGTTTTTATAAAAGATATTTTTACTTGCATGTCTTTGATAGCAATATTAAACTTGTTTTCACTTCTACTGTTTATATTTCCTTTGTAAAGCATTTGATCTGACCTTTTCTCGTTTTTCTATAGGTGCATTAGTGGTTTTCTAATTGATTTATAAGAGCTCTCTAAATTTTTTGCAACATTAATCTTTATAGTTCTTATCCTAGTATTTCTAGGTATTATTAGAGGTTTTTTTTTTTCGTGTTTGTAAGGCAAATAAATTTTGTTTATTATTTCATGTCTACTAGTGATGAGTTTTATGAATTTATGTTGGCTTGTCCCATAAAGAGACAAAGGGGTACTAATTGAATTCCTACTGAGAATAGTTATGATAAAATCTACTTTCTCCATATTCTTTTAGACTCGACTTCTATTGCAACAGAATATTCTCTGAAATTTGATGAATCCATGACAGAAGATGAAATAGAAGAACAATCATTTCGATCATTACTGCCTTCAGAGAGTCACCGCAGATTTAACATGGAAAAGAGAAGAGGTCATCATGATGACTCTGATGAAGAAGCTTCTCCAGAAAAGACTACATTGTCTTCTGCCAAGGTGGGTTTCACTTTATCTGTGGAGGTAAATGGTTGTGGATATGTTCTCTCAAAGATAAGAGAAAACATTTTGTACTTGACTCATTTGTCAGCTACTAGAATGATTTTTGTCAGATATCAATTTTATGTTATAGTTTTCCGATAAAATCTGGCCTCACTTTCCTCACAAAGTATAATACAAACTTATTTTTTGGAATGAATATAAGGCCTTTGAGGATCTGAGCCATTATTATCTCGCTAGCTTTTTTACTTGCGTCATACTTCTCATACTTAATCCATTTAGAAATTTACATTAATTCTTCTTCCTAAATTGTATGCCTCTTGGTTAACAGGAACAAATTCTTACCCCACTTTGTATCCCTGGTACAGTTAATGGGCTTGCAGTAGTTTATTAAAATTTTATTGGCCAAATAAATTAGCAAGTGAATGTTAATCTGCCTCATGTGACTTTTTAAAGACTGTTTTCTTACATTGTTGGCAACCTTGTTAAATACATAGTTTGTTTTTTGTAAATGCATACCACTTTTAATGAAGTTACGTACCAAAAGGTTTAGATGATGATAAACAAGAAAGTAACCATCTACTTTAGGAACTGAACATGCCATTCTCAGGAGGACAAGATAGCTTTTCTAAATTTACTATGGAGATGGTTCGACAGTATATGAAAGAAGAAGAAATGAGGGCGGCTCACCAGTCTTCACTCCTGCGTCTCCGCGAAAAGGCCTTGAAGGAGAAGACTAAGGCTGAGTTGGCCTGGTTAGAGCATCAAAAAAAGTAAGTTCTTTCAGTGAGCACAGTTCTCACTCATTTCTTCTTTCGTAAAATGGAATGCTTTATATTTTAAGATGTTTTTGTTTCCTCTTTTAATCTGATTTGAGCAACCCAGTTTCTCAAGCTAGAAATATGGCCGTCATATTTGATTTGTATTTCTTTCAAAACCTCCTCTTACCCATATCACATTTTCTTTGCAGTTCTCTTTTATCACTTAACTGACTGTAATGTTATGTTGTCATATGATACAATATTATAAATTTCTTGAAGTCCTTCTATCTTTAGAGGACACAATCTAGCACTTGCATATACCTCAGTAAAATACTTATTAGGATATGAATGGTTATGGCTACATGTAGCAATTACTTTTCACATTTGAAAATGTTAAATTGGTTTGTAGACTTTTTAGTAGTCAAGAATTCTTGACATTATTCAGGTAATGGAAATTTAATCAAATCTTTGTCTCAATTAAAAATATTATTTGCAGACATCTACGAGACAAAGGAGAGGATGACAAAATGCCCCCACTCCGGAAGAAACAGCGTGGTTTGCTTTTAAGGTTGCAGCAAGAAAAGGTATGTTAGGGAAGACACTCCTTTAGGACAGCTTATCATAAGGCAAGTTAGTTTGTGGAATCTATGATTTTGCCTAATTTCTTTTCCTTACTTTTGCCTTAAATGAGATGTAGTTGATACTTACCATTGTTTATGTTCATACTACTATAATTATAGGGGTTGCGTGGTAATCTGTATTTCTCCTAAATTAGGATTGTGTGTCACTGCTAAATTAATAAAATACACAGACAAACTTTCTACCTTCATGTAGTAAGTAAAAGAAAATGCTCTTTTGAAATGCATATTTTAAAAATTAAGATATATGTAAAAGAATCTATTTTGATTAATTTTTAAATTATTGTTTCCCTAGGCTTTCATGACATATTAATTACATATTGGTAAATATTTTGGCTTAGTGGGCTTTGACTTTAGTTTTGAGTTCTGGACAGGCAGCGTGGTGGTGTAGTGGTAAAGAATTCAGGCTCCGGAGTCAAATTTTCTAGGCTCAAATCCCAACTTTACCAGTTGCTGGTTTCATAATCTTGGACAAGTTACTTAACTTCTCTGTGTTTCCTCATCCATAAACTGAAGAAAATAATAATAACATACTTGATAAGATTGTTGTGAGGAATAAGTAAGTTAATACATGAAACTTAGAGCAGACCGTGGCACATAGTAAGTGCTCAATAAATGTTAGTTGCTATTACTTGAATTCCAGCATTGTCACTTGCAACTGTATAATCATGGTCAAAGTTTAAGTAACTCTCTGAGACTTAATTTCCTCATCTGTAGGAGTGGGATTATACTTCATATGGTAGTTGTGTAGATTAAATGAGGTAACATATGTAAAGTGTGTTTCACAGTGCTTGGTCAGCATTCAATAGATTCTAATTGTTTTTTCCATACTAACCTGTTGCCAGGTGCTAGCTACTATGCTGGATGATTTAGGAACCAGCATATCTGATGTATTTACTGGCTTATTACTTAGTTATAAGTTTATCTAAGGAAGCATTACAGATGATAGGAATTTGAATAAATTCTCAATTCTATTTTTTAAAAAATAAGTTGTGTCTTTTTAATCCAAAAAAATTGGTTTTAAAATAAATTAATATTTTTTCTTAGTTAAAAGAAGTAAATAAATTTCTATAATGTTACAGTAGCTTTCTGTTACAAAATAGAATAAAAACAAGATTTATAAATGTATTCCTCATCGTGTGGGGGTTTCTTTTCACTTTCTTGATAATATCCTTTGAAGTATAAAGTTTTTCATTTTGATACATCTAGTATTTTATTGCTTGCCTGCTGATAACACATTTTTTTATTTTATTAGTTTGAAAATGTTTCGCCTTTATTTTTGAAGGACTTTTTTTTTTTTTTTTTTTTTTAAATTTTTTATTTGATTATAGGTTTTGGGGTACATGAGCAGAGCATGCGAGACAGTTGCGTAGGTACACACATGGCAGTGTGCTTTGCTTTGCTTTTCCCCTTCACCCACATTTGGCATTTCTCCCCAGGCTATCCCTCCCCACCTCCCCCTCCCACTGGCCCTCCCCTTTTCCCCCCAATAGACCCCAGTGTTTAGTACTCCCCTTTCTGTGTCCATGTGTTCTCATTTTTCATCACCCACCTATGAGTGAGAATATGCGGTGTTTCATTTTCTGTTCTTGTGTCAGTTTGCTGAGGATGATGTTCTCCAGATTCATCCATGTCCCTACAAACGACACGAACTCATCATTTCTGATTGCTGCATAATATTCCATGGTGTATATGTGCCACATTTTTCCAATCCAGTCTATTATCAATGGGCATTTGGGTTGATTCCAGGTCTTTGCTATTGTAAACAGTGCTGCAATGAACATTCATGTACATGTGTCCTTATAGTAGAACGATTTATAGTCTTTTGGATATATACCCAGTAATGGGATTGCTGGGTCAAATGGAATTTCTATTTCTAAGGCCTTGAGGAATCGCCACACTGTCTTCCACAATGGTTGAACTAATTTACACTCCCACCAACAGTGTAAAAGTGTTCCTTTTTCTCCACATCCTCTCCAGCATCTGTTGTCTCCAGATTTTTTAATGATCGCCATTCTAACTGGCGTGAGATGGTATCTCAATGTGGTTTTGATTTGCATCTCTCTGATGACCAGTGACGATGAGCATTTTTTCATATGATTGTTGGCCTCATATATGTCTTCTTTCGTAAAGTATCTGTTCATATCCTTTGCCCACTTTTGAATGGGCTTGTCTGTTTTTTTCCTGTAAATCTGCTTGAGTTCTTTGTAAATTCTGGATATCAGCCCTTTGTCAGATGGGTAGACTGCGAAAATTTTTTCCCATTCTGTTGGTTGCCGATCCACTCTAGTGACTGTTTCTTTTGCCGTGCAGAAGCTGTGGAGTTTCATTAGGTCCCATTTGTCTATTTTGGCTTTTGTTGCCAATGCTTTTGGTGTTTTGTTCATGAAGTCCTTGCCTACTCCTATGTCCTGGATAGTTTTGCCTAGATTTCCTTCTAGGGTTTTTATGGTGCCAGGTCTTATGTTTAAGTCTTTAATCCATCTGGAGTTAATTTTAGTGTAAGGTGTCAGGAAGGGGTCCAGTTTCTGCTTTCTGCACATGGCTAGCCAGTTTTCCCAACACCATTTGTTAAACATGGAATCCTTGCCCCATTGCTTGTTTTTGTCAGGTTTATCAAAGATTGTATAGTTGTATGTATGTTGTGTTGCCTCCAGTGCCTCTGTTTTGTTCCATTGGTCTATATCTCTGTTTTGGTACCAGTACCATGCTGTTTTGATTACTGTAGCCTTGTAGTATAGTTTGAAATCCGGTAGTGTGATGCCCCCCGCTGTGTTCTTTTTGCTTAGAATTGACTTGGCTATGCGGGCTCTCTTTTGGTTCCATATGAAGTTCATGGTGGTTTTTTCCAGTTCTGTGAAGAAAGTCAATGGTAGCTTGATGGGGATAGTGTTGATTCTGTAAATTACTTTGGGCAGTATAGCCATTTTCACGATATTAATTCTTCCTAACCATGAACATGGAATGTTTCTCCATCTGTTTGTGTCCTCTCTGATTTCGTTGAGCAGTGGTTTGTAGTTCTCCTTGAAGAGGTCCCTTATGTTCCTTGTGAGTTGTATTCCAAGGTATTTTATTCTTTTTGTAGCAATTGCGAATGGCAGTTCGCTCTTGATTTGGCTTTCTTTAAGTCTGTTATTGGTGTAGATGAATGCTTGTGATTTTTGCACATTGATTTTATATCCTGAGACTTTGCTGAAGTTGTTTATCAGTTTCAGGAGTTTTTGGGCTGAGGCAATGGGGTCTTCTAGGTATACTATCATGTCGTCTGCAAATAGAGACAATTTGGCTTCCACCTTTCCAATTTGAATACCCTTTATTTCTTTTTCTTGCCTGATTGCTCTGGCTAGAACTTCCAGTACTATATTGAATAGGAGTGGTGAGAGAGGGCATCCTTGTCTAGTGCCAGATTTCAAAGGGAATGCTTCCAGTTTTTGCCCATTCAGTATGATATTGGCTGTTGGTTTGTCATAAATAGCTTTTATTACTTTGAGATACGTTCCATCGATACCGAGTTTATTGAGGGTTTTTAGCATAAAGGGCTGTTGAATTTTGTCAAATGCCTTCTCTGCGTCAATTGAGATAATCATGTGGTTTTTGTTTTTGGTTCTGTTTATGTGGTGAATTACGTTGATAGACTTGCGTATGTTGAACCAGCCTTGCATCCCCGGGATGAATCCTACTTGATCATGATGAATAAGTTTTTTGATTTGCTGTTGCAATCGGCTTGCCAATATTTTATTGAAGATTTTTGCATCTATGTTCATCATGGATATTGGCCTGAAGTTTTCTTTTCTCGTTGGGTCTCTGCCGGGTTTTGGTATCAGGATGATGTTGGTCTCATAAAATGATTTGGGAAGGATTCCCTCTTTTTGGATTGTTTGAAATAGTTTTAGAAGGAATGGTACCAGCTCCTCCTTGTGTGTCTGGTAGAATTCTGCTGTGAACCCGTCTGGACCTGGGCTTTTTTTGTGAGGAAAGCTCTTAATTGCTGCCTCGACTTCAGACCTTGTTATTGGTCTATTCATAGTTTCGGCTTCCTCCTGGTTTAGGCTTGGGAGGACACAGGAGTCCAGGAATTTATCCATTTCTTCCAGGTTTACTAGTTTATGTGCATATAGTTGTTTGTAATATTCTCTGGTGATGGTTTGAATTTCTGTGGAATCTGTGGTGATTTCCCCTTTATCATTTTTTATTGCATCTATTTGGTTGTTCTCTCTCTTTTTTTTAATCAATCTGGCTAGTGGTCTGTCTATTTTGTTGATCTTTTCAAAAAACCAGCTCTTGGATTTATTGATTTTTTGAAGGGTTTTTCGTGTCTCAATCTCCTTCAGCTCAGCTCTGATCTTAGTAATTTCTTGTCTTCTGCTGGGTTTTGAGTTTTTTTTGATCTTGCTCCTCTAGCTCTTTCAATTTTGACGATAGGGTGTCAATTTTGGATCTCTCCATTCTCCTCATATGGGCACTTATTGCTATATATTTTCCTCTAGAGACTGCTTTAAATGTGTCCCAGAGGTTCTGGCACGTTGTGTCTTCATTCTCATTGGTTTTGAAGAACTTCTTTATTTCTGCCTTCATTTCGTTGTTTACCCAGTCAACATTCAAGAGCCAGTTCAGTTTCCATGAAGCTGTGCGGTTCTGGGTCGGTTTCTGAATTCTGAGTTCTAACTTGATTGCAGTATGGTCTGAGAGGCTGTTTGTTATGATTTCAGTTGTTTTGCATTTGTTGAGCAGTGCTTTACTTCCAATTATGTGGTCAATTTTAGAGTAGGTGTGATGTGGTGCTGAGAAGAATGTGTATTCTGTGGATTTGGGGTGGAGAGTTCTGTAAATGTCCACCAGGTTTGCTTGCTCCAGGTCTGAGTTCAAGCCCTGGATATCCTTGTTGATTTTCTGTCTGGTTGATCTGTCTAGTATTGACAGTGGAGTGTTAAAGTCTCCCACTATTATTGTGTGGGAGTCTAAGTCCTTTTGTAAGTCATTAAGAACTTGCCTTATGTATCTGGGTGCTCCTGTGTTGGGTCCATATATGTTTAGGATCGTTAGCTCTTCTTGTTGTATCGATCCTTTTACCATTATGTAATGGCCTTCTTTGTCTCTTTTGATCTTTGTTGCTTTAAAGTCTATTTTATCAGAGATGAGAATTGCAACTCCTGCTTTTTTTTGCTTTCCATTAGCTTGGTAAATCTTCCTCCATCCCTTTATTTTGAGCCTTTGTGTATCCTTGCATGTGAGATGGGTTTCCTGGATACAGCACACTGATGGGTTTTGGATTTTTATCCAATTTGCCAGTCTGTGTCTTTTGATTGGTGCATTTAGTCCATTTACATTTAGGGTTAATATTGTTATGTGTGAATTTGATACTGCCATTTTGATGCTAAGTGGCTGTTTTGCCTGTTAGTTGTTGTAGATTCTTCATTATGTTGAAGCTCTTTAGCATTCAGTGTGATTTTGGAATGGCTGGTACTGATTGATCCTTTCTATGTGTAGTGCCTCTTTTAGGAGCTCTTGTAAAGCAGGCCTGGTCGTGACAAAATCTCTGAGTACTTGCTTGTTCACAAAGGATTTTATTCTTCTTGAAGGACATTTTTAATAGGCATAAAATTATTTTCTTTCAGCACTTTAAAGATATTTTTCCATTATTTACTGCTTTCCATTGTTTATGTGGAGAGGTCAGTTATCTTAATCTTGTTCTTTTGAAGGTTTCTTTTAAGATTATTTAAAAATTATCCAAATTTTTTGGTAGTTTTACTATGATGCATGTAGGTGTGGTTTCCTTTGTATTCATCCTATTTAGGATTTTCTGAACTGCTTTTATCTATTGGTTATTTTATTTCATCAGTTTTTCAAAAACTATCTCTTCATGTATTGCTTCTGCCCATTCTTTTTTTATTTTGGAGACAGGGTTTTTCACTCTGTTGCCCAGGCTGGAGTGCAGTGGCTTGATCTCGGCTCACTGTAACCTCCGCATCTAGGGCTTAAGCAAGTTTGGTTTCATCTGTATTTATCTATTTATAGCCAATAACAGATTTGAAACAAATGTGCAAACTGCTAACTGTGTTTAATGCCAGTGTAGGGATATGAGTGACTACTTTCTCTGTTTGTGATAACTTAAGAATTTTTTAAGTAAATGTGCAAAGTATACTCTTTGATCCAATTGGTTACCCCTGAAAAGTTGCCTTATAAAGTTAAATGAACAAAAGTGTAAGAAAATATGTGCAAAGATATTTATTGCCGCTGTATCAGTAAGAATTCTTTTGACTGATAGTGAAATGGCTGGCTCTAGCGATTTGGTACAACTGTATCCAAAAAAGAGAGACCATATTTTTCTGTGTCTTATTCTTTTTTCCCTCCCTGAAGTGACATTCATAAAACATAAAAATAACCATTTTAATAAAGTGAATAATTCACCTATACCATTCACCATTTTAATGTGAACAATTCGTTTGTAAAACTTTATGAGTTATTCTCACAAGAGGAGCAAACCTTGTTTTCCAAGTATTCCTTAGAAGTCATCTCTTTTTTCTTCTGGGCTTGAATTGGGTGAATTTACACATTATTTGGTTCCGAAATTCAGGCTTAAGTTAGTAGAAGTTTGAAAATATCTTTTGTGAAACTCTGGCCACTAAGACCCTTTCACGGGTCTGGAAGGTCAAAACTATTTTCATAATGATACCGGGATTGGATATTAATTTGGCCTTTTCACTGTGTTGACATTTTACACTAAATGGTAGAAAACAATGCTAAGTAAAACTGCTAGTGCTTTAGCACAAGTCAGTGGCACCAAACTGTTTTAGTAATTGTCTTATTCTTCATGCCACTTACTCACAGTTTAAAAAAAAAAACAAGTTTCACTTAAGAATGTCCTGAGTTAAGTAGTAAGAATTATTAGTTTTTTTATCTTGAACCCTTGAGTACATGTCTTTTTTTGTATTTTGCATGACAGAAATGGGAAGTCCATCATGAAATACCATTGCTAGATACCAGAATATAGTGATTAATTCAAGGAGAAGTATTTGTGTGCTTGTTTGAATTGCAAGCCTTTCCCCCCGCAGCCCCCTACCATGGAATAGCATTTTTACTTGAAAGAATGATTCAAGGCAAACTGTGCTACTTCAGATTTGGGTATTTGACAGATATTTTTCTCAAAAACGAAAAAAGTATGCCTGTCACTTCAAACAAAAAAAAAAATAACTGACAATATATGCTGCCAATGATAAAATTCAAGCTTTCACACAAAAGTCAGAATTTTGAAAAATTTCTCTTGGCCACCCAAAATAATTTTTCTTTTGAGATTAATGGTGATATTAATGAGTATAATTTTTTGATATTTCATAATGAAATGTGTCAACATTTAGAAAATCCACATAACTTAGTGAACCAACATTTTCCCAATGACCAATGCACAATGTTAAAAAAAAAATCAAGCTAGGTGATAAAGAGATTTGCAAAACTAAAATGTCATTCTTTTCACTAAATTATTTTTTGTTTTGGAAAATATAGTTATTTTCTTTAAAATGTACACAACCATTGTATACTCATGGGAGAATGAGAGTGGAAAAGAGCAAATAATGTATTTGCTAAAAATGTATTTAGTATTATAAACAATGGTTTGATGCTGAGAGTCCACTGACAGGGTCTCAAGACTTCCAGGGACTCCATAGAGCACAATTTGAAAACTGCTACTCCAGAAAAATTTACAGATATGCTGAAGGAGACAAAAATATAAGGCTCTTCACTTACATCATTGTTTGTAGAATAGTAAAAAATAGACAACAACCTTAAAATCCCACCATATGTGGTGGACACAGTGGCTTACGCTTATAATCCCAGTGCTTTGGGAGGCCAAAGCAGACTAATCACTTGAGGCCAGGAGTTTAAGACCAGCCTGGGCAACATAGCAAGAGCCTGTGTCTCCAAAAAAAATTAAATTAAATTAAATTAAAAATGAGCTATGAATGGTGGTATGTGCCTGTAATCCTAGCTGCTTGGGAGGCTAAGGAGGGAAGATCGCTTGAGCCCACAAGTTTGAGGCTACATTGAGTTGTGACTGAGCCACTGTACCCCAATCTGGGTAACAGAGCAAGACTGTGTCTCTAAAAAATGTAAAAAATAAAAATCCCACCATATGGGTAATGGGTAAATAGATGGTTCTCCGGTTTAATTTTATGCAGCACTAAAAGGCATAAATTTGCATGGTGAAATATCAAAAGTGATATCTATTAAAGCAAGATTTAAAATATGTATGTATGCTATTTATATAATATTTTTAAACATACAAACCAAATAGTATATCTTTCTTTGCAGATAAGCACAAATATTTTTAGGAGAATTTAAAAAGAATGTACTGGAAGAATAGATAGATACCAAACCCATGATAGTTGATACCTCTGAGGAGTTGGGCACAAGATTGCAGACTAGTTTTATCTGTAATGTTTTATTTCTTTACAGGATTAAAGACTAGGAGAAAATATAACTGAATATTAACAATTGTTAACTTGGTGTTTTAGAAATGTAGATGTTTTTAAGCACTTTCTTGCATTTTTAAGGTAGTTTCAAAAAATCTCAATGATTAAAATAATTATAACTAACAAATTTTACGTCTTTATTATGCTTTATTGACAAGAAAACACTGATTGATAGATAGATCGATAGATAGATAGATTGAGACAGGGTCTCACTCTATTGCCCACGCTGAAGTGCAGTAGCATGATTTCAGCTCACTGCAACCTTGACCTCCTGGGCTCAGGTTGACCCTCCCACCTCAGCCTCCCAAGCAGCTGGGACCACAGGTGAGCACCACCACGCCCGGCTAATTTTTGAGTCTTTTGTAGAGGTGGGGTTTCACCATGTTGCCCAGGCTAGTCTTGAACTCCTGGGCTCCAGTAAGCTGCCTGCTTTGGCCTCCCAAATGCTAGGATTACAGGTGTGAGCTACCATGCCTGGCCAAGAAAACAGATTTAAACAAATTTATTTTTAAAAAAGAATTCTCTGTTAAGTTTTGACAGTTATTAGCAGTGAAGTATATTATCTTCTGCCCACATAGCAACTGAAAACGTAATAATCTGTCTGGAGAGAGATTGGCGCAATGTAGGTTTAATGTTTTGGTAGCACTGTAGGCAAGAGCAGTTCTTTTTTGAAAGCAATTTAAACAACTGTTTTTAAGAACCATAAAATGATTTATTGTCTTCGACTTGGTTATTTTATTTTTAGAAATCTCTCCTAAAGAACTAGTCCATGGTATGAAACAGCTATGGGCATTAAAGCATTATTTGGGATAGTAAAAAATTATAGGGCCCTAAAAGTTTAGCAGTAGAATAATAGTTACATTAATTAGATTACTTGATAAGCAACTATTAAACTAGTAAGTATAAACATTGAGTAGCATGGAAAAATGTGAAATATATGTTATGTTTTAAAATGGGATATGAAATTATCAATCTAATTATAATTTAAATAAATTTAAGGGATAATATTAAATTATTTTAGAATGGTGGGATTGTATGTGATTTATTTCCTCCCTCGCTACTTTTAAAACTTTCCAGTATTACTACTTTTATTATAAGATACTATATGTATTATATGTATTTGTTTTTAATATATGTGATGATTTTTAAAAAATATTACTTTGGCCTTGTCTTCTCCCCATCATAATGCTTCTCCTACCTCTTTAAACCTTAGGCAGAAATAAAACGTCTTCAAGAAGCCAATAAGGCAGCTCGGAAGGAAAGACAGCTGATTCTTAAACAGCAGGAGGAGATAGAAAGGATCCGACAGACCACCATAAAACTACAGGAGAAGTTGAAGTCTGCAGGGGAGAATAAATTGGTAAATTACATGAAGTTATTATTTGTTTCCTGTCTTATGTGGACTGCCGATATCCAACCCTGTCTCATGTTCTAAGATGATATTCATTCAAACAGTATGATACAATAATGGACTAAGATAAAGTTCTATGGATATGCCGTCTTAGTCCATTTTCTGTTGCTATAACTGAATACCTAAGACTGGGTAATTTATAAAGGAGCAACATTTTTTCTTATAGTTCTAGAAGGTGAGAAGTTCAAGGTCAAGGTGCCACATCTGGTGAGGGCCTTCTTGCTGGTAAGGACTCTCCACAGAGTCCCAAGGGGTGATGCAGGGCATCGCGTGGCAAGCAGACTGAGCGTACTAGCTCAGTGCTCTCTTTCTTCTCTTATTAAGCCACTAAAGTCCAACCCTCATGATGTCATCTATTTCTAATTACTTTTCCAAAAGCTCTCAAATACCATAGTCTGATTTCCCACTCTCTTAATGTTACAGTGAGACTTAAGATTCAACATGGGTTACAGAGGGGACAAACATTCAAACCGTAGCAATGCCCTAATGTATAGTGAGAGTTTTATTTTATTTTTTCCTATGGAATATACAAATTTTTAAAGGGGCGTGTGGTTCTTACATAATATTGGTTTAATTTAGAGTATTTTTCACTTACAAACTAAATTGGAACAGAGGGCTTTGCTATTACTCATCAATCCAAATATTTTCTTCAGAATCAATGGGGGAGACTGTTTTGGTATTTACATGATACTCATTTTAGCTATCCAACTTTAATACAATGATACAAGATTCAAAGGAGATACCAGACAAAAACAAAATTTGAACCTATTCCTTTTTTTATTGAGACAGGGTCTCACTCTGTCACCTGGACTAGAATGAAGTAGTATAATCATAGCTGATGGCAGCCTTGACCTTCCCCGGGGGTCAGGTAATCCTCTCACCTCAGCTTCCTGAGTAGCTGGGACTACAGGCATGCACCTCCACTCCCAGCTGATTTTTTGTATTTTTTGTAGAGCTGGGGTTTTGCCATGTTGCTCATGGTGGTCTCCCAACTTCTGGGCTTAAGTGATCCATCTGCCTTAGCCTCCCAGAGTGTTGGGATTATAGGCATGAGCCACCATATCCAGTGGACCTGCTCTAAGGTACTATAAAATGTCAGTATGGGGCTGGGTGCCATGACTCGTGCCTGTAATCCCAACACTTTGGGAGGCCTAGGTGGGCAGATTGCTTTAGCTCAGGAGTTTGAGGCCATTCTGGGCAACAGGGCGAAACCCGCAGCTCTACAAAAACTACAAAAATTAGCTGGGCATGGTGGCATGTGCCTATATTCCCAGCTACTTGCGAGGTTGAGGTGGAGGATTGCTTCAGCCTAGCAGGCCAAGGGTGCATTAAGCTCATTAAGCTGTGAGCACACCATTGCACTCTGGCCTAGGTGATAAAGCAAGACCCTGTCTCAAAAAAAAAAAAAAAGTCATTATAGTGTGAGAAAACTAGACTGTATAGCAGTAGCAGTATAATATTTTAAATCTCTAATATGCGATACTTCGATTTTTAAAGAAACTTTAAATTTTGAAAAAAATGTCAAACTTAACAGAAAAGTGTCAAACAGTACAAAAAACAATTCTATAATCCTGAGTTATCTGAGAGTAAGTTGCCAACAAATTAACATTGATACATTACTACCATTTAATCTGCACATTACCGTAAGTAAATGCCCCTCTCATTCCACCTGGGTTCTGACTCCCCAAGTTGGGCTGTTCCCATCTCCTCACACCTTCTCTTCCTTACCCTCTTTGGACTCTGCCTCTTGTGCTAGCATATTCTCTGTCGTAAGGTCATCCTCACAATGTTTGGGCTTGCATTTTTGTGTTGGGTTGCTTTCATGTGACTTTCTTGTTGGCCTTCTTGGGCTTTAATTCTCCTTACCAGCCATCCTCCTGCATTAGATGCCCTCTTCATCCTACTCAGGTTCTGAGACCCCACTCTTGGCCTCTTGTCTCCCTCCATCCCTGTATAGATGGCTGCCTTGCTCTGCCCCATCCAGTGACTTTAAGACTGAACTGTTCAGGAAGAAGAAAGGGAAGCTCAGGGACTCTACTTTGTTTTTACGAAATAAAAACAGTTATGACTATCCCTACCAATATTCCTGAGAAGTTAGATAAATGACTATTTATGGGGAAATTATACTAAACAATTAAGGTTTTACTTTTTGCTTATCAGAAATAATGTATTGATTAATATTTTCCAAATGTTTTCTTTACAAACTTTTTAAATTTTTGAAAACATTGTTTTACATAAGGAGTATTCAAAGGAAAAAACCCATGCCCTAGTATGATTAGAGTAAATGTTATGTCTTCCAGTCATTCTTTTTGTCTGTACATACAGGTTTTATAGATTTACAGTGTTTAGTTTTGTATTCCTTTTGATGGTTCAACTTTAAAATCTCAGAGAGGACATACAGATAGGTTACTAATGGCAGAAACTTTTTTGGATTTCTTACATTTCTTCTTTTTTAAAATTATTATATGTTACGATATTCCTTTTTCTCTCTATATATAAATGATATTAAAATATACATAATATGAAATGTACTAGTTTAACCATTTTTAAGTGTATGATATATTTTGACCTTTAATATCTCATTTTCAGTTATTACATTGTGACATTGCATTAATTTTGAATTGTATTTATGATGGCTTCAGGGTCCTCTTAAAGTCCAATACAATTTTGCCTCTTTTTGTTTGCAGGACTCTCATAGTGATGATGATACAAAGGATAATAAAGCATCCAGTCCTGGTCCAACTGACTTGGAGACCCGCAGTCCTTCTCCCATTTCAATCTCCAGCAGTGAAACTAGCAGCATTATGCAGAAACTGAAGAAAATGAGAAGCCGCATGGATGAAAAGTAATTCATTTTTATAAATATCTCTTGCTTAGTTACATTGAAAGTAGTACAACAAAAAACACTTTTAATATACTTCATTAGATTAGATTGAGACAAAATATTTTGTGGATTTAGTAGTATTTTAGCAGAATTGTTAGATCAACCTAGAAGCCAGTTAACTGTAGATTTTATTTATGAAACAATTTTAATATAAACAGGTTTCTTATTTTAAAAAAAAACAAGGCTGAGAGTGGTGGCTCATACCTATAATCCTAGCACTTCGAGAAGCTGAGGTAAGAGGATCACCTGAGTCCAGGAGTTTAAGATCAGCCTGGGCAACATAGTGAGAAACCATCTCTACAAAAAAATTTAAAAATTAGCTGGGCATGGTAGCATGTGCCTATATTCCCAGCTATGTGGGAGGCTGAGGTGGGAGGATCCTTTGAGCCTAGGAGGTCAAGGCTGCAGTGAGCTATGATTGTACCACTGCACTCCAGCTGCGGTGACAGAGCTAGACTCCTGTCACACACACACACACACACACAAAATTAATATCTGCACATGTACCCATAATAAAGTTTTCCACTAATTCGGGGAAGCAACTAATGTTATAGCCTGATGTTTCATCCTGTGGCTCTCTGGCACCTCTAAGGCTTATTCAAATAGATGAAATTTTAATCTGGTGAGTAGGTATGAGTTCCTTAGCTGAAACCAGAAAGGCTGAAGTTTTCCAGGAATGTTAATTTGTTAGTGTAACATTCTTCTAAAATAGTTATAAGAATTACTTTGTAAAAACTCTTAAAGCTGCTCCAACTTAGATATAGCTCAGTTGTACATCAGTGTTGACCATATAAAATGACATTTATGTGAGACTTTACTCTGGGGTATGTATGTTATACCCCAGAGTAAATACGGTTATAAATTAGATGCTTGTGGAATCTGTCCTTGCCTCTGAAACCTCTGCCGCATATCTAGCTTCCTCAAAACCCATTAAATATGCAGAAATTAGAAATTTTTGTTGACTACCATTTAAGTACACAATTTGAACTACTACAGATTGAATGTTAATTCTAACTTGATAACCTTTGGCAGTATACTGCATATCACCAAATTTAATAATGCTCTATATTATATGTTACATTAATCTCTGATTTAGTTTGTGTTGCAACAGTCAAGCAGTTTTAAGTGAAATCCTTACTTTCTGTAGGTAAAGTTATACATTGGCACTTGATTGCAAGAAAGCCATTTCATAATTTAAAAATACTTAAATTGATTATGAAAATAAGTCCTAAAATAAATACAGTTTTTAAAAATTAAAAATATAAGAAGTGAAACCAAATATTGAGAAATATATGAATTTTTTTTTGGATGTTTTCCATAGACTAATTAAAGCTTCTTCAGGTAGGAATTTATTAAAATTTAGATTAAAGATGCTTTCTTCCTTTCTGATAAAATTTTATGGTAGCCTCTATGAGCATACTGTATTTTGTTTCAGCAGTCTTTGAATTCAAAAGTAAAATAATCTTGCATAAACTTTTACCACTAATTTGACATTGTATATGTGCCACAAATGTCTTTGAGTGGTAAATGTTGGGGGAAAAACAGTGTCAGGGTGATTTCTTCATTGATCTCTTTCTCTTCTATTTTAATAAAATCTTCATTACTAATCTCTAAGAATGATATTCTAATTTAACCACCTTTGTAGAAAAAAACTGCTAATTCTAGTCTGTCCTTGAGGTCAGTTTCTGGGATGCTTATTTCATTCAAATATGGTTAAAGCTTTAAAAATCCTAAATAACAAGCTCCAGTATGGATTTATTGACTTTGATCCACATTTTGTTAATTATTTTCAGAGACTCCAAAATATTAATCATCTAGAATTTTTGTATTATTCCTCTATCTTTTCTTGACAACTATGGCAATTGATTTTTGAGAATTTTGTCAAGTAGAATAGGCTTTGAAGCAGTCCGTGACTTTTTGATCTGTTTGAAGCAATGCAATTGTGTTTGTAATAGGAACAGAGTAAAGGTAGTAGTGGCAAAGAAATGTTTGAGTGATGGTGCTGAAATCTGAAGATGAGGCCAGGTGTGCTGGCCCACCTGTAATCCCAGCACTTTGGGAGGCGGAGGTGGGCAGATCACCTGAGGTCAAGAGTTCAAGACCAACCATAGCCAATATGGTGAACCCTGTCTCTACTAAAAATACAAAATTAGCCAGATGTGGTGACACATGCCTGTAATCCCACCTACTCTGGAGGCTGAGGCAGGAGAATATTGCCTTGAACTTGGGAGGTAGAGGTTGCAATGAGCTGAGTTCGAACCACTGTAATCCAGCTTGGGCAACAAGTACAAAACTTAGTCTCAAAGAAAAGAAATCTGAGGATGAATTAAAGAATTTTTCAAAATGGTGGTACATAGAAAAGGGTATTATTATGCACTATTTTTTGATCTCTGAAACAAAGTAATGTGAAAACTAGTTTTTAAATACCGTTTATGTTACCAGAGCTCTACAGTTTGATCTCCTTCATTGATGTTGGAGTGTCAGCTCAGTAAACAGGCAGTCAGTTAATTTCATAGTCATTTGCTTACAGTAGGCACCTAACAACAAAATCGTTTGAACCTCTGCTACTTCATGATCAGGAACTTATTTGTTCTATAGATTTGCAAAGGCAGTCATTCCTATTTTATTGTTATAAATCACCAAGGAGTAGTCATCCTTCTCAATAAGTTTAGCTAGTTTTTAGGGGTAACCTTTTCCTTATATATCATTGCTTATTGTTAACTTTCTGAACTCTGATTTTATGACAGATTTTTTTTGAAGTGATCATATCATTCTTGGCTATAGTGAAAGATTCCCTTTTTTAATATTTCACTGTGACAGTATGTGTTTGTTAAATATTAAAAACCATGTTATATTCCTAACATATGGCTTTTCTTGATCGCTTTGTTGGGTAGACATTTTATAAATGTCATGTAATTTCCATTTATCAGTATGTAAAAAGCAAAAAATAATATTCAAAGTGTGAAAGACATTAATAATATCGAAAACATGTTTGCAGAAGACATACAGTAGATCTAAGCCATGGACTGAATAGCTCTCAGTGTTTTTGGTTTTATTGGTAAGTGAAATCTGAGCTTTATTACTGTGAGGGATATTACTTACAGTTTAAGTGGATTGCCTATAAACATGAAACAGATAGTCATTAAAAAAACACCATGCAATTGACTCTCTTTACAGAACAAGTGAAACACTGAAAGAATAGTGTTTTCTTCATCTGTAAGTGTTTCATTACTTAAAATAGGACACTGCATTTTTTTCTTTCATTTGTTAACAGTAGCTTCTTCTTCCATATTATGTATTAATTATACACTTTCTCAGCAATTATTTATTGATTAATGTGTGAGTATGCTAAGTTCTGAGGGACACCAAGATAAATCAGACTTAAACCCTGTCCTCAGAGAGCTTAGAGTGTAGACGGAAAAAACAATGAGTAGCAAGTTCATATAGAGAAGTATATTTAGATCAATTGCTAAGGAAGTTCAGAAAAGAGAAATTCTACCTCACAGTATGATATATGTCAAGGACATTTTCATAGTTGAGTGTACTTTTTCTTTCTTTCTTTTTTTTTTTTTGAGACAGAGTCTCACTTTGTCGCCCAGGCTGGAGTGCAGTGGCACAATCTCAGCTCACTGCAACCTCCACCTCCCGGGTTCAAGCGATTCTCCTGCCTCAGCCTCTGGAGTAGCTGGGATTACAGGCGTCCACCACTGTGTCCCCTAATTTTTGTATTTTTAGTAGAGTTGGGGTTTCACCATATTGGTCAGGCTAGTCTTGAATTTCTGATCTCATGATTCACCCGCCTTGGGCTCCCAACCTTTTTTTTTTTAAACAGTCTCATTATGTTGCCCAGGATAGGATTGGACTCAATCTCCTGGGCACAAGTGATCCTTCCCACTCAGCTTCTGAATACTGTTAAATTAGTAAGTACTTTTAACATAAGAAGAAGGGACAAAAAGTATATAGCTATTTTTTGGTTTGATCATTCATGGCAGACCAACGTAGCATAGAAAAATGAAGCCTTTAGTCACAAAACATTTTAAATACTCCATTTACACTTCCCAGTTGGCTTACAACACTGTTAAAGGAGAAAAATTAATGTATTTAGTTTTAAATGATTGATCAAAAAGTTAAGCAGATAAATATTTTATGACCTTTTTCTGTCCAAAAGTATTTATGATATTGTCTGATCAATGTTGAAATCTTCACCATTAATCTGAATTTTAATAATGAAGGATTTTCAATAGAAGGATTTTGATATTCCATTAAAGGAGATATTTTAATTAGATTGTCATAATGCTAAATAGCATTGCCTTAAATTGAATAGAATTTTCTTAGACAACATTCTAGTCTAAGTGTAGTAGCTGAATAAATCCTGAAAGTCTGATACTCTGTTTTTGTTCTTTGCAGGAACTCCTAGGTCAGGAATAATGTACTGTATTATTTTGTTTACCTGGGTGTATGTAAATTATTAGATGATTTTAAGTTGTAGAATATTTTGCTATAGAAAATCAGACCTTCTCTAATTTTCTTTTTGGTCAGAACTATCTATATCCTCATTTGTGCTCCTGTTTCTCTATTGTTAAAGATGTTAAAGTACTCAAAATAATCCATTTTAAAATGTAAAGTACTGTGTTCCATTTTTAAATTATAACAGTAATAGAATTAAAAACCCAGAAGGAATAAAATGATTTAAGGTATTAAGTTTTTTGTGAGTTTTGTTTTGGGAAGAGTAAAAAAGTAGTGTTTTAGTTTAGGTGGGTTAGTCTCAGTAACTTGGAGATACACAGCATTAATAAGGATTCATTAATAAAGCAGCAGTAATTTTCATCAAGATCAGTACAAAATAGAGCAATGATTCTTAACCTTTTGGGGATCTTGAATTTGCTTGTAAATCAGATGAATGTTTTGGAACCGTGCCTCAGAAAAATGCATATACACACGTATATACACTTTTACGTGCAATTCCAGGGGATCCATGGACTCCTTGCTATATGAGTAACTAACGATAATAGAAGCACAGTAACATCCCAAACAAATGTAGAATTATAAATCTTTCTTCTGTGAAGGTCTTAAGATTTTGTTGATTTTTGGTAACTTTTATAATGAAAAGATATTTACACCTAGGAGTTCCGTTTAAAATTTAGATCATAATTTTATTCAAATTATAGAATGATTTTATAATCTGTTGGAATGCAGGCCACAATTATATTAGCTCTGTGGGCAACAAAAGTTCTCATGTCACATGGTCTAGCAGTCACATGATCTAGCAGTCTTTTGAGGTACAAAATAAGTGGAAATACTCCAGTGGAGACAGAGCGATAAAATGTTAAAATTAGAAGGGCTGTTAGGGAAGTCATCAAGTATAGTCTCTTTGTTTTTCATGAAGAAATTGAGGCCCACGGAGTTTATGTAGCTTTCCCCAGGTCACACACACAGCAGAATGGTAGAGCTGAAACTACAATCCTGCTCTCCAGAGTTCAGCTAGCTAAAGTTAAAGTTAAGTTAGCATATCTGCTTTCAACCTCATAGATTTTTTTTGAAACCTAAATTGATGACTTAGTTATCTTCAGTAGAAACTGATCCTTCTAAATAGTATTTTGTTGAAATTAGCAGAGTGCTAGATGGCTGATTTCTGGAGTTGAATAGCTGTACAGAGCAAGTTCAAATGTGAAAGTGTGACTAAAAGTGAATTATGGCCTGGGCGATGGCCCATGCCTGTAATCCCAGCACTTTGGCAGTGCCTAGGCATGCGGATCACGAGGACAGGAAATTGAAACAATCCTGTCCAACGTGGCGAAACCACGGCTCTACTAAAAATACAAAAATTAACTGGGCATGGTGGTGTGTGCCTGTAATCCCAGCTACTCAGGAAGCTGAGGCAGGAGAATCCCTTCAACCAGGGAGTTGGAGGTTTCAGTGAGCCGAGATAATGCTACTGCACTCTAGCCTGGTGACAGAACAAGACTCTGTCTAAAAAAAAAGGTGGGGGGAATTAAGCTGGCCAGGTGGATGCCATGGCCCCTGCCTGCAATCCCAGTACTTTGGGAGGCTGAGGCGGTGGATCACCTTGAGGCCTTGAGGTTAGGAGTTGACCAGCCTGGCCAACGTGATCAAATCCCATCTCTGCTAAAAATATAAAAAATTAGCCAGGTGCACACCTGTAATCCCAGGTACTCAGGAGACTGAGACTGAGGCAGGAGAATCTCTTGAACCCAGGAGACAGAGGTTACAGTAAGCCAAGATCATATCATTGCACTCCAGCCTGGGCCACAAGAGCAAAACTCCATCTTAAAAATATGAAAATAAAAAGTAAATTAAGTTGGGCACATGGCTCAGGCCTGTAATCCCAGCACTTTGGGAGCCCAAGGCAGGTGGATCACCTGAGGTCAGGAGTTCAAGATCAACCTGGCCAACATGGTGAAACCCTGTCTCTACGAAAAAAATAAATACAAAAATTAGCTGGGCATGGTGGCAGGTGCCTGTAATCCCAGCTAACCCAGAGACTGAGGCAGGAGAATCGCTGAACCTGGGAGGCAGAAGATGCAGTGAGCTGAGGTGGCGCCACTGCACTCCAGCCTGGGCAACAGAGTAAGACTCTGTCTCAAGAAAAAAAGTGAATTAAATACTCATTAATTCCTTAAGTTCAAACATTTTAGAAACATAATGATTTCCATGCTAGACTGAATCTGTTGTATATCTTTTTCTTGTCCAGTGTTTCGTTACCATCAGAGGACTTGTTGGGGGAATGCCTTGACATCAATCAAAAGCATTTTGTATTAGTAGGGATTTATGTCTCCATCATTCACAATTTTTTTTTCTTTCCTATGTAGCATCTTGAAGGATGATCAATTCTATTCTGAAGTAATGCTCTTTTGTCTCAACTTTATTCAACTTTTAAAGGGCACTTTTTATAAAATGTGTTTAATTAGAGGGCACTTTTTATAGAATGTGTTTATATTTAATAAGGAACATGTTTCTGGAAAGAAATTCTAATTTTAAACTTTTCTTACACTGTTTTTTAAACTATTTTATTTTCATTTTCTATTAGTTATTTCGTTCCTCATTCCTAAACTAGAGCTTTTGAATATGCTTAATCTTTAATAGAGGAAAATTATTGTTTTCTATGTTGGGCTAGACAAAAAATTTAAATTGTATATTTTTAAAGTTTTTTTCACATGTTCCAATATTATTTTACTTTTTGTACTAGGTCATGCATGCATTTAGCAGTTATACACTTAAGAGGGTGGGTGATATTTGAATGTTATGAATAGGTTTTTTGAGCGTTTTGCCAAGTGCTTTGTTTTGCATAATATTTTGATAATTGGCATCAAAATAAGTTTATTGTACCTTCATAAAGAATGGCAAGGAAGATTGCAATGTCTTTATTTGAAATTTAGCAAAAATGTTTTTCCTTGAACTTCAGTACAGAAAATCAAGGCAATCCAGATGTGAATATGTGTGTGTGTGTGTGTGTGTGTGTGTGTGTGTGTAAGTGAAGGGAAATTAAATACCAAGTTATATGTGATATGTGGGGAAACAGACATTAAAATAGTCTGTTATTTACAAATACACGTAGGTAAGATTATACATAATTTTAAGAATCCAAATGAATAGCTGGATTTAACCTAGATTTTCTCACTTCTATGACATACTGATATTACTCCTTGCCCTTCCAAGGCAAAAAATGTTGCCTTGATCTACAAGTTATTGTTGTTGTGCATGTGAACAGGAGCATGCTCTGTCAAAGAGAATTAACCTTTCCAAAGTTATTACTGGACTTTTTATACACACACACACACACACACACACACACCCCTATTTACTGTTACAAAAGAAGAAAATTTGGGAGTTTTTTTCCCTCCTTTTATAACTGTAAAATGGAATGTTCTTCTTACCTTTAACCTTAGGATTAAGCTGTCCATAGCAGTATTTTTTTCAACTGACAGTATTTATTGGGACTAGCTCACTTTATTAATTATGCATCCTGATATCTTATAGAATGGGTATTGTATTTCAATATTATTAGTTAACTGGGCCTTTGTTAGTTATAAAGCAAGATACTTCCAGTAGGTCCTGTTAGCAGTAAGTTTTATATTGTAGAGGTGAACAAGGTATTTTTGTGTAAATCAATTTACTGAATTATATTATTTTAAAGCTAGATTGTGATGGTAAGTTTAAGTAAGGCAAATGTAGTACTTTTTAAATTTAACTTCAAACTTAAAATACATGACAAGGTACAGATTAAAAAATCACTTCCTCAGGATTACGTGTGTACGTAGAGTTGCTGATATACTAGGTTCATGGCCGTAATTGTTATACTATCTGTTAAAGCTTAATTAAAAACTAATTTAGTCCCACAGTGTACTTACTTTACTCACAAATAGGTAAATTTAACTGAAAATATAGATGGTGGTTAAACAACATTTGAGAAGAAAGACATGTTTATTCAGAAATCATTGGTAAGATCTATAAAAGTACACTTTTTTAAATGTCACAGAGAGTGTAATGCCTGCTTTAACTGAGTCACTTATAATGTTCTTCAGGAAGCATATTAAAAGTTCTTCACTCAGCTCTTATGCTTTCCCTTTCTCATTCTTTCTGCCTCTTGATCTCTTGGTTTAAAATCTTCCTCCTTATTTTGTAGACACTGCTCTCCTGTTCACTACTTCTTCTCTGTCTTTACGTCTCATCACTGGGCCTCTCTCAGTGTCTGTTTTCCCAACCTTCATCCCAAATTCCAGCTGTATATCTACAACCAGTTGGTCAGGTAACTTGCACCTTTTTCAGTGCACTCTTTGATAGAGCATGCTCTGTTCTTTTTGTTTGTTTTGTTTGCTTTTTCTCTCTCTTTTTTTTAATATCCTGGAGGCCTCTTGTCGAATGTCCCATAAATTTTACCTTTTGTTTCCACATTAATTTGATGATTGCTCATGATCATTGCTCAAGAAGTAGAGTGACAGTTCTTGTGCTTTTTAGTGTTTGTGCAATACATGAACGCATGTTTGTTGGTTAACTACCACTATAGATATAATACCAATACTGTGAGCAGCTCACATTTTATTTAGTTGTGGCATCTGCATTTGAAGATGGTTTATTAGTAGCCTCTAAACTACGTAATTTTTCCTAACTCAGTAATTTCTTCTAACCCTTTGGGCCTAAGATATCATTGGCTATTTAAGTTCAGAAATCAGATTAAATTCAGAATTTGATGGATTCCTTTACTCAAGTAAATAAATAGTTATGTTTACATGCATTAAACACTGGGCTGTGGTGCTCAATGTTCTCTCCATGAAGAAAAGATTTACCACTTGACATTGCATCTCTTAGGTAATAGAAGAAACAAAACTCATTAAACCTGAAGCAAAGCCAGTCAGAAATTTAAAATAAAAGTGAAAAAGGGACATGAACATGTTTTTTGTTTGCTTGCTTGTTTTGGGGCTTTGGGGTTTGTTTTTTATTGTTGTTTTTGGTATTTGTTATTTTGGGTTTTGTGTGTTTTCTATTCTGAGCCTTCAGAATAAATTCCTTACATCATCTGTTATGGAAAAGAGTAACCTACAAAAATTGAATATATATGTATGAACATTGTCAATTATGGTTGTCTAGATATTCTGAAGGTTTTTTTTTCTGAATATACTATTTTTCCTTTGCTAATTTTACAAACCATTATGAGTAAATATATATTTATATAATTCCGTCATTTTCTGAATAAGTTGACTCATGAAAGCTTCTATCATCTCAAGCTTTTTTCAGAGAGAAGAGTAGTATGAATGTTCTACTTTTGCACAACTTGTTGATAAGGTGGTGAGTGATAGAGCTCTCAAAGTGATCTCTATTGGTTTGTTCTCTCAAACTGTTCTTCATGGTATGACCATAGGTTTCTGACAAAGCGAGAGCAAAAATTAATGCAGCGGCGACAACATGCAGAGGAGCTCCTAGAGTGGAAGCGACGATTGGATGCAGAAGAAGCAGAAATCCGTCAAATGGAAAAACAAGCTTTGGCTGCATGGGACAAAGAATTAATAAAACCCAAAACTCCTAAGAAGGAATTGGAGGACCAGAGAACAGAACAGAAAGGTAATAAATACTGACGGTGTTCAGACTGAAAACTAAAGCCTAACATAATTGAAAGATTTATTTCATGACTTTTAAAAATGAGAGGCTGGACTCAGTGGCTCACGCCTATAATCTCAGTTCTTTGGAAGACCAAGGGCGGAGGATCGCTTGAGGCCAGGAGTTCAAGACCAGCTTGGGTGACATAGCAGACCCTGATTCTGCAAAAAATTTAAAAAGTAGATGGGCATGGTGGTACATACCTATATTCCTAGCTACTGAGGAGAGAAGCTTGCTTGAACCCAGGAGGTCAAGGTTTTGGAGAGCTATGATCACCCCTACTGTGCTCCAGCCTGGGTGACAGAGTGAGACCTCTCTAAAAAAAATTATAATTAAAATGAAAATGATTAAGGTGATGCAAATGATGAGAAAGATAATATAACCACAAATGCTGGAAAAATTAGAAAGATAAAAAAATGTTATAACACCTTTATTCTAATATAAACTTGAAAACTTACAAGAAATGGCTAAATTCTTCTAAAAACTACAACTTACTAAAGCTTACTCAGTAAGGTAAGAGAACCCTCCTGATTCTTCCACCAGTAGAGGAATTATACCCCAGTAGCTAAGCATCTTTTTACATTGACCTTCTTTATCTTTACCAGTATATAAGTCTTTAAAGGGGGATAAACTAGTATTATAATTCTTTACTTTTTCAGGGAATAGAAAAATAGACATTTCTCAACTCATTTTATGAGGCTAATATATAAGCTTGAGACAGTGTCAGAAAAGCAAAGGTCAGTCTTACCTATCCTGAATTATATATTAGCACACTAAGTTCAACTATATATACAAATCCTAATACTTAATGACAGAGTGGGATTAGCACATATTAAAAAGTTGATATTGTGGTGGATTACCTTAAACAGATTAAAGGAGAAAAATTGGTCATCTCAATGGATTCAGAAGCATCTGTTGGCTCACACCTGTAATCCCAACACTTTGGGAGGCCGAGGTGGGCGGATCACTTGAATCCAGGAGTTTGAGACCAGCCTGGGCAATATGGTGGAACCCTGTCTCTACCAAAAGTACAAAAAATTAGCTGGGCATGGTGGTGCATGCCTGTGGTCCCAGCTACTCAGGACGCTGAGACATGAGAATCACTTGAGCCCAGAAGGCAGAGGTTACAGTGAGCTGAGATGGTACCACTGTATTCCTGGGTGACAGAGTGAGACCCTGTCTCAAAAAAATAAAAAAATAAAAATAAAAAGCATTTGTGATAAAATAAATAAACTTCACATCAAAGTAGCCATAGAAAGGAACTTTCTTTACCCAATAAAGGATATTAACAACAAAAAAACCCACCAAACCTTTCATAGATACCATCTTTAATGATAAAACATAGAAACTTCCTTTGTATTTGGAAATAAGACAAGGATGCTTATTTTTAGCTCTATTCAGCATTGTGTAGAGGTCCTACATATACATTTAAGGCTAGAAAAAGAATTAAAAGCTATGTGTAGTGAGAAGAAACAAAATTCTCATTATTTTCAGTTAATAAAGCTATACACATAGATAATCCAGAATTTACATGTTTATTATTAGAATTAATAAGCGAGCTTAGCAAGGTTTCTGGTTATAAAATTCATGTACAAAACTCAACTACATGTCTATAGATCAGCAAAAATTGATTAGAAAAATCTAATTTTTAAAAAAAGAAACAAATAGAAATAAAATATAATAGAAACAAAAAAAATGAAGTACCTAGGAATAAATTTAACAGAAAGTGTACAAGATCTTTATATAGAAAAATTTAGAATTTTATTAGGAGACATATAAGGCCGAAATAGCCTGGGTCCAGTGGCTCACGCCTATAATCCCAACACTTTGGGAGGCTGAGGCAGGCAGATCTCTTGAGCTCAAGCGTTCACAGCAAGCCTGGGCAACATGACCAAACACTGTCGCTACAAAATATACAAAAAAATTAGCTGGGTATGGTGGCACATGCCTGTAGTCCCAGCTACTTATGGGACAGAGGCAGGAGGATTGCTTGTGCCCTGGAGGTCAAGGCTGCAGTGAGCCTTATTCATGCCACTGCACTGTAGCCTGGGTGACAAAGCAAGACCCTGTCTCAAAAAGTAAATAAAAGAAAGACAAAATAAATAGAACATTATTCCATACTCACAGATTCACTGTCATAAGGTACTAATTCTCCTTAAATTAATCTATAGATTCAAGACTATTTACATCAGAAACCCAGCAAGGTTTCTTTGTAGGAAACCTTTGACAAGCTCATTAAAAAATTTATGTGAGGCCGGGCACAGTGGGCAGGTGGATCACCTGAGGTCAGGAGTTCCAGACTAGCCTGGCCAACATGGTGAAACATGGTGAAACCCTATATCTACTAAAAATACAAAAATTAGCCAGGTGTGGTGGCACATGCCTGTAATCCCAGCTACTCTGGAGGCTAAGGCAGGAGAGTCGCTTGAACCCAGGAGGTGGAGGTTGCAGTGAGCCAAGATCATGCCACTGCACTCCAGCTGGCGTGACAAGAATGAAATTCCGTCTCAAAAAAAAAAAAATTACATGAAAGAACAAAGGAACTAAAAAGTAACAACCCTACTAAATAAGAACCACAAAATGCAGAAACTTACTTTACCGTATATCAAGACTTCTAAGGTGTAGTGATTAAAATAATAGATTTGCATAGAAAGGGACAAATAGACTATGAAACAGATAACCCGATCTGTGCATCTATGGAAGCTGACTCTCCTGTTTGTGGGAGGCATAAATGAAGTTGGATTCCTACCTGACAATATAAAAGATCTGTTCCAAGAAGGAAATAAAGGGTTAAGTGAGAAAATTAAAACTATGAAACTTTTAGAATATAAGAGAATGTTATTTATGACATCAAGGGAAAATAGGGATTTAACATGTTCTACAAAGCAAAAACTATAAAGTAAAAAATTGATAAATTTGACTTCAGTAAATTTAGAATTTCTGTTTTTTGTCATAAAGTAAAAAATACAAAATAAGATTTTACTACCCATATGACTGAAAAAGGTATAGTATTGAGAATATATAAATAACTCCTGTGAATCAATAATAAAATGAAAACCATCTAAAAATTAGACAGAAGGGCAGACACTCACAAGGAGGAACTTCAGATGGTCACTAAGCATGGTCAAGGGTTTATGAAAAGATGCTCAACTTCTTTAGTAATCAGGGCATGAAAACCACAAAGAGATATACGTTGGATATCCCTTATCCAGAATGCTTGGGACCAAAGTGTTTCAGATTTCAGATTTTTTTAGATTTTGGAGCCACTAGCTACATGTGATTATTAAGCACTTTAAATTTGGCAGAAATAACATTCTCTTATATTCTATAACAACTAAGGAACTGAAATTTTAAATTTAATTGATATTCAAGTAGCCACATGTAGCTGATGGCTACTGTATTGGACAGTGCGTGCAGATTATATATTTTACAAAGTTTTGATGTTTTTCCATTTTGTTTTATGTCACACTATATGGAATATATTTCAAAAGAAAGCTGAAGATTGGCTGATACTGTTTGTATTTCTTTACAAATGTCCAAATTTTGCCAGATTTTTATTGACATGTAACTCTGTCTTCAAAAATCAGGGATACAATGAGGTACCACCTCACAGCAATTCAAATAGCTGTTATCAAAAAACGGAAGATAAAAAATGTTGGTGAGGATGTGGAGAAATTGGAACCCTTGTGCGCTCCTGTTGGAAATGGAAAATGGTTGCAGCTTCTATGAAACAGTGTGGCAGTTCCTCAAAAAAGTTAAAAATTGAATTAACATGTGATTCAGTAGTTCCACTTCTGGGTATATATCCAAAAGAATCAAAAGCAAGATCTCAAAAATGTATTTGTACATGCATGGTTGTAACAGCATTATTCACAGTAGCCAAAGGGTAAAAGCCATCCAAGTATCCGTCAACAGATGGATAAGCAAAACGTGGGAAATATGTACAATGGAATATTATTTGGCCATAAAAAAGAAGGAAATTCTGACACATACTGCATTTATGAAACTTGAAGACATTATGCTTAGTAAAATAAACCAGTTTCAAAAGAATAAGTATGGTACGATTCTTACATGAGGTACCTAGAGTAGTCTGATTCATAGAGACAGAAAATAGAATGGTGATTGTCAAGGACTGGGGTGAAGGAGGATGGGAATTTGTTTAATGAGTATAGAGTTTCAGTTTTGGAAGAAAAAGTTCTGGAGATTAGTGGTGATGGTTGCACAACAGTGTGAATGTACTTAATGTCACTGAACTGTACATTTGGTTAAGATGGTAAATTTTATGTGTATTTTGCCACAATTTTTCAAAGTTAATTTTTAAGAAGTCAGGGAGTATGGGAAAAGATCTTGAAAGATACACGTCTGCCAACCAAACTTAGCCACCACTGGTTTACCTTTGAGATGTGGCAGTTGGGTAAGCAAAAGTGATTGGGGATGGGTGTGTGAAGTAGTCACTTTATATCCTTCTCTAATATTTGAAGTTTTTTAAAAACTATTAGAATTTTTGAAATATGGGAAAAGGAAAAAATGAAGTGTTCCAAAGAGACATCTGATGAGAGAATCTTTGGTGGTTATCTCCCAGGAGGTAGTAGTAAAGGTGACTTTCATTTTTTTCTTTATAGTTTTTATAGTTGAGTTTCTCTTTTGATGAGGTGACTTACAATTATAAAATAAAGTATCTCTATTGAGGGCTATAAAGCAGAAATATAAGGGTTCTGTTCTCTACTACCTAAAAATTAAAACATTTTCTAAACCCTTTTCAAAGTTCCTTTTTTTTGTTTGTTTTGTTTTGAGACAGATTCTTGCTCTGTTGCCCAGGCTGGAGTGCAGTGGCATGATCTTGGCTCACTGCAACCTTTGCCTCCCGGGCTCAAGCGATTCCCCTGCTTCAGCCTCTCGAGTAGCTGGGATTACAGGCACATCCCACCACACCCAACTAATTTTTATTTTTTTTGTAATTTCAGTAGAGACAGCGTTTCACCATGTTGGTCAGGCTGGTCTCGACATCCTAACCTTATGCCCACCTCGGCTTCCCAAGGTGCTGGGATTACAAGTGTGAGCCACCGTGCCTGGCTGGCCCACATTCTACCTTTCATAGATAAATAGCCTTGATGATTTTTAGAATTTTTTCATTGATTCATTCAACCATTTCTATTATGCCACACATACACAGTAAAAATATACCTTTCAAATTTTGGATTAAATGCTTTGGAATGTCATATCACTCTTATTTATTGAAGTAAAACATTATTTGGGGGCATAGGTATTTCTTATGTTAAATAAACTTACAGATTTCAGGTCTAGAAGGAGATAATTACAGACAAAATATTTAAGTCATTTTAAAATTTGAGTACATTAAACATTTCCAGTACTTACTCAAAGCTTGTTATTATAACCTCCTTTTGAGGCATGTTACCTGTAGAGGCAAAGAAAGCAAGCCATGTACATTTGTAAGATTATGCAAGAATATGTGCCAAAATTTTGTTTAGTGTTCAAACATCTTTCTGTTTTCTTAGAAAGAACAGAAGCCACAATAGACAGGAAATTCCCAAAGCAAGATAGTGCTATAAATTTTGAAAGTGCTAAATAAAATGCATAATATCTTCATCTCCATCAGTGCATGTAGTCTAGTTCATTCCTTTTTAGTGCTGTGCACCATTTCATTGTATAAATATACCACAATTTATTTTGCTATCGATAGACTTTTGTCTTTTTTCCAATTATTGACTATTACAACAATCCTGCCAATGAACATGTACACGTCTCCTGCTGCATATTGGTAAGATTTCTTTAGAATGTATACCTAGGATTGGAATTGCTAGAATATGTGTTTTCATCCTTTCCAAGTAATACCAAAGTAGTTGGACCAGGCCAGTGCGGTGGCTCACATCTGTAATCCTAGCACTTTGGGAGGTAGAGATGGGCAAATCACTTGAGTCTAGGAGTTCTTCGATACCAGCCCAGGCAAAATGGTGAAACCTCATCTTTACTAAAATTGTAAAAACTGAGGTGGGAGAATCACCTGAGCTTGGGAAGGTCAAGGCTATGGTGAGCCCTAATCACACCACTGCTTTCTACTCTCGATGACAGAATAAGACCCCGTCTCAAAAAAAAAATACAAAAAGCAGTTGGACCAATTTCCACTCCTAAAGGAATATATATGACTTGAAACTGCTCTGCACCCCACAAACACTTAAATTGTAAGTTACTATCATTGCTGATTATGGGTGGTAGATATCTTCTCTCAGTTGGCATCAGCCAAAATTCTTAATTAGACTAAACAGACTTCATAGTAAATGTTAAGTGATATGATAAAGAAATTCTATCTAAATGCAGTGAGTCAGCCAGGCACAGTGGCTCATCATGCCTTTAATCCCAGCACTTTGGGAGGCCAAGGCAGGTGGATCACTTGAGGTCAGGAGTTTGATACCAGCCTGACTAACATGGTGAAACCACCTTCTCTACTGAAAATACAAAATTAGCTGGACGTGGTAGCACACACCTATAATCTCAGCTACTGGGGAGGCTGAGGCAGGAGAACTGCTTGAACCTGGGAGGCAGAGTTTGCAGTGAAATAAGATGGCGTCATTGCACTCCAGCCTGGGCAGCAAGAGCAAAACTCCCTATCAAAAAGTAATAATAACAATAATAAATAAATGCAATGTGTAATAATATGCTAAAAACAATGTTTATCAGTGTAATTTTCCCATTGACCAAGACTGTATATTTTTACTTGTTTTCACCCTCTTAATAGAAATAGCGAGTGAAGAGGAATCTCCAGTACCTCTGTACTGTCATCTAAACAGTGAAAGCTCCATTCCAGAAGAATTAGGCAGCCCTGCTATTGAATATGTACCATCTGAGTCTATAGGACAGGAGCAGCCAGGGAGTCCAGATCGCAGTATTCTAACTGAAGAAATGGTTTGTTCACAGGAACTAGAATCTTCTACCTCTCCTAGTAAACATGTAAGTTATGTATATTTATATCTTAAAGATTCTCTAGAAAAAAAACTGCCTGAAAGTTATATTATTAACAGTTATATTATTGCTATTAATGACATTATTAACCATCACCGTACTTGTAACATACAGGATATAACATTGGAATAGAAATAAAGCTTTTCATTTACTTCTGTAGATTTACTAATATATGAGTGATGGCATTAATGGAGGTTATAAAATCATATGCTATCAAGTCTGTTAATATTGAGGGAATAGGAACTTCTGAAGTATGAAAAACAATTTGTAGGAACAACACAGGTTCTTTCTGAAATTTGTTTTTTCATATAACAAAAACAATAAGATCTTGAAACACAAGAGTACCTTTACTGTAACTGAATTAATAACTTCTGTATAAGTCATAGAATAAAAATAATGGTTTAATCTCTTAAAGGCAGGTCTGAAATAGTTACTGATTTTAATTAAAATATTGGCCATTATTAGGCTAAGAAGATTTTCTACATTGTCCTTAACTGTGTACTTTGTAGAAGAAAACTAGCTGGCAAAAACTCAAGATAGAAACTTAACTGTTTTTGTTAAATATAGCAAATAATTAGCAAAACAATATTAAATATTTAGTATACACAGACATTGTTAAAGCCTTTTTATGTTTTTTTAAAAAAAATCTACCCAAATTCAGAATGGAATATCCTTTGTTAGAATCTTCTATTTTTATTGTGGATGGAAAGAATTAATTTCATTTCCCCTGTTGAAAAGTCAGTCAGATTCGTATGTGTTACAGCACCTAGAAGATCTAGAAGAAAAACATTTTTTATTCAATGAAGATCCTACTTAATATTATGTTAAAAAATATTCCAGTGTCCTTGTGCACATTCTTGAAATCAGCATTTTTAGGTTATTAAAGGCTTTTAATAATGATCATGTTAGTGGTTTCTTATTTATTATATGATAATATTAGGCTTGTATAGATAATTTACTTGTAGCATTATCTATTATCCTGTAAATTTCTACCTTTTGGCATTTACAACCAAACTGCATTTAAACAATCTTACAAGTTTATTAGTTCTTATAAATTGATTAGATTCATTATTGATCAGGCTCAGAATAGCCAAGAACTGATTGACTATTAAAAATTAGAGCTTTTTTCACTAGAAAATAAATCAAGGAAGTCTAAACTAGTATGTCCTAAAGTGGTTTTTATAACAAAAGCTAATATTTATTGAGTGTTTACTTACCAAGTGTTTACCAAGTGCCTTACATGGATTATCTCATTTATCCCTCACAAGAATCCTATTAAGTAGATACTGTTCTAATCCCCAAGTGAGGAAACTTACCCAAAGTCACAGGGATAGGAAGTGATAGTAGCTAGAAATCAAATCAGGCATCTCGCTTCCACCTGATGTCAGGGTAGAAATTTTGTCTTTTGTTCTCTTGTGGGCAAACTTCTTATGCTCTATTTTCTTCTTCCCTTCCTCTCTCCCCCTCTCCTTTCCATAAAAAGTAGTACATACTTTGTATTTTTTAAATTAAAAGAATGTGGCAGTAAATATCACTGACCTGATAATCACTTCTAATTTATTGTAAACCTTGTTAAAAGCATGCTCTTTTATAATTTGTCTTCAAAAAAAAATTGAGGTCTTATCTCTTATATAATTTGTAACCATTTAAAAAAAATTAGCTTTCCCAGGTTGAATAATTTGTAAAGTTTTTTCACTTATGTCTAACAGTTATTTTAAATTCTTTGTAAATATTACCTTTAAATGGCTAGTATCTCAAATTTTAAATAGAATTCTATAATTACATCACAAAATAGTTCTCATTTGGTTTTCTGTTTGAACAGTCACTTTCCAAAAGCTGTACATCTATGTCAAAGCAGGAGTCTAGCAAAGGAAGTCATAGGACTGAAGGACAGTGTCGCCTGCCTATGAAGTCCCATCAGCACTGTTACAGTTGGTCAGATGAGTCATTATCTATGACACAGTCAGGTAAGACTAATACTGAGCAGTTTGTATTTGTGTTGTATTTGAACAGCCTCTGCTCTAAAAGGCTTCAAGGAGTTTGTCGACCTTAAGAAGCATATGTAGGCAGACAATGGTGGGCTTATGTAAGATTGTGAGGAAGATTAATATCATATCGAGTATTGTCATATTGAATATATTGAGTTAAACATATTAAACAGTGTATTGCTTTTTTTTTTTTTTTTTTCTGAAACAGAGTCTTTGACTCTGTTACCCAGGCTGGAGAGCAGTGGTGCAATCTTGGCTCACTGCAACCTCCACCTCCCAGAGTCAAGTGATTGTTCTGCCTCAGCCTCCCGAAAAGCTGGGATTACAGGTGCCCACCACCACACCTAGCTAATTTTTGAATTTTTTTTTTTTTTTTTTAGTAGAGATGGGGTTTCACCATGTTGGCCAGGCTGGTCTCAAACTTCTGACCTCAGGTGGTCTACCCATCTTGGCCTCCCAAAGTGCTGGGATTACAGGTGTGAGCCACTGCACCCTTCCCAGTGTATTGCTTTTTGAACTCATTTTTAGTTTTGAGAGTATTTGAGAGTATTTAGTAAAGAGAATGTGAAAAATGTTTTTTGTTTGTTTGTTTTTGTCATTGATCCTGTGCTATACCCTTTTGTTTTCCATGTGTCAGACAATTGTAAATCATGGAATATTTCCACACCCATATTTATAGCTCTCCTTTCTTTTTTGAGTTAACCATATAGTATTTCAAAGAGTAGATGTGCCATAATTTAACTATTTCCTTAGTGATGGCCATTTAGATTTTCTCAAATATTTCACAATTGCAAATAATGATACAATAAACATCTTTATGTAAATATTTACACAGATGTATATATGCAGTCATATATCACTTAATATCCAGGCTATGCTCTGAGAAATGTGTCATTAAGCAATTTCATCATTGTGTGAACTTCATAGAATGACAAACCTAGATTGTGGATTCTTACTGTACTCTCAGGCCATATGGTATAGCCTCTTGTTCCTAGGCTGTAATACCTGTACAGTATTACTACACCGATGACTGTAGGCAATTTAAGTATTTGTATATCTAAACATAGAAAAGGTGTAGTAAAAATATAATATTATAATCTTGGGACCACTATCATATATATGTAGTCTGCTGCGTAGTCTGTCATTGATTAAACTGTCATATGTGGTACATAATTCTATGCCTGTGTGTGATATCACATATCCTTTATATGTGTGTTTATCATATAAATGATGAAAACTCTTTTTGTATATTTAACTATGAAATAGATTCTTAGGAGTAGAATCACTGAGTCAGAACAGTTGAAGAATATCTCATATTTCTCTGTGGAAAGTTATTGATGTTTTTATATATTTGCTTTTATGTACATTGGTAAAAAATTACTTCCAGGAGAATAACATGTCAGTAGACATAAACTTAAATACTTGAAAACATGGGTTCTTATCCTGGATCTGTTACTTACTGGTGACTTTCTTCAAGTTTCTTTGCCAATACTAGATTATCTTTTTCATTTGTTAGCAGTGGAATAATGTTTCAACCATCCTTGCATGAGTTATGCACCAAGGATTAATGATAACATTTGTAAGATACTGTTTTATTGGTGGAGCTTGTGTAAGTAAGAATGAATAGTTTTAGAAAAGTAGCTCTGAGGTTTCTGAACTACAGATTCACTACCTATTCAAGATGACATCATTTATATTCAGTATTTGTGGAAGTGGTAGATATTAATGTAGTGGAGTTATAATACCTTTACTTAAGTGATGGAGAGTTTATCAACCAAGATAATATAATCAGTGTGTGTCAAATAATCAGACACTAATTTTTAAAAATCAGGATATTCTAACAGGTTATTTTATTTTGAGACAGCTTCTAGCCTTGTCACCCAAGCTAGAATGCAGCGGCATGCTCTCAGCTCACTGCAGCCTCCACCTCCTAGGCTTAAATGATTCTCCCACCTCAGCCTTCTAAGTAGCCAGGACTACAGGCGCATGCTGCCACACTTGGCTAATTTTTCATTTTTTGTAGAGATGGGGTTTTGCCATGCTGCCCAGGGTGGTCTCAAACTCCTGACCTCAAGCAGTCTGCCACCCTTGGCCTCCCAAAATACTGGCATGAGCCAGTGCACCAGGCCCACATTTGGTTCCTTTAGTACTTAAAAACATAAACATTTTCCAAGGTCTTTTATCTAAAAACTCCATGTTTTTCATCAGCTTCTATTAAATCATCAACCATAGATGGTAAAGATATTTTTAGTAGAAAACCATTGCTAGCATATACACTTTTAAAAAAATATTAATTTAAAATAGTTATTTTAGGGGCAAAATTGAAACTAAGCCTGTGAGAATGTAGTGATCTACAAAATCTTATCAAAATTGTAATTTTGGAAGCACATAAATAAATACTGAGCTCTGCCTATGCTAAGGGCTCAGTGTGATGCCACTGCTAATATAAAGCAAGCCTAACTTTCCTAGTGTGTCTTAACTCAGTGTCATAGAAGTGACAGGAACTCAGATTTTATTATTCCTTATTCAGATACGTATACCACACTATTAAAAAGACAGCAATCTTTTTGCATTTAAATAACTTCCATAACTAGCTCTTAATAAATTTAACCTGAAATAACTGATAAAATCCTGGCTTAGGATGTAATGTTAAATTTGAGTCTTAAGATTTGTGTATGATATTATTTCTCTTGTAAGATTATTAAATGTCTCACTCAACATTAGTGTATGGCAGTGACACCATTGTGTGGTTGAGGGAGGTGTGAGGAACAGTAATTTCTATACCATGTAATTTCCATGTGTAATGAAATAAGCAGTATCTGTAAATGATACCTATTTGTTTTCATAGCATGTGTGTGACACATTTTAGTGAAATGTCTTTTTCATAATGTTGCTATGAGTAGATGTCTTGTGGATGTGAACTGTTGGAGAGAAAAGACTTAAGTAGCTTCATTTCAGTTATTTAAAATATTTTGAGAGCTTTCAGACAAAGATTATAGCAGAGTTTTTTTAATATAATTTCTCTCTTTTTAATGTGGTATTAAACCATCAGCTAATGAATCTCGAGCAATTTGACATGGTATAACTCTAGTTTGATTTTAATATGACTTAAAAACTATTAAATTATGTATTATCAACTAAGGGGAAAGACAGTTAAATATGATTATCTTGTTACCAGAAGTAATTTCTTGCAGTATATCCACATTTCATCAGTCTAAACATTTCTTAACTTCCAGCTGCATGTCTTACCAAGACAGCATATCTCCAGATTTATTTATAATTTCAAGTAGTACAATTAGAAAGTAAAAATAAATAGGAGGAATCAAGCCAAAAATAGTGTGTGTGGGAGAATTATAGAAAAGCAGGGATGCATTTTGTAATAAATTTTTTTTCAGAAGTTCATATTTTATCATTTTAATCATTGAATTGGCTTTATTTAAATGGAAAATTACATTATAGCTTTTTATTTGTAGTTACTAAATTAACTTTATGCTTAAGTCAAAATTATAAATAAAAGATTTTTTATCTCTTTCAGAAACTACTTCTGACCAGAGTGACATTGAAGGTAGGATCAGAGCTCTGAAGGATGAGTTGCGGAAAAGAAAATCAGTTGTGAACCAGTTGAAGAAGGAACAGAAAAAAAGGCAAAAGGAAAGACTGAAAGCCCAGGAAGCCAGTCTGATCAAGCAGTTAGAGGTTAGACATAGGAGGAAAGGGGTTTAATGTCAAGGCTAATGTGTATGTGATGCCTAAAATGTTTTTAAAGTGGTTAATAAAGTAATGGATTAGGTTTCCTCATTATTAGTGTGGTACCACATTTTATCCTTTTAAAAAAATCTGAGGGTATCTAAGGACATTCTTGCTTAAAACACTAAATTTTAAATTTAAGTATTAAAATGATAAGTATTAAAATATCAAGGCTACACACAATGGTGTGTTCCTGTAGTCCCCAGCCACTTAGGAGGCTGAGGAAGGAGAATTGCTTTAAGCCAGGAGTTTGAGGCTACAGTGCACCATGATTGCACTTGTGAATAGCCACTGTACTCCAGCCTGGGCAACGTAGCAAGACCCCTACTCTAAAAAATAAATAAATATTAAAATAAAGTATTAAAACTTTTCTTCTAAATAAGAAAGATTAGGCCTTTGAAAGAAAGATTGGTATCTATGCCCTTGTAATCAGAGAACCATTAGATAAATAATTTTAGCTTTTGGAATTGTTACTGCTTCCCTTTTTCCTTCTCTTCCCCCTTTCGCTTTTCCTCCTCCTTCCCTCTTCCCTTCCCCATTCCCTTCCCCTTTTCCTTCTCTTTTTCTTTCCTCCTTTCCTTTCCCCTTTCCCCTTCCCTTTCCCTTTCTCCTTTCCTTCACTTCTTTCACAGAATGGTGTTTCATGCCATACAACTTATTAAATAGTATAACTCTGTACTATTTGGATAACTTCTAAATGATAACTCTTCACGTGGATTTTTCCCCAAGCTGTAGCAGCCTTGCTGATTCTGTCCCAGGCTGGGAACCTGGTTTTGATGTCTTTCTTATTCTGTTTTCTCCTGTCCAGTCACTAGTTCCCATGGATTCTTTGATAAAGTTCCTTATTTGTCCCTGTCCATTCCTACTGCCTCCACTGTCTGCATATTCTCTTAGATGTTCTCCAAGCTAGTTGGGGCCCTTATGACCTCTTGCCTCTACTGTCTGCATAGTCTCTTCGATGTTCTGCCTCACGCTGCATCCCTATTACACACATTCTGCCAGCCTGGCATTCCTAGAACATGACATTCATTGTAGAATCAGACTGAATCTCCTACTCATTGCAAGAATTCCTTCTCATGTCATCACCAGAGAAGGTCATTCAACTTTACGTGAACACTTCCAGTAATAGGAAGTTTCAAACTTTTAAGCTAATTGGTTTCCTCATTAGACTCAAAGTGCTCTAAGGATTAGAAGATCTCTTTGTTGTATTTAGTCAAAATTTCTGTTCTTTTAATTTCCACCCATTGGTCCTTGTTGTGTACTAACAAACACATGCTCCTCCTACCATTATTAACTTAATCATCATATTCACCTGCCTATTTATATACCAGGAGCTCAGCTAATTATATATATTTTTCATTTAATCCTCACGACAAGGTATGGTTATTATTATCTCTTTTACAGATAGGGAAACTGAGTTTCAGTGAGATTAATGATTTATGCAGGGATACACAGCTCATAAATGACAAAACTAGGATTTTAATCTAGCTCTAATTTTAAATTCTGTGCCTTTACCATTGTATTGTCTTCCACACAGAAAATAGGCCTGTTAATAGATGTGGAGAAAATAAAACTTCTAAACAGGTACATAATACAGAGATGGAATAGGGATTGTAACTTGTACAATGGTTCGAGTAGGAAAACAGATTAAGATACAAAGACCATACTGAGGAGTTCATGCTGGAAAGTAGTGGAAACAAAATTTAAAAACAAAGATTATATTCAAGACCTTAGAAATCAAATTGTTGAGTTTGGATTTCATCCTATATCTCAAGTAATGAGGTGTCACTAAAGTAACTATTGGAGATAAAGTACTATTAGAATGAATAGTATTGCTGGAAAATGTTCCTTAATAGCTATGTCAGTCAGAAAAGAGACCTCTAGAGAAATGCCATACGATCTATCTCTTCCAGTATTCTACTTAATGGCTTAAACAAAGACAAAAGAAAATTCTGTATTTAACTTTTCAAATTATAGTATATGAGATAAAAATATATAATGCATAGCAGTTCATATAAAAAGTCTATTGGATTTTATTTGATCATAGATTTAATAAATGGACTGCACTCCTATATGTAGAGCTTTCAGATCTTAGTATTCATAGTCCTCATGTATACCTACCAAGCTAGAACACCTAGCTGTGGTGTAGGAGTAGAACACCTAGCTATCCTGTAATACCAGGAGTTACTTTAACAAAATGTTGACAATTCAGTTGAAGATAGCATGGATGAAGAGAGTCGTAAAATTAGTGATTTCAGCCCAGATGTTAGGGATCTGTAGCAGTTGACAAGCATCCATCCATCCATATTAGTTCATTCTATAAATATTTATTGATAGGCCACTTTGAACCAGGCATTGTGAATAGCACATTGTATACCAGACATACGGTGTTGAACAAAACACTAGTCTCAAATAGTGAGAGCTGTAAAAGTAAGGACTTCAGCTCAGAAAACTAGGGAACATAGTTTTACAAATTATAAAATTATAAATATAGTTTTCATACAAATTATAATTATAAATTAGTAAAGTTTTATTTCAGAATGGGTAATAACCAAGAAACATTTTTTTTTAAATTCTCCGCTATCATACTGTCAACCATACCTTTCTCTTTTCATAATTTGTATCCTTAAGTACTTAGCCCATAAGAGACTGCCATTGAAACTCAGAGCAGAATGGCTAACTTCTTAAGAATACCATGAAAGTAGTAGTGTACCCTTTAGAGAATAATAATATAATCAGTTAAAGAAGTTTTTAATGTGGCAAGGTATGAATTATTGCTTCGTAGTATTAAACTTCTATAGATTTGGAATGTCGTTTCTTAATTGATACTGGGATTACAATTATGTATCTTGCTTATATATAGACTATTTTGAGATGGATATACAGATTAACTATAGTGCTCTGGGGAATGATGTTGCGGGGGACAGGAAGGGAGATTTTTATATTATATCTTCTTTACTGATTATTTTACCTTAAAATACACTATTTTATAATTTAAAATGGGTTTTAAAAATTCTGCCTAGTGACTCCTCTCATTTTTCTAAACTTAGTCATATGATGAATTTATTAAGAAAACTGAAGCCGAGCTTAGCCGAGATTTGGAAACATCACCAACAGCCAAGCCTCAGATTAAAACACTCTCCTCAGCTTCTGAAAAACCTAAGATCAAACCCCTCACACCACTACACAGGTAGAAATTTTTGATGACTTGTCTATATCCTGCCTTGTTTGAGAAAAGAATAAGAAAATATTCTCAATAGAAGCTATCTTTTAAGTAACTGAAATTATAGAAGTAAAAATATTTTATATTTTTAGTGTCAGTAAATTAAAATGTTCATGTATTACAATTAAAAGTTATATTTATAAAATACTGATTTTAAAGTACATTTTTAATCCTGCAGTCTGATGGGTACAATGAAAATGGTACTTTCTAATATTGCTCGTAGTGGCATAAGCTGATGTGAACCTTTGAAAAAACAATTTTGCTTTGTTTCAGAAGTCAAAAGTCTGTAACCTTTGACCCAGTAATCCTACTCCCGGAAGTCTAGCTTGAGAAAATATGGGGTACTGAAAATCTCTATTTGCATGAATATATTTATCATAACATTCTTTATAGTCACAAAACATTGGAAACAATTTTTATGTCCAAAAATGGATGAATAGCTCAGTTAATGATGGTTCTATGCAGGCGATAGAATATTATGCAGTCAGTAAGCAAATAGAGAAGATACCAAGTTAAAACATTAGAATATGCAATGTATATTAGGAAGTCAGGTTATAATATTTAAACTAAGTTTTGAACAAAAAGTCAAGGTTAGACAAATCAGTCCAATTGAGACATAGAGGTCATTTCAGAGGGAAGTTTATTCATGAATGACTAAAAGTAAAAAAAACAGGCATATCATAGAAGTTGAACACAATAGGATATTGCTGGAGTTAGCAGAAGGAAAAATAAATAAAAGCCAAATTGTGGAAAAACCTTGTACTCATTTATTCTTAGTAGTTTGTATTTTACCTTTTAGAAAATGTAGAGCCTTTGAAGGTTTGTTTAAAAAGATTTGGGGACTTTTTTGTTAGAGAGGTAATGCGGGCTCATTACAGTTAATTTAGCATTACCTGAGTTTGAATCCTGGCTCCAGTTCTAGCTGGTTCTGTAACTTTGGGCAAGTTTTTTAACCCCCTCTGTGCTTGAGTTTTTTAAATAGGGGTTTCTACCCTATTAAACAGGAGTAATAATAATACCGGATTAATACACTTGTTATGAGGGTTAAAAGACTTAACAGGGCCTAGGACACAGTAAGCATTGTGTATTAACTGCTGCTATTATTATTGCTGTTATTATTTCTGGGGAAGTAGTAAAAAGAAAAAAGCTAAAGGCATACCATACCCAACTATCCCAAAATAGCAAACGTCAACAATTAGATAAATATGTTTCCTTCTAGGATCTTTTATGCTTAGATTTTGTGTGTGTTTTTGTTACATATACACTTCGCATTATACTATATACATTTTAATTTCTACATAATATGCTATTAAATGGCTTTGTAATATTCTTAAGCTACTGAAGGCTTTTAACCACAATCATATTTGTGTTTACAGAGATTTTTCTGACCACAGTATAGAGGAAAAATAGAAAAGAGTAAGCTTAGAAGCAGGAAGAAAAATAGTCTAAGCCAGGCCTCCCGTAAGCAGTAGTAAGAATAGAAAATAGGAGACGTATTTTAGAATAGTGAAGGATTAAAAAGTAGACTTGAGCCAGGCGTGGTGGCTTATGCCTATAATCCCAACACTTTGGGAGGCCGAGGCAGGTGGATCATGAGGTCAGGAGTTCGAGATCAGCCTGACAAACATGGTGAAACTGTCTCTACTAAAAATACAAAAATTAGCCGGGCGTGGTGGTGCGCGCCTATAATCCCAGTTACTTGGGAGGCTGAGGCAGGAGAATCACTTGAACCTGGAAGGTGGAGGCTGCAGTGAGCTGAGATTGCACCACTGCATTCCAGCCTGGTGACAGAGCAAGATTCTGTCTCAAAAAAAATAAATAAAAAGAATGTCTGCTTTTTGTTACCAGTTATTATAATAATATATTTCTTTCTGCTCATTAATTTTTACACATCAGATCTGAAACGGCAAAGAATTGGAAATCACTAACAGAGTCAGAACGTTCCAGAGGATCCCTGGAGTCTATTGCTGAACATGTTGGTATGTAACTAGAAAAAATATTTCAGTTGTAGCTACATAGTCTAAGGATTTATGCAAAGGTCTGCAAAATACTGCCTTTACAGCTTTTTTTTATTAAAAAGGGAATTTCTTAAATAGATTTATTTAATATTTTAAAGTTACTTTTATATTTTAAAGTGATTTATTGGCTATGTGAATCCTTTTTTTTAAATTTGTTTTTGTTTTGTTTGAGACAGGGTATCACTCTGTCACCCAAGCTGGAGTACAGTGGCATGATCATAGCTTACTGCAGCCTTGACCTCCTGGGCTCAAGAAATCCTCCCACCTCAGCCTCCCAAGGAGTCAGGACCACAGACACATGCCACCACACCCATTTCATCTTTTTCATTTTTTAAAGAGATGGGGGTCTCACCATTGTTGTCCAGGCTGGACTGGAACTCTCTGGCTCAAGCAGTCCTCTACCTAGCCAGGTTGAACTTTACCAGCATTTCAGCCAAAGTGCTGAGATTACAGTCATGAGCTACCACACCCAACTGAATCAGTCTTTATTGTCCAAAATTTATGAGAAAAACTGAAGCATGAAGATTAAATAGCTGAGTATATCATCAGCATCTCTAAATTCCCCCAACCAGATTTTTAATCTGGCTATATATGTTTTCAGCCTAACTATTTCTCAGATAAATAATTATATACATTTTCAGTTTAACCAAAAGAAAATTAATTATTGAAAATAAAATGTAGGCTAGGTGCAGCAGCTCATGCATGTAATCCCCGCACTTTGGGAGGCTGAAGTGGGCAGATCACTTGAGCTCATGAGTTTGAGACCAGCCTGGGCAATATGATGAAACTCAATCTATACAAAAATTAGCTGGGCATGGTGATACGCACCTGTAGTCCCAGCTATTTGTGGGGCTGAGGCTAGAAGATTGCTTATACCCAAGAAGTTGAGTCTAGAGTGAGTTGTGATCAGCCATTGCATTCCAGCTTGGGTGACAAAGTGAAGCACTGTCTCAAAAAATAAAATAAAATGCAATTCAGTGAGGAAATAAAACTAAGGCACAAAGAAACATCAGTGACAAAATAGAGATTTGGCCAACCCTCCTAAGTACCTGGGATTATAGACTCAAGCACAGTGTCTTGCACCTATAATCCCAGGTACTTAGGAGGCTGAGGCTAAGGATCGCTTGAGCCCGGGTTCAAGGCTACAGGGAGCTATGACCACTACACTCCAGCTTAGGTGACAGAACAAGATGCTTACTCTTACAAAAAAAAAAAAGAAAGGAAAAAAAGAGATTTGAATTCAAAACTTTAATTCTTGGTTTGTTAGCTCATTATATTGTACTTTGTTCATATTTTGCAAGTTTAGCTCTTAAAGTGCTATATTTGCAGAAATAGTTGATCTATTTTCTTTTTAATTCAAGAGCTTAGATGAAGCTCCTGGGAAAATGTATTCTTTTAGAAGCATATATGGAAGTCTGTTTGTCCTTCACAAAAATGTTTGTAATAATCATCATACAATTCTGTTTTTGCATGATTTGAGGATGAATGTGCAAAGCACTGGCTTCATCAACTTAGATCCATTTTTCTTCGCTTTATAAGTTAAGATAACACTTAAGAAATTATTCCAGACTTTAGAATGTTTAGTAATTTTTAATGTTCTATTTATTGTTGATACAGGTGATATTTTCTTAAAAGAAAAACTTAACTATAAGGTAGCCACAACAGGTCATATTTATTAACCAGAGGGTTTTGGGTTTTTTTTTTCCATGAAAATTTGGCTTTTCTGTAAACTTTGATTCACTAAATTGAAAGATTGTGATTAAATAATTCTGATATGATGATTTCTTTTTCTTTAAGATGCTTCACTGTCAGGGTCTGAGAGATCAATATCAGAAAGATCTTTATCTGCATATGCAAAGAGAGTAAATGAATGGGACAGTCGAGCAGAAGATTTTCAGACCCCATCTGCAGTTCTCAGATCATCAAGGAAAATCAGGGAGGAATCTGGAGAGTCTCTAGAAAATGTACCTTCATTACATCTTCTCAAAGAATTAAATGCCACTAGTAGAATTCTTGGTGTGTCAGATGGCAAGGTTGAAGAATCTGGTAAAAAATCAGAAATACAAGAAGTAGAGTATACAAAATTGAAGGAGAGTAAGATTGAAGATACTTGTTCTAAACAAGGTAAATCTGATGTCTTACTGAAATTAGACCTAGAACAGGGAGACGCATCTGAAATTCTTTCAAAGAAAGATCTTCCTTTAGATTCTGAAAATGTTCAGAAAGACCTAATTGGATTAGCCATTGAAAATCTCCAAAAACATGAGAAAATGTTGAAAGAGAGACAGTCAGATCAAGATATGAATCATAGTCCAAACATCCAATCAGAAAAAGACATTCAAAAGAACACAAAGGAAAATGATTTGTCTTGGTCAGAACATCTTTTTGCTCCTAAAGAGATACCATACTCTGAAGATTTTGAAATGTCTTCTTTCAAGAAAGAAATTTCAGCTGAATTATACAAAGATGATTTTGAGGCCTCATCTTTGCTGTCACTCAGGAAAGACTCTCAGTCTTGCAGAGATAAGTCACAGCCAATGAAGAGCTCTAGAAGTGGAGCCACTAGCTTTGGTAGTAATGATGAAATCAGTGAGTGCCTAAGTGAGAAAAGCCTTTCTGTCCACAGCAGTGTTCACTCTGAAAGGATGTTGGAACTCAAGTCCCCTACTGAGCTTATGAAAAATAAGGAGCGCAGTGATGTGGAGCATGAACAGCAAGTTACTGAATCTCCTTCCTTGGCCTCAGTTCCTACTGCAGATGAGTTATTGGATTTCCACATTGGTGATAGGGTGTTGATTGGAAATGTTCAGCCAGGAATTCTTCGATTCAAAGGTGAGACTAGTTTTGCTAAAGGATTTTGGGCCGGAGTGGAGTTAGATAAACCTGAAGGAAATAACAATGGAACATATGATGGCATTGCATATTTTGAGTGCAAAGAAAAGCATGGTATTTTTGCTCCTCCTCAAAAAATATCTCACATTCCAGAAAACTTTGATGACTATGTAGACATTAATGAAGATGAAGACTCTTATTCAGATGAACAGTATCAATACTATAATGAAGAGCAAAATGATACAGAGGGTCCAAAAGACAGAGAAAAGGATATAAGTGAATATTTTTATGAGAAATCCCTACCTAGTGTGAATGATATAGAAACCTCAGTTAATAGAAATAGAAGCCTTAAAATAGAAACAGGCGATGTACAGGACATTTCTGGGGTACTTGAAGCCTATGTTCACCAGCAGTCTTCAGTGAATTCACTGATTTCTTCAAAGGAAAACAAAGACCTCGTTTCTGATGCCACAGGAAAGGTTTCTATGGCTGCAGAAGATGATACTTTAGACAATAGCTTTTCTGAAGAACTGCAGAAGCAACAGCAGTTTACAGAAAAAGAAGACAACCTATATGCTGAAGTTTCAGAAAAGCCTTCTACACCACTTCTGGATCTTTTAACAAGAGAAAAAAACCAACTGGAAGCCCAACTGAAGTCATCACTAAATGAGGAAAAAAAGTCAAAGGAACAACTGGAAACAGTCAGCTTACTGACAGACAGTTTACTAAAAGTCTTTGTAAAGGACACAGTCAATCAACTACAACAAATTAAAAAAAATAGGGATGAGAAAATCCAGCTTAGCAATCAAGAGCTTCTTGGTGATGACCAAAAGGAAGTACCACCCCAAGACCTATCCCAAAATGTTGAGGAACAGTCACCAAGTGTTACAAGTTGCTTCTTAAGGTCTGAATTGGAAGATGAAAAAGAAGAGATTTCCTCTCCAGATATGTGTCCCAGACCGGTGAGTATTTTGTCTAGAAAGAGTGTCATTGTACCTTTTGACACCTTTAACAAGGCATCTTACGTTGCCTATATAGTACATTTTAATTCTGTGACTCCTAATAGGTTTTTTTTCTCCCTTGATGTGTTGTTTATTAGAGAAGGATCACTATACTAGTTTTTAAAGGCCTTGTAGCTGTTTTTCTGGCTGAAGTGTAATTGTCCTCTATTATGTCATGAGTAGTCACTGTAGGGTTGTCACAAGCACTGGCAGATTTTAGGGAACTGAACCATCCATTTAAACTGCTGACAACCTCTGTACTGTCCACAGATTACATCTCCTTCCAGATTCACTGAACAACTTCGTTCCATGGAGCTTTCCAGCAGTTCACCACCCAATTCTTTTTTACCTGTAAAATTGTTTACATATCTACTCAGTCATGGTTGCCCTGCAGAGGTTAGCAGTTGTGATGTTAATTCTGGTAAAATGAAATACATCCACTATGACATGCACTCAGACCATCAGTTTGTTTAGGTTGCCCATGGACAGTTGAGCAAAAGTAATGACTTTGAGTAACTTGAGTCAGATAGTGACCAGGTGAGAAATTTTATATCCCATTTCCATATCCCGTAGGCAGACAGTTCTTTAGAAACAGAATGAGGGAGAGGCCCAATCAATAAACATTTTATAAGACTTCAATTATATATAGGTTTATATAAGTAGAATTGAGAGAACAGCATAAATTTGTCTTAAATTGTTTATTAGTAGCCACCATATTGTTTTTCTGCTTACTTACAGAGAAATATTAAATATATAAATAATACATTTACTCTGTATTTTAAAAATGATCTGAGGTCCCTAAATGGTGTTCTGTTTGAACGGTTCCATTTCTATAGGAGAGCCCAGTATTTGGTGCCAGTGGGCAGGAAGAACTTGCTAAGAGACTTGCTGAACTTGAGCTCAGCCGGGAGTTCCTGAGCACATTAGGAGATGATCAAGACTGGTTTGATGAAGACTTTGGTTTGAGCTCATCTCACAAGATCCAAAAAAATAAGGCAGAAGAAACCATTGTACCTCTAATGGCAGAACCTAAGAGAGAACCTCAGCAGCCATGTGAAACGTTACTGGCAGTCCCCCATACTGCAGAGGAAGTAGAGATTCTTGTACATAATGCAGCAGAAGAACTTTGGAAGTGGAAAGAATTAGGCCATGATCTTCATAGCATCAGTATTCCTACAAAACTTCTTGGCTGTGCCAGTAAAGGTCTTGATATAGAAAGCACTAGTAAAAGGGTCTACAAACAGGTAGGTAAAAGGATAATTTTAGTTTTTAAACTTTTCTCCCATTGTCTGAAATTTGGATTCTTAGCCATTTTGTGTTTTGTCTTTTTTTCTCTATCAAGGCGGTTTTTGATTTAACAAAAGAGATTTTTGAGGAAATATTTGCTGAGGATCCCAACTTAAATCAGCCTATCTGGATGAAGCCATGTAGAATCAACTCTAGTTATTTCCGACGAGTGAAAAATCCAAATAACCTTGATGAAATCAAGGTAAACTGCAGACTATAAAGTGTCTTCTTTCTTGACTTGTCATTCATTTACACAAATCTATAAATGTTGTAAAAGCAGGTGTTCTTCTGTATTATTAACCTTTGTGTCTTCAGGACCATTCCATAGCAGGATATTTAATAAAGATTTGTTGATTCACTGAATCCATGAACAATGGAGGGATTAGAGTGAAAGGGAACCCTGAATCCTCAAGTTTGTGCAAAAAAAAAAAAATGACTTTTACCATTTTCTATATATACATAATTATAATATTTAAGAAAGATCAGGAAATACCCAAGGAGATAAATTTTTGCAACTCATAGGAGTTTAAGGTAAGTTTCTGGGGCTTGTAGAGATAGGTATAATGTTCTAAAAGTACATATGAAAACATGTCATGTATATGTGTTTTCAGTATGCCAGCCCTGGACAGGTGTTACTTTTCTGTCTTTGACTTTGGAGGTTTCAAATTGGTAATGTGGTTTTGACCTATGTAGGATAGTAATATGATACATAAATATATTTATTTTGTTATCTAAGAAACCTTTGAAAACCTTTGCCCAGAAGCTGCTAGGAGTGTGAACCTTAAAGTCACATTGGTAGCAGTCTGCTCTGCCTAGTCGCATGTTTCTTTATAAGAAAGGTTATATTTCCAGAGCAGTGATTCTCAACCTTTAATGAGCATGTGAATGATCTGACAATCTTGTTAAAATGGAGAATCTATTTTAGTAGGTCTGGAGTAGGACCTGAAATTCTGCATTTCTAGCAAGCTCTCAAGTCATGCTGGTCCTGCTGGTCCCAGGACCATGCTGAATAGCAAAGCTTTAAAGTTGTATTTCTCAGACTTACTTGATCACAGAAAGTATTTAAAAATATTTTATACTGATAGAACAGCAACAGATATTTATGAGATGGGATGTATGCTTACCTCAGGGGTTGGCAAATGGTGGCCCATGAGCCAGATCCAGCCCCCTGTATGTTTTTATAAATAAAGTTTTGTTGGACCACAGTCATACCCATTTGTTTACATGTTATCTATGGCTGCTTTTTGCTACAGCAGTAGAATTGAGTAGTTGTGACAAAGACCATGTGGCCCACAAATCCTAAAATATTCACAGTCTGGTCCTTTACAGAAAAAGTTTGCCAGCCCCTGGCTTAAAGTAAGTAGCTCTTTAAAAACACACTTGTATACTCCATTCCTTCTACCCTTCCACAATTAATAAATGTCTGAACACATGTATGTGTGTCTGTGAACAGGTAGGGAGTGATGGAATTTGCGGGCACATTGGTACTTTGAGAATCTTTCCAGGTGATTCTGATTCATAAATGTGTCCCTTACCCTGTTAAGAGCACTATTTTTTAGTAGAACAACCATAAAAAGTAATAAAATAAATTAGTAATAGCAATAAATTGAAGTAAGACAAGATACATAATATATACCAACAATCAAACTACCTGCATACAATAAATGCTACCCACTAATTTTAATATTGACATGGCATTTTATAAAGTTTTTAAGGGTGCTAGTTCAAATATTGTTGGTAATAAAATTATTATCCTTTTCATACTGAAGTGTTGATTAATATTTTTAATTTAACATATTTGAATTTTGGTGCTTCAAAATGAACTATCCCAGATGCAGTCTTTTGCATTTCTCACATTATGTTGTCCCAAAAATCTCTATGAGATTTTTCCAATTCAGAGATTTATTTTATGCTTTCTTTAGTAGTGTTGCCAGCTTGGGGTTAGCTAATGGTGGTTCGTAAGTAAAGGGAGCTCTAAAGTGATTTTTCTTTGCAGAATTAATCAATGGGTTTTACTTTGTTGTTGTTTTTAGACAAGATCTCACTTTGTCACCTAGACTGGAGTGCAATGGTGCAGTCTCAGTCCACTGCAGCCTGGATCTCCTGGGCTCAATCAATCCTCCTACCTCACCTTCCTGAGTAGCCAGAACTACAGACTTGTACCACCATGCCCAGCTAACTTTGTACATTTTTTTGTAGAGATGAGGCCTCTCACCATGTTGCCCAGCCTGGTCTTGAACTCCTGGGCTCAAGTGATCCTCCTGACTTGGCTTCCCAAAGTGCTGGGATTACAGGCGTGAGTCACTGTACCCAGCCAGGTTTCACTTTTATATGTTGTGTAAGTGAATAAAGTCTCAGCATTTGGAATGCTTTTCCCTTCAAATTGCTACATGGAACTGTAAGCAGAAGAAATTTGTATGATAATTTTGTTGTAAATATATTCTTAGCATGAATCCGATTACTGCATTGTAAACACGTGAATCTCAGAAATTCTGTTGTTTGTGTTTCATGTATTTTTCTTGTTTCTACAGAGCTTCATCGCAAGTGAAGTACTTAAGTTATTCAGTCTTAAAAAGGAGCCAAACCACAAAACAGATTGGCAGAAAATGATGAAATTTGGAAGAAAGAAAAGAGACCGAGTGGATCATATCCTGGTCAGTCTGTACAACCAAACTGTTTTTAGTTTGACCATATCTTTTAAATCTAACTACACTTTTAAAGTGTAGTAACTTTTAAAGTGTAGTTAGATTCTAAAAGGAAAAGGGATATAATCTTAAGTCTATGGTATTAAAATCTTAAAGCCTTTACTTGCTGTGTTTCTACCCCTCAGTTTTGTAAATTGTTTTCTTTTGTACTCAGTAGATGAACATTTAATCTGTTTGGAGCATTTTATGTAGAAGGTGAGAAATTGAAACTCAAATGGAAGCAAAGTTTAAGCTAGTGAATTGAAAAGAGACCAATGTGGACTCTGGAGCCAGACTGCCTATTTAAATCTCTGTTTTGCCACTTACTTGGTGTGTTATCTTGGACAAGTTTATCTAACATTTTTATGCTTCATTTTCCTATCTGCAAGGTGAAGGTGACAATAATAGTAGTTACCTGTTAAAATTATTAAGAAAATTAAATGAGTATATGTGTAAAGCACTTGGAACAGTTCTTCATATATAACTCAGTAAATACTAGCTGTTACCTCAACATCATCACTGTTATCATTATCCAGAACATTCCCTGGATAGGATTTATTTGGATTTGCAACATATTTCTCTAACATTAGAAAAGTGTTTATCCAAAAAAAAGAAAGAAAAATTCACATTTATATAATGAAAGTATAATACTTAAATTTATTATCTTTCTCAGGTATGTACCTCTCTAGTGTTTCATTTACTCAGTAATAACTATAGCAGTAACATTTGCTTAGTATTTTATAGTTTATCATTCTTTCTTATGCCTCATTTTTTTTTTTCTTTTTTTGGGACACAGTCTTGCCCTGTCACCCTGATTCTCATGCCTTAACCTCCTGAGTAGATGGGATTACAGGCACTTGCCACCATGCCCAGCTAATTTTTGTATTTTTAGTAGAGACAGGGTTTTGCCATGTTGGCCAGGCTGGTCTCGAACTCCTGACCTCAAGTGATTCTCTTGTCTCGGCCTCCCAAAGTGCTGGGATTACAGGCGTGAGCCACCATACCCAGTGTCTTATGCCTTCTTTGATCCTCATAATAATTACATGAGGTAGGAAGGACTAATGTTATTCTTTATTTTACAAATGAGGACATTTAGATGTTAAGTGACTTGCCCAGTAAAATAAGAGACAAGATTTTAATCAACTAATTCTTCATAGATCTTCGCATCTCAAGAAAGTGAATTTGTTTTCATATGTCTATCATGTTTTAAAGTTTGAATTGTTTATAATTTCCAAGCTGTTACTTCCTTTACTTCTTAGGAATTAAAGAAAAAAGCATATTGAGAGACGTTCATCTAATCTATAAGTTACATTGATGGTATCCCCAATAAATCACCTCTGTGTATACATTGAGTCAAAAATTTGCTAATTAAGGACTGATGTTAAAATACTAAGCAAAACAGACATAGACCCACCTTCATAGATTTCCAGTTTGATGGCAGAAATTAGCCATTAATATATCATTATACAAGTGTGTGGCTATAAGTTGAGCACAAAAATGTAGGGTGCTGTTAAAACCACAGGAAGCTGATCTAATGAGGATGGTCAGGGCAGGCTTCTCTGAGGAAGTGACATTTGAGCTTAGATCTTAAAGATGAATAAGCGGAATGATCCAAGATGGCCGATCACTAACAACCCGGGATTGCAGCTCTCAGGGAAGGCGCGGAGAACTAGAGGACACCACACTTTCAGACAAATTCTGGTCGCTCATGGAGCAGAAGATCCCCCAGTGGAGGAAACACACGGGTGGCCAGCGCGACTCTCGTGGCCGGTGCAGCCGTTCCGCCGGCACCTCGGCGCAGCAGCTCTCTGAGCAGAGTAAACAGGTTCGGAGGACCAGCATGGGTCCCCAGCAGGGCACCAGAGCCCGGCGCAGCGGCTGCGACGGCACCTCGGCGCGGCAGCGCTCGGTGCAGAGTAAACGGGACCGGTTCCCCTTCTGACCGAGGTTTGGAGCCCCGGGAAGGCAGAGTCGCCTACTACGGAAACAAGAAGGAAGCCAGACAGGAGAATCCTGGGCAAAAAAGCACCATCAGTTTTAACGCCACTGCTCTGGCCCTGGGAACTAACAACCTGGACATCCACTCAAGAGACCTAATCTGAAAATTGGTAATTTCAAAGACGACAGGAGGATAAATTTACAATGATGGGAAGAAACCAGCGTAAAAAAGCTGAGAATACTCAAAGTCAGAACGCCTCTCCCTCTAAAGATGATCACAGTTCCACATCAACAATGGAACAAGGCTTGATGGAGAACGAGCGCATACTGATGACAGAATCACTCTTCAAGGAATGGATAATAACAAACTTTGGTGAGTTAAAAGAACATGTTGTAGCCCAACGTAAAGAAACTAGGAACTTTGAAAAAAAGTTTGATGAAATCCTATTGAGAATAGACAACTTAGAGAGGAGTATGAGTGAAATAATGGAACTGAAGAATATAATACAGGAACTCCGAGAAGTATGCACAGGTTTAAACACTCGAATTGTTCAAGCAGAAGAAGGGATATCAGAGGTCAAAGTCCAACTTAATGAAATAAAACGTGAAGAAAAGATTAGAGAAAAAAGGACAAAAAGGAATGAGCAAAGTCTCCAAGAAATGTGGGACTATGTGAAAAGACCAAATTTACGTTTGATAGGTGTACCTGAATGCGACGGAGAGAATGAATCCAAGCTGGAAAATACCCTTCAGGATATTATTCAGGAAAATTTTCCTAAACTAGCAAAGCAGGTCAACATTCAACCCCAGGTAGTACAGAGAACACCACAAAGATACTCCTCAAGAAGAGCAACCCCAAGGCACATAATCGTTAGATTCACCAGGGTTGAAACGAAGGAGAAAATACTAAGGGCAGCCAGAGAGAGGTCAGGTTACCCACAAAGGCAAGCCTATCAGACTTACAGCAGATCTCTCAGCAGAAACTCTACAAGCCAGAGAGAGTGGGGGCCAATATTCAACATCCTCAAAGAACAGAACCTTTAGCCCAGAATTTCATATCCAGCCAAACTAAGCTTCACAACTGAAGGAAAAATAAAATCTTTTATGAACAAGCAAGAACTCAGAGATTTTATTACCACCAGGCCTGCTTTACAAGAGCTTCTGAAAGAAGCATTACACACAGAAAGAAACAACCAGTTTTAGCCTTTCTAAAAATACACCAAAAAGTAAAGAGCACCAACATAAAGAAGAATTTACACCAACGAATGGATAAAACAGCCGGTCAACATCAAATGGCAGTAACCCTAAATTTAAATCGACTAAATCCCCCAATCAAAAGACACAGCCAAAACCCAATGGCATGTTACATCCAGACCTGTTTCACATGCAAGGATACACAAAGACTCAAAACAAAGGGATGGAGAAAGATCTACCAACCAAATGGAGAGCAAAAATAAATAATAAATAAATAAAAAGCAGGAGTTGCAATTCTCGTATCGGATAAAATAGATTTTAAAGCAACAAAGATATAGTGGTCAAAGGATCAATGCAACAACAAGAGCTAATGATCCTAACACCCAGATACATAGAGACTTAGATTCAATGAGACAGAAAATTAATAAGGATATCAAGGACTCGAACTCAGATCCAGAACAAGTAAACTTAATAAATATTCATAGAGCTCTCCACTTCAAATCCACAAAATATACATTCTTGTCAATACCACATCACACCTACCCATAAGTTTAAATGAAACATTGATTGGCCATTATTAATACCCAATTTTTTTCAAAATAAAGCACTATTTCCATTTATTCTCCCTCTTTCTCTTCCTCTTTCTCTTTCTTCCTCTCCTTTACTTATTTTTTTTTCTTTCCTTCTCTCAAAAAAAAAAGAAATCAACTTGTTAAAAAAAAAAAAAAAAAGATGAATAAGCATTAACTGACCGCTATCATAGAGAGAAGAATATTCAGGGAGAGTAAACCACAAGTGCAAAGACCCTGCAATGGGAAGGTACATGAGTTGTGAGAGTATGAAGGGGAGGTGGCATAAGATAAAGCTGGAGAGGTGAGAGTCTGTATGGTACAGTGCTTTTTAAGCCATGTTAAGCTTTTTAAGCCATTTTTTGGATATTATCTTAAAAGCAAGCAATGAGTTTAAGAAACATAAATTATAAGATTAGACTTGCAGTTTTGAAAAATCATGGGTGAATGCTTAAAATGGAATGAGTATGAAAGAAGAAAGGCCAGCTAGAAGGGTACTACAGGTCAAGTATCCCAAGTCCACAAATCTGAAATCCAGAATCCTCCAAAATCCAAAACACTTCTGGTCCCAGGCATTTCAGATAAGGGATACTCAACCCGTATAGATGAAAGATGGCTGGCTTAGGTATATTAAAGCAAAATGTCTTAGATAAATTTGTCTTGAGCACATGTCACAGTAGAGGAAACTAGCGTAGGGTAGTATACCAATTCAAAATGCCACAGAGAGCAAATGAATACATAAGGCTTCCAGCTAGTCACAGACTTTTCCTTCACATGGTTGTACAACTGGCATTTTAATAGTAGAAGGATTAAATATACTGGTGGGGGAGGATGGCAGTTTGGAGCCATCTTGAGATCTGCAGTATTAATCAGAATTAATAAATACTGTATCTGAAAAGTGAACAATAAGCAAATTGATCTTCTGCTCCTTATTAAATGTACAAGAAACAATGTATTGAACCTGTAATAGTTTGTTTTAATGCTGCTAAAGACATCCCCAAAATTGGGACCAAAAAGAAGTTTAATTGGACTTAGAGTTCCACGTGGCTGGGGAGCCCTAAGAATCATGGCTGGAGGTGAAAGACTCTTCATACATGGTGGTGGCAAGAGGAAATGAGGAGGCAGCAAAAGTGGAAACCCCTGATAAACCCATCAGATCTTATGAGACTTATTCGCTATCATGAGAGTAGCATGGGAAAGACTGGCCCCCATGATTCAGTTACCTCCCCCTGGGTCCCTACCACAACATGTGGGAATTCTGGGAGATAA